ATATTAATAGAAATCTCTTCAGTTTAATTCAAGTAATAATTGCCAACATCTTTCTAATCAAAATGCTCAACCTGCAACTTATTCAAATTATTATAGGAATGATATTGACAAAGTCCTATTATATGGGAATATTCAACACTGCTGCCCCAATTAACATAGTATTTAATAACGCTATTATGTTCTTACTGCAAATCACATCCTACACATTTTATTGGTTTGAATTTTATAGTAATTATGTCAGGATCAGTAGTACCAAAGAAATAATTGATTTATCCATCTCCTCCTAAAATCAATTAACCATAAGGAATTTTGTCTTATTAATAATACAATTTAGTTGTAAACTTATACACACTATTTTTCGATGAGAATTAATAATAAATAGGACCAGGCTTTACAGTCAATAAAATATCAGTTAATTGTCCTTCCAAAGTAGTCTTAGTTCCATTATAAGTATTATTTAAAAATTAATCATAATCTTATGTGATAGACACATTCAAATCTCCAAGACAATTATAAACTTGAATAGCCAATTTCCCATCCCCTTATACATATGATTCATAATATTTTGGTCTTTAATCAACAATCATATCTATTTAATTAGAATTCTGATTGATCATGAAGACATCCTATCCAACTATACTAATCTATAAATCGATTCTATTTAAATAGTTATTTGAAAAATAATAGAGCTTAGGCTAAGGTTATTTAGGAATAGGAATAATATCTCCCCTTGGATTAAAAGAATAATCGACATGATTAAAATCATTGGAGGTTATCTCTAATAAACTGTGCATTTTTATTGTAATCATTCCTTCAAGCACTGGAAGTATATAAGTTAATTAATTATTACGAATTGAAAAAGCATGGATTATTGTAAAATTACTTGAATTTATTTCATTTGATATTTCGATTTTGAAATAATCTTCAAAAGATAAATTATTCAAATTTCCATATGGATTTACTTTTACAAAGAGTTAGAGTTATTATTATTAATTTTTTTATTAATGATAGAATGTTATTGTAGGGGTCAGTTTGCTCAAATACGCAGATGTGATTATTCCGTCCTATAATAGTTAGCCATTGCCTGTTGTAGATTGAGTAACAATAATAGAATAGTTTGTTTGTCTTTACTGATTGTTCTTAACAATAATATAGATATCATCATCATTGTAATGTCCCACCAGAGTCTAATTTCCATTGATCTATTGAGTTATATTGTAATCCTTATCGTTCTATTCTAAGTGTTATCTAGGTGGTATAATGGCTTGATAATAAGTAATTGAATTTGTGATATTCATCAATTTCATTTATTTAATGGTGTTGTATGGTCCATAAAGGTAGTTGGATACGTTAAGATCTGCATGATATCCAATCCACATCTAAGTGTCTCCATTATATTGATTGATTTAAACTTCTATTTGATGATCTGTATCGTAAGAATAATGATAAATATTGTAGTCATCTGGTCCATCCAAAAAATCTGTGAAAGCTATATTCTAAGGTAGTTATACAAAGTTTAGTTATGAAGTAATTACTATTAATAAATCCAAAGAGATGCCAATGGTTTTAACTTTTATTACATATGTACATAGTTCGCAATATCTTTTGATGTCTGATTTACGGATAATGTGTTGACTATAAGATTGGCCAGTCAAAAATTATTCATTTATTATTACTTCAGATTCGCATGCTATTTTTGAGTCATCTAAGCATCTACTTACTTCAATGTAGGTTTGACCTTGCATTTTTATGAATTTGAAGTATAAATCATCATTACTTTGAATATTGAAGTATTAATAAAATGATTCCTCTTAAGCATTCATTTTTATTCTGGTAGGAACCCCTAATACCAATTTATGATTATTTTTGTCATCGAATATTTCTATTGATAACTGCAATTTACTAGTACTCACTAATGAAAATACTGTTATTATAATGTAAGGGTTTTGTTTTAGTTTTAATTCATCTAATTTCTATTATATTTACTATTTTGTTAGTTCTAAAACATTTCCTTATACTGAAAATTCACAATTATCTAAATTTTATTTGTCTTCATCATTAAATGATAAACAAATTGTCCCTCTTCCATAAATTTCATGTAACACTAATTTCATTTTTGACTCTTATGATATATCATTTAACTAATTGTAGATGAATTTTCTTGGAGAATTCTAATTTACTTGAATTTAAATTGGGATGCCAGTCTATATATCCATAAATTCTTATGTAACAGTGACATACACCAAATCATCAAAATCTAAGGTTCTGTTAATTTATGAAATGTTGTATTCCTATTGTTATGCTACCAATGAAATTTTTAATAAGCAATTTTACCCACAAAATTCAAATGCACTTTTGTAAATACTTTTAGAATGCTAAGTTTTGTACTCTTCTTTTGCAAACAAAGAAACTGCTTATTAATTCTAAGTATCTATAATTTCAATCTCATATTTAGTATAACCATAATGTGAATTTATATGTAATTAAACATCAGTATCATTAGAGATAATTTTATAATATAAAGAGGTTTCTTTTGATAAATACTCTAAATTAAATTAGTATTGCTGTCCGTCTTTCATTTCTATTCTTGCATCAGGGTTCCAAATGTTTAATTAAAATAGGATATCCTCCTAGCCTTTGTTCTCAATTATTAAATAAGCCTAACAAAACACCAATTTATTTGAATCATCTTCCTCCTCCATCTATTCATCTGCCAAGCCATTTAAACATAATTTATTTAATTCTAGTTATTCCAAAAACAAGGTACTTGAATGCTCTTTCTTAAAATATTTTACTTCTTAAGAATTTGGTGAAATATCATTAGATACTTTGAGTATTAGCTTTTATGAATCTTTGCCTTACAAACTAATGAAAAAAGATGATGCGTTCTGACTATAATAAAAGCTGAAGTATTTACTCTTCCTTCCAAATGCCATATCCACAAATTATTAGCCAATATGCAAGGTTTTAACTGTTCTGCTTGTTGAATAAGTAAGAGTATACATTAATTCCTTATCTGTCGCATTTTCAAAAGCATTAGAAATTCCAATCGTATAATTTCCCTAATTTGTATAATATTTGTTTTCAGGGGAAATAGATAGATAATTATTTTTAGTAATTAGATTATAATTGTCTAAATTTGGCAGTTGATTGCCTTTATTGAAAAGAAGAGCAACTTACATTCGTGATGAATGAATGGCAAATTCGATAGTGGGTGAGGTTTCTTTATCTTGAATAATTTCAATGTTTTGATCAACCTAATCGGAAATGACAACTCTAAAATACTGAATCTTTTGTTATCCATTAATGAATGATAAGACTCCACGGTATGTTTCATCTTCTTTTAAAATTTTAACATCTATATCTGATTACTTCAAGACTTTTAATTAGAATTAATAAATTGTAGTTTCTCTTGTAGTCAGAGTTACATAAAATTAAGAATGCTTTAATTAATCTCCTCTGAGTGTAACTAAATGATCAGATCCACCAATAAATTTGGCGCATTCCTATCTAACAGGATAACAACTACTGTCTTTACTTATCAAGTATACAACATTATGAGTATTAACTGTAAATATTAATTCCACGTCTTCATCTTAATGCTAATATTTAACAATCAGATTTTCCTACTATTATTTCTCTAAATAGTTTTAATAAGGTATATCTGATTTAATGATTTTATGATTTATTTCATTGACTGTATTTAGAAGGTAAGTATTTTTCATTTCACTAATAATCTAGATTTGGAATCTACAAAATCCCTCTTAATCCTTGCTAGAGCATTCTGGACTCACATAGGCTGATGGGTTTTACTCATGTTAACGGAATCTTATGTTGTGTGTATCTTCAGTATTTGTAGTACAAATTCCATCGCATTCTCCTATTTTTAGAGAGTTCATTCCTTTTTGATAATATTTTAAATGAACTCCAATTTCTTAATCACTATAACTAGTCTTAAATGAATATATGTGAGATCCTTTATCTGAAATAGTTGCTAATATGATTTAATTATTATATAATATTGGTTCATCTAAAATCTTAACCACTAATAAATATTTTAAAGGTCCTCCTTTATTTACTCTAATAATTAATTCATTGTTGTTATTGATTTCTGCTTTTCTTAGATGGATATGATAGGCTTATCCTTTTTAAGAAATTTAGATAGGATCTTATGAATTGAATATCTCAGAGTCCTATTTATTAGTTACTCTAATCACAGGTAATAAATCACCAAGAATACCAATTTATATTATATTGTATGATTGCGGTATTTTGATTCTATATTGATTTTCATTCCTCTCAAAAAGGTAATCTTGCACCTCCTCATTAATCTCTATATCCTATAGATCTTGATATAAATGCAATTAGCTGCTAATTGTAGTTTCTTCTTTAAAATTCAAATCTCCACTTAACACAACAAATACTTTGCACTTTTCACAATCCTTGCTACTTAATGCAACCGATATTTAAACTTTGTCTCCATATAATTTTGCTCTTTCATCATACACCTCTATTTTTATTTTATCTGATTCATCATCCAATAATTTAAATTCTCCCACTAATCTATCATATTAACTAGGAAGCATTATTTAGACAATCTAAGCTGGTTATCTTTGTGTCAAACTCAACTCTTATATTGAAGTTGTCAATTCAATGACATCACTATTCACCAAAGTGATTCTCCCTTTACATGGAGATGTGATACATTTTAAATTGATCTCACTTGATTTCGATTTAAATATAGCATTTTCATAAAAGTCTTCTATTTTATATGTGTCGTCAGCACTTTAAAATTAAATTTCACCCAAATCAACATCCTTCTCATCTTCTTATGGGCGCACAAACAATATCAAATAATCCTTATCTGATTTGGTGGATAGGTCCACTTATATTGACTTACTCTCCTTTAAATCAAATAAGAAATCCTTCTATTTTTTAGCCATCACTTGAATGACCATCAAAAATAATCCACTCAAGATGGCAATCATTAATTAAATTAAATGCACTCGTATTTAGAAGAATTAAAGAAAAAAGAGATCATAGTTAAATAAATCAATTCACTCATTTAATAACTTCAGTAACATCATTTAACTTAGTCTCTTGTTCCTAAAAGTCATTAAGAAATAGCTGAGTTTATGGTGCTTAATAAACTCAGGAATGTTGATACTTATATTCAATTATGTGAAATGACAGGAAAATGCTTAGGATAAGCAAGATCAGATATTAAAGAGAATGATAAAACCATAAATGATTTGTTTCATATTTAATTATTGCAATTTGGATTACAAAGAAAGAAGGATGAAAAGAAGGGCTATCGGAAACATTACAAAATGCCTATCATTCACATAAACACTCCCAGTACAGAGTAAGACTCTTGTAGTTTTTATAATAAAAAATAAAAAAAAAAAGATAAATATTTGAAATTGCAAAAAGTCATAGAGTAGATACAATCTAATTAATCCTTAATAGATAAAGTGAAAATTGAAGAGTACTTTCAAAATAAAAAGATATAGAAGTTACTTTAAATTGATGGATGGAAGATTATCGATTAATCTCCTCTTCATCAACCTGTATCTGATCAATTAATTAAGAAGTCCCTACATTATTATTACACTTATTGTAAGTCAATTGTAGAAGGTTTTATGCATGTAATTGACAATAAGTCATGATCTTGATGTCTCAGTATTTTATTTTTTTCATACAGTTATCAATTATCAATACTATATTTCTATAATTTTAACAATCATCTAAAATTTTAAAGACTTCCTCTATTATGTTAAGCAATCAAACCAATTAAGAATTAATCATTACCAGCAGCAATCAATAAGAAAATAGTTGTCCATTAACTACATTATGTAAATAGTCAGATCCAATTGCTGAATGGGAAGATCAAAAGACAGAATCGATTCTTAAGATCAATCATCTTTCAATCACAATAGATGATCAAACTTAGGACAGAAAAAGATTTTATTCTAACAATGATTTTAGAAAAGTGTCCTTTGATGAAAGTCTCAACACAGTACATACTTACTCTAAAGATAATAAAAAGGAGATCAAGAATTTTGAGACTAGTTTTAAACATAAGAAAAAAACAGAAAAATCTGAACTTCCAAAATCTAAGAGATTTGGAAATCACAAGCAGAGAAAAAACTCTTTTTGATAAATAATTAGATATCACATACGTTATACATTTAAAACACCTTTTTGGATGAGTATTTGTAATTTCTACATTAATTGCGGATCTTTGTAAGCTATTTCCTAAAAGTCAGCCTTTCCTGTTCTTTATAAATATTCAATAAATGCTATAACTCTTGGATCCTGTAAAACAGCTTTTACCTCATTATCATTTTCTATAATATATTAGATCTTCTCTTCTTATGTTTAAGGTTATTTTTTTGGTGGATTCTAATCAACAGGAATAATTTTAGGCTATTATTATTATTGTTATTATTATTATTATGGCTTATCTTATTTTTAAGGTTTTAATTATTAGAAATGCTCACCCATAGTCTTCATATACTCTGACATCAATTCTACAAATTCAGGATTATTCTTGTATCTCTACATAATACCAGTTGGATTACTCTACATTTATTACACTGCTGATAAATATTCTGGATTAGTAAATAATTTCTATAATTTTGGATTGCTAGCAATCTACAATTAATTAAGCATCAATTACTTTTTGTAATAGATCTTGATTCAACCATTCCTCTTTATTTTAAGACAAGAATTATCCAAATTATGACTAATTGTTTTATTTCATATTCTCTTAAACTTCATCTATTTATAAAGGATTTTTCTTCTCTTTTGGTTTAATAATATCATCATCTTTCTTTAGATCGTTCAAGAATCCTTTCTTCAAACCAGTTAAATCATTATTTTATTTTTTCGGTGGTTAGATTTGAATAGGTTTTTCCTCCACAGGCTTCGCGTAATCACCGATATCAACATGTGCTTCCTTTTTCTTCTCGAGTTATTCACTGAAATCTTCCAAGTCAGGGATATCATCATCCATGATTAATATATTAAATAATAAACCAAGATGTTAATTGTTCTTAGAAATACAAGAATTATTTAATTATTATAACGATTTAAAATTCAAATGAGCCGAAACAATTAAGGACCTTCTATTTCAACTCTAGTTCCAATCCTATAAAGACAATGCCCAACTGGAAGAGTCACATTAAACGATATGTATATTGGGGATATGGGAGCAAAATTAGTGGCTGACACAATCAAAAATTATCCAAATATTGGAATTCTGGATCTCAAAGGTAATAACATTAGTCCCAATGGATTTATTGAAATATTTCAAGCACTCAAAACTAATATTGTAAATCTATTGTATTTATTAAGAGTCCTTAAGAACTTTAACTTTATAATGGAATCAACTTTGTGCAAACAATAATCTAAAGGCTCTTGAATTACTGTATCAAGTCATGTCTATTAACAAATCAATTACTCATATTGATATACAAAACAATAGATTGAACACAACATGTGCAGGATTGCTTGCAAATATTATTCGAAATAATCCCTAATTGAGAACATTGGATCTTAGATGGAATGAATTAGGAAATTAAGGAGTCAGAATGTTGATCCCAGCTGCTGCAGCTAATGGATACATTTTATCCATTGAAATTCAAGGGAATGGAGCCACAGAAGATTCAATACGAGAATTGAATTCAGTCCTAAAATAAAACAAAGACAATGTGAATATGGCTGGCATGCAAGACCCAGGCAAAAATTAAGGAAGATATCAGCCTGGATAGAGATAGCCACTTAAGGAAATGGCATAACATTTAGAGGAAGAAAGAAGAGCTGTTGCTAAACATTTGGAAAAGTTGATTGAAAGAGAGAGAGCCTTAGGGTTGTAATTAAAAGAAGAATATGAAGAGAAGACCTTACAATGGAGATAAAAGCTTTTGGGAAATTAAGCTAAATAAGATTAGTTAGAAAGAAATGCAGGTGAATTATAGAATCATAAAAATATATTAAAAAATGAGATTCAAAAATGGGACAATAATATCAAATAAATTTAATAATAAAGATCATTTACCACAAAAGCTTTAGAGGAGAGATTTTAAGAATCAGAAAAAAATATTAGGGATCTTGAAAAGAAACAATAAGAAGAATTGGCAGAATAATAAAGAGCTCATTTCTTCAATCTTAGATAAATCGATAATGATTGGGGTGAAAAATGTGATTAAATGATGGATGAAAATAGAAAGTTGGATGATCACATCTAAATTTAATCAGAACAATGTAATAAGGTTAAAGATGACATTGCTAAATTTAATTCAACAAGTTAGATTTAAACTATGGAAGTTATTGAAAAAGTTAAGAAATTGGTTTTAGAAGAATTTAAAGAAAAATTAAACTAAATGGAAAAATAAGTAGAAAGAATAGACTAAGATAGACTAAAAATTATTAGAGATAGTTAATAATGTATTTTAGAAGCTCAAAAAGAACTTAGATAAATAACAGAATAATATTCTGACATGTTGAAAGACAAGGTTAGAATGGAATTAGAAAATAGAAATCTCTCTGTAGATAATTATCAATTGGAATAATTTTCATCAACCGTAACTTAAGATTTAGTTTATAGAAAAGATCTAGAGAAAAAAGTTCTTGAATAGTTAACTAAAATCAAAGAAAAGGAATTTAAAATAAATAACCATGAAGTTGAATAGATGAATAAAATTAATAATAACTTTAAAAATGATACAACTTATCACTCTAAGTTTAAGGAAGTAATAAATTAATTAATTATTTTAGGATAGCAGACATAGGGAAGAAGCTTTGGACAAAACATTAAGAGAAAGTGATATTGAAAATCATAAATTAGCTAAAGATATAAATAAATTAACAGAGCTACTTTCAGCTAGAACAATAAAAGCAGTTTTATCAACATTTCAAGAACATAAAGTTTTTTGAAAATATAGATATAAATTCTAATCTATCAATAGTTCATAATTAATTCATGTTTAAAATATATATATTTGTATCACTTTCTATTTAATTAATTTCCTTTATGTGTCATATTAACCAATGATAATTTTGTAGAGTTATAATAATAACAATATGAATATTTTGTTTTCAATTTAATAAGATAGTATTCTTTAAAATAATGATTATCCTTCTTAGTTCTTTTATATTTATTATAGTATAAACAAATTACATTCATAAGAAATGCAACAACTAATCACTCTTCTTATTAATTTTTTAATTTTAATTTAATTTAAATGGAGGAAAAACTCTCAGAATTAAAGCTCTAGGTTGATCAGCTGACTGAAGAAGCAGAATATGATTTTCAAAAAGGAGAACATTATAAACCTTAAGTTACATAGATAATTAAACAAATTGACTCCTTGATTGAGAACGAAGATTTAGAAAGTAATTTGAATATTAAAATTCTTTAGTCTCAAAAAAGCATAAAATAGAGCTATATTTTTTGAAAGGAAAGGCTTCTGACATTCTACCTGATTATTCAAAATTTGCTGAGGAAGCACTTACAAAAGCAGTAAAATTAATTCAAAATCAATTTTTTAGATGAAATTAAATCCTTTTCACATAGACAGCTTAAATACACTAGGACATATATTGTGGAAGAAAAAGGATTTTGTAGCTGCAAAGTAATGTTTTGAAACTGCAATTGAAAAAGATCCAAATAATATCAAGTCATTGCAATATTTGTCTATAGTTTTGAGGTAAGTTGGAGATTAGAAGGATAAGAGTTAAAATGTGACAAAATCGTTGGAAATTGCAAAGAAAGCTTTGACATTCGATTTAAAAAATGCTCAATCATGGTATTTAGTTGGAAATGCATACCTTTCTGATTATTTTATGAATCCGAAGAAAAATAATAATGAATTAAATTTGGCCTTGTCCGCATACAACTAGTCTGAAAAGAATTAAAATAGAGAAAATCCAGATTTATATTTCAATAGAGGAAATGTATTTTGTATCATTTAAATTTAGATTCATTGCTATTTTGAGGATTATTAATTAGCCTTTAATGATTACATTAAGGCAAACAAGATTGATCAATCATTAACAAATGATACATTAAAGTAAGTGCAATAGAAGGTGCTAAAAGTCTATGATTTGGTCACTAACAAATGCAGAATTACATAGAAAAAGTTGTAGAACATAGTAAAATAGATTCCAATAGGTTTGAGAGAATAACCAAAAGGATTTGATCATCCACTTTAAATGTGTACTATAGGAGATTTGAAAGATGGAATAAATAAAGGGTTGATTTTAGCGAGTAAAAGTTTGGTAAGTTACACAGAGTAAAATACAGTGCCTGCTGGATTTGTGATAGTTGATAGTAAATTGAGCTTTGCTAGTTTATCAATTTATAATGCTTCTTAAGAGATTTATGAGAAAATCAGAGATTTAACAGATGTGTTTATAATAGAGCCAGAAGTAAAATAAATAAATTGTGAGATTGAAGGGAAAGTAATAAATATAGAGATTATAATAGCAAATATCTTATATGTGTATATAGGTAAAGGATGCAAATAAGATTTATGTTGAGAATGAGAAAATAGTGAATCAACTAGCGCATTCAATGGTTGTTAATTAAACATTTGAGAAATGAGATTTTGATCTATATTATTTTTGATTGAAGTATCATTCTGATTATAAATTGATTTCCGATGAAGGAGAATAAGATTCAACAATTTCCATTATGCAATAATTGATTCCATTAATTAAATTACTATATTATTTAATGTTACAAGGAGAAGCAAATTTCGCTGAAAAGAGATAAATGAGAAGAGCACGAACCAATTTCGAGAATGAAATGTAAATTTCGGTTGTTTATTGATGAAGGGATGACGGAATGAATGAAAAAATGACTTGTTATGAAAGTGTGTTAAATTGTTTCGGATCCTTTTTTGGAACTTTGAGAGCCTGGTTGCCATGTTGTTGTTGTTTTTGTCCTTATCCATATTATGAAATAACCTAAGGGTAAAAGGGATTGTTATAAAAATTTGGAAAATACTAAAGAACTTTGGAGCCAGGACTTCATGAATTCAATCCGTATGTCATAAATATTAATTTCTTAGTTTCACAGATCGTATCATTCCTGTAAGCACAAAGACATTGTAAAACAGTTAATTTGATATTTTAGTATTATCGATTTGGAAAGATAACTTATATTAACTAAAGACAATATCACTGTCAATATTGACACTATTGTATACTACAGAGTCGTTGATGTCTGTAAATCAGCCTATAGAGTAAAGAAAATTGTTGAAGCAGTTAAGGAAATAACGTATGCGGTAATAAATAATTAACTTTAAGACTCTAAGAACTGTTGCTGGTGAACACACATTATAGGATATTATTGAGAATAGATAGAAGATTGCTGATGAAATAGAAGGATTCGTCTTTGATGTTGTATCAGAATGGGGTATTCAATATTGTGATTTCATTTAGGAATCTACTTAGAACATGTTTTTATTAAGGATATGTAAATGGGGGAGGAATTACAATCTTCCCTATCCAATGCTCCTAAAGCTTAAAGACTTGCTTAGTCGAAAATCATTTCAGCAAAAGTACTATTATATTATTACAAAAAGAGTGATGTTGAAGCTGCAAAACTCATGAGGGAGGCTGCTGATATGTTGGATTCAAAAGCCGCCATGTAGATTAGATATTTTGAAACTATTTAACTAATTGCAAAAAATAAAAATCCAAAAATATTGTTCCTGTCTATGGATTAGACCTAAAAAAAATGATGATAAATTATAGCTATTCATAGATTATAAATAATCAACTATTAAATAATGAATCTAAATTTAGATCTCATTATATTATAATGTAATTATTTTTATTAAGAACAGAGTCTGATTTATTTCTAATAAATATCAAATTAAAATGAATTAAACAGGAGATTTGCAGATTTTAAATCATCAGTTAAACATCTAAAATAACAAACTATCTCTTTAAGTAGAAGTCTTATCATAATAAATCTAATTACTTATAAAATAAAATCAATAATTTTAAGCTAAGGTAGCCGATTACTAAAACTTAAAAGCTGAAAATATCACCTTAAAAAAGGATATTATGAATTTATAAGAAAAAATTTAAGAAAAAGAATCTGAGTAATTACTAGTTCAAGAAAGTTTATTCAATCAACATATCGAAGAAATGTAAAAAAGACATAAAAAACAAATATAAGACTTAAAAACTATATATGAGGATAAAATTATATCCTTATAGAGAGAGTGGTCATCCATGTAAGATTAGACTGTATAAATGGGAGTATCAAATTAAGCATCAAAAACGCTGGAATAGTAGGCTGCTAAAATAATATAAATAAGCCAGAGATTAGAGTAATTATGTGTAATTAATTTAGAAAAACTTTGTCCGATCTTCCAACTCAAAGTCCTAGTCATGGACATATTGGAATATCTAAAGAAATGTATGATTCGATGCTGGAATAATTAAAAAGCAAATCCACAAAAAATATTATCCTAGAAAAAATACCAGATTAACAGAATTTGTAAATTTCCCAATTATAATTTAGTTCTTTACGATACAAAAAGACATCCATCACCAATATCAAAAAGGAGCCTAAATTTGGTATCAAAAGAAATATTCATTACAGTAAACCTTATGAGTCTCCACAAACTTAAAATTCTCAAATTGCTCTAACCATAAGTACATTAACCAAGAGATCTTGATCATTATTTTACTTTAAAACATGTATTTGATATTTTATGTACAATTTCTATATCAAGGTTAAGAATTATTTGATTATGTTATTAAACTTTATAAACTAATATTTAATTTAAAGATTTAGTTTATAATAATCGCATTCGGGAATGATGATTCTAATATATTTAAACTAAATATTTATCAATAGTAATGATTAATTAAATCTATTTCCCTTAAAACTGACTATCGACCATACCTATTCCTTTTTGGAGTTCCAACAACATAAGTTGAAGATGACCGAACTTCTCGAACAGGAGTGGAACGCTTTATTTAAGTCTCGAGAAATGTGTTCTTTGATTTTTCATAACATTTCTCATCAATTAGTCTAGTGTTATCTTTTTTTAAAGATTATACGCGACATTCTATTAACATATAAATTTAATATATTACCCATCTCGCTAATTAGTTTAGAACTTTACTTTTCAGATTTTTTGAGCTATTATTACCATGATTAAGATTATTCCTTTAAATTTTTATTCTCTTCTATTAATGTAGCAATTTATGAATGCAATTAGACGACAAACTAATTATACTAAATTTACTAAGCTTCAGATAAACCTTTTAATTCTAATCTAAAATTATAAATATATTATTTACTTATAAACATGATCGATATTTATCAAATGCTTCTACTGATCTACAATAAGATCTTAAACTTGTAATTTAAAGTATTCTTATTATTACATAATTTCAGTTTTCAACAACTGATTTTCAGTATTTAAATTCTAAATAACATTTTCTAAACCTCTTTTTTCTAATGTTATCTATTAAGAATAATTTTCAAGTTTTTCTCTTTCTTATGCTATCTCCTTTTCAATTTTTACTTTCAAACTTGAATCTACAGCCTTTTTTAAAGCGTCTATCTCTTTTTGATGTTTATCTTTAAGTAAATTCAATTATTCCCTAAGTTGAATAGTTTCAACCAATTCTTGAGATTAAATTTCTATTTTATTTTCTGCAAATTTCAATTATTAATGAGTCTCTGATAATAATTATTGTATTTGATTTAAATTAGATAAGGTTTCTTATAAATTATTGGTTATTTTAATATTTTCTTCTTAAGTTTTATGTAATTTAGTTTATAGTTATTGAATTTCATCTTGAAATCTTTACAATTTCTCAAGTTAATCTTTATTCTACATTTCATAATTTTCCTCCATTCGAATTGTCTTGAGTTTCCAATTGTCTATCTCATTACTCTATTCTACTGTAAGTTATTGGAGTCTGTGTAATTCATTTCTTAGACTTTGTATTTATGGTCTAGTCTCTTCAATTTCCTCCCCTTTAATATTACTTTGATAGGCTAATTACTAGATGTACGAAGTCTATTCATCTATTTTCTGCAATAAGACATTTATTTTTTCATTGAGATTATTTATTTCTTTGTTCTTTTATTATACAATTTATTCTGTTTACTAACTTAATAAATATAATAATTACTAATTTATTTTATTGTTAATTTTATAACAGTTTGATATCAAATTGGTTTTATTGTTATTTTAAGTAGGATGTATTTTCTTGGAATAGTTTATCGAATTTTAATTTTTAAGCCTCTAACTCTTTATATTGCATGAGCAATTGCTATTCCTTAATTTAGATTTCTTAGGCGTTGTCTGCGATTTACTTTTCCAGGTTATTGGTTTTAGTAGTTTCATGATTTAAATTCTATCTGGTTTATGTAAGTAGCTTTTATAAATCCTCATTTTCCATAATCACTTATTACATTTACTTTTTAAGATGATTAATTTCTTTATTATAATTATGTTGATTTTCTTATTGTTATAACTTGTGATTTCTATTCAACTCATTTAAGTTTGATTTCATCTAATTAATTTCATGTTTATATTGTTGAAATTCTTAATCATTTTTTTCTAATTATAATCTTTCTTCTTTTTCTAATAATTTCAATTCTTCAAATTAAATTATCAGTTCTTCATACTTAATCCTTCTACTCTCTATATCTTTTTCTTAATTGATCATTTTCTGTTTTTATTATCTATTTTCATTGACTTATTGTTCGAATTATATTTGTAATTATTGAATCTTTTCAGTATTCTTTTTTATAACTGCATCTTGCTACTCAATAATATTACTGATTTGTTGATTATTATTCAGTAACTCATTCCCCTTTTTATCTTTATAATCAAGTTATTCTTTGGCCATTTATAATTCCTTAGAGCAACTCTTCAATTTATCTTCATATGACTAAATAAGATCAGAATTCTATTTTAATTCAGTCAGAAGCTTCTCAATATTTGCTGTTAGATTCTTGTTTTACTATTCATACAATTCTCCATAATGGGCTTTCCATTTTTATTCAATAATTTCAGTTTCTACTTAAAACTTTTTTTGCAATGATTCATACTGATAAGACAGTTCTTCTAATTAGATTTGTAAACTCTAATTCATTAAAACTACTTTTTCATTTTCATATATCATTTTTGTAGTTCTATTTTCAATTGCTCTATATCTCTCATCTTTTTATGATTAGTAAGCGTTCTAAAGCATCCTTTATTCTTCTTGTAACAATTCAATTTCTCTATTTTTATCATTTAATTATGACAATAATCGCTCATTTTCAGTAGCTAACATCACAACTTTATTTTCCAATTCTTAAACAGTTAATCTTTATTAACTATGATTTAACTCTGCTAATAGATCTCTTTGATAAAAATGATAATCCTTTTTATCACTAAGATTGCTGATATTATGAAGGGACGAATCTTTATCAAAGTATGTCTGTCTAGTGTCATACATTATATTTAAATTTAAAATACTTTAAACTGTTAATTGAATTTTTTATTTATAGATATCCTCCATATAAATTTGGAATCTAGAATAGATATAATAAAATGAATATCCATTCAAACATGAATACAGACAGTCTAGTATGTAATAATAATAATCACAGTTTAAATGTATATAAAATTTATTAGTGAAATATGAGTTAAGCTCTATATATGTTGCTATACGTAATTTTATAAATGGATTATTAAGATAAAGAAATAATAATTTATAAATGAATCATGGAGTTTTTCAACATAAGTTTGATAAATAAAAATAGAGAACTATAACTTTGATACAGAAGTTAGATAAAGACCAAAGATAATTAGAAAAAATAAAATAGAGAAATATTTTAAGGGTTGAACGTTTGATGTCCCTGAATTAGAAAGATTTAAACACCGTCTGCACTTCAAGTTTATCAACAGATCATAAAAATGAAATAAAATTTAGTTTACAAAGTCGAAAAAATGCTTATTAAATCAAATTAGAATCTTTGGAGGAGAGTTTTGCTTTCCAGAAATTTGATATGAATAATCAAAATAGAAATTATTGGTACTTATTATATTCAATAAAAATAGGGCAAGATTAGCATATAGATAAACATTATAAAACAGTGATAGATAATATAGACACATTTGATAGAGAATTATTTTTATTTCAATGTTCCTGATTATAATTATTTATTATAAAATAATCTAAATAATATAAAAATAGGATGAAAAAATGGGATGATGATGCAAGATTGAAGAATTATGTTAATAAAATACTAAATGTCAAATCAACTATGACAAAAAAATTAAATACTGCTTCAAAAAGTAATAAATCATTACTATTTTGATATTAGAGAGAATCAATAGAGATACTGAATATAGTAGCAATGCAACCTATCGTTCAGATTAATTAGATTTTAAAGAGAGTGTTCTTTATAAGTAATAAGAATAAAGTAATATTAGATAATTAGTGGAGTACAATTTATAATAATATACAAATAAATTATTGTTAAGAGGATATAAGAGTGGTTTATAATAATTAGCATCATAATCTTAGGAATCATAAAACATTATCTTACAAGAGATAAAACTATTACCTGGACATAAATAAAAATTTGTTGATCTATTCAAATAATTAAATGAATAATATGAGTCTGGCAATGATAACAAGCTAGTAAATCATAATAATTTTGCTTAAAATCGTAATACTTTACCTGGCTCATTAAATTCACATGGATAATTTGATTAAACTAAAGAAGTATTTACTGAAATTCTAAAACCCATAAATAGAAGAGCATCTTTAAAAAATTTTTCACCTTCCCATGAGTAGACTTAAATCAAACCTAGAGTATTACCAAAATTGGAAAAAGTGTAGAGTAAAGGCAAAAAAGAAAGGAGTCCTTAATTTGAAGAAATTAATTCTAAATAATAAGATTTATAAGTTACAAATGTTGCATAGATACCTAATTTTAAAGAGAGTATTTCAAAACAAGCAGCAAAGACGATTAAAAAACCTATCTAAAATTAAATAAAGTAAAAGTTATCTTCGTAGAAATCTCATTAAGAAAAACCGAATAAATTTATAAATAAACTCTTACTAACTAATGGGAAAAACAAGAATGAAGTAAATTTAGAAAGAGAATAAATTTAAATGATGTATCAATCTTTTGACAATGGAAGATTAGCATCTACATTAATCAATATTGATATTGAAGAAATAAGTTATTGTGTTGGGATTTAAATTTAAAAAATGATGGTTCTTGCTGACTTAGTTTAAATACAAAATATTAATAAACATGAAATTTAATAGGCTGATAATGTATCCGGTTTATCAGATAGTAAATAAAAATAATAATATTAGGTTAGAATGTAATTAATGATGAAAATGATGGGGAATACATTTAAGATTAGGATTTCCAAATGGAGCAAATCGATACTGAAAAATAGCACATTAAAAAGGAATCCCTTTATTACGAAGAAGACCAAGAACAAGATTATCTTGAAGAGTTTGAAAATAATGAACAATAAAATTGTAATCCAGAGTCAGAGTACTTGGATGAATAATTTTAACCAGATGTTGAAAATAAGTAAATATCTAATACTATTATTTAAGTTAACCATTACCTAAATCTCAATTTTCAGTTGACACTACATTAAATTTACAAGAATCCATTTTATTTAATAAAGTGTTTGTTGATATGTAAATGACAAATTATATACCAAACGTGGATATCATTCAAAATTATTGTAAAAACATAATGACAACAACAAAAATGGAAAGAGAAGTAGCAATTATATCGATGATATATATAAATAGATTATTAGACCATAATCAAGGAATAGAAATCAATTGTTTAAATTGGCAGAAAGTGTTATTTACAGCTTTAGTTATGGCTTCAAAAATATGGGATGATGAATCATTTGAAAATAATAATTTTGCCAAAGTACTTCCTTAGTTTTCAACAATTTAAATAAATGAAATGGAAAAGGTGTTTTTGAAATTAATAGAATATCATCTCTATGTCAATTCTGGAGACTATGCTTAATAGTATTTTTTATTGAGGACATATGCAGATAAAAAATAACGAAGCTATGCTGTCAAATAACTCGATATTGCAACAGTTCTGAGATTATAAAGAGGTGGTCAATAGTTGATGACAAAGCAATAATTTTTAAATACTTTAAACAAAAGTTTTTGAAATTACTCCTAATTATAACTATATAAATAAATAGCTCTACAATTTTAACTAATCTTATAGATTGTCATTTAAAGCATTATATTATAATAACTTATTTAAGAAATAAATTAAAATATGTAACTCATTTCTTCTTTTGTTTAGGATCTGTTTTATCTTAATGAATTTAATCTTAACTATATACCTTATGCTTTAGTGTCCTTCTTGTCATTTTTTCCTTAATTTTGATCTTTTGGATTTTTTTCCTTTTAATCTTTATTGCCTTTCTAAGGTGATTTATTTTTATCATTTTTATCATCTTTTGGATCAGGTTTACCATCAGTTTTACTTGCTTGAAGCTAAGCCTTAAGTTTTTCATCTTAATTTATTTGAGGATATGCTACTTAATTAGAGTTCAGCCAATGATTTTGCCATTGTCTGTTGTCGAAACTGTTCTGCTTATTTCTTTTTTTCATATTTTAAAACAGCTTAAGCTGCATACTCATAAACATTTCCACTTGGAAAACCATCCTTGCAAAGTCTTCTCAAAAAATATTCATAAGCAGCCAATACACCACTGTTATTCAATATTTATTCTTATCAATATTTTAAATGCTTTATACATTTTTATTCTAAAATATGTTTTTCTTCATTATTCAAATCTTGATCTCCTTATTATTTATCTTAAGTATCATCCATCTTTCCTTACATAAATATTTTACTAAATTATTTATAATATTAATTATTATGAAAAACTATGAATAATAAGTAGATATTTAAACTAATCTAGTCTATACTTGTTGATAAAGAATTTTGTGACTAAAATATTTTTACATACTATTAAAGATCCAATAAAATCCATCCTTAAATACGACTTTTTGCGTTATAACAAAACAATTTTTTAAGACAACCTAATAGTAATGCAAATCTCTCTACTATTCAACATAGTATGAATATCTTATCTATTTTTATGAGCCCAAAAGCTATTAATCAGCAAGTTTGCCCAAATAAAGTTTCACCAATAGAGAAAACCCTCAAAGAAAATAAATTAAACCCTAGAGCTTCTCAACTGAAACCCCCTAACAAAAGCCAAAAATTAGAACTTTCAAAGGAATTTCAGCCAAGAATAAATTAATCTAGCTCTCTCAAAAGAAAAAACTGTAAATCCACTCTCGTGACATGAAGCTTAACTTAAAATAAGGTATTCGAAACACCAGTGTATGAAGATTGCAATAAACACTACACTCAGTAAAAGCCAGAAACCTTTCGTTACAAGGACTTAGAACTCAATTCATATATTGAAGAATATTCATTACTCTAGAAATAAACAATAGCTTCTGTCAAGCTACCTAATGGTGTGTAGCATCAAAGTCGGCATGAGAATAGTTAAACTAGTAGATTATCAATATAATTGTGTTCACATTCTTTTAAACCAATAATAAAAACTAAATCAATATCATAAAATTAGTAAATTTAACAAAAGAATTTTAACATAAGTGGATGGAGCGATCATTCAAATAAGTGAACTATGTCTTTTATATATTTGTTTATTTATATAATTATTATTATTATTTAAATTTTTACTCATTTTCCAGAATAAATACAGAAATTTAAATAATTCAAAAACATTAAAAATATTTTATTTTTTTTTTAATTATGAATCCCGCCTAAACCATAGCATAACAATTCCTCTAACAATACTATAACACTTTAATGACAAACAAAATGGGTTTAATCTAATTTTATACAGATGCCTCTCATATGACATATGGTTTTTTATTTAATTTTATTATTTATAGGTGGATAACAACATGATGGCTTGAAATAGATCAACGAGAAATTGGAATCATTGGCATTCTAAAAAATAGCTTATAAAATTGATGATATGGATGTCTAACCAGGAGCATTGGAGAATTCTCTATTCATTTTTGTGACTGGGTCATTACAGATGGATGATGCTGAGGCATACAAATTCTCATAAAGTTTCTAAATTCTTCCAAATGGCTAAGGAGGTTTATACGTGCATAATGATATCTTCAGATTAGTTTATTGATATATTAATAATAAAAATTTATTAAAATGGGATTCGAAGATTAGATTCCACCAATTCCAAATAGAGATTAAGAAAAGAGATATATAGCTACAGTTGAAAAGTCTTTCTATGACTAACCACTCTATAAATTTTATATGAATGAGGCTTTAAGAGAAAGAAAAATGGATTATGCTGATAAATTAAATACATTCAAATATGAATGGATCCTTAACTTTGCTGCCTCTGGAATTGTATTCAGCTTGTTATATGTAACATTTGATATTGAATCATTAGTTCATCCCAGTATCATATTATTATAGATAAACATCAACTGGTGTTCCAACATACTATCAGTATTTATCTAAAATTATATTTTAGACCAAAGAATAAAGCAGTCTTCAAACAAGGATACTTGTAAAATCAAAATTGGAAAAGATTTAAATTGTATTCATTCCTTGTGTTTGGATCAGCATTCATATTTGCTCATACTTATACCGATAGATCATAAATTCATGACGAATATTACAATAATGTTGGTGTCATCAAACCAAAGTTTGAATGATATAATCGATAAATATACAAAATTAAATCATTATAACCACAATCACTATTAACTTACTTATTTTAGCAATTTCTAGATAAATACATATAAGACAATTAAATGTGAAATTGTATTCTATACAAATCTATATTTTCTTGCATATTACTTAATCTATTAATTTTAAATTATCAAGAAAGGAAGATTAATGAAAAGCAAAAACTATGAGCATTATATCAAATTCATATTATTAATTATATTTCATGCAATTTCATTTGTTTCAGGTACTTACATTTCCATAGAATTACCTTCTATAGGCATAGGATTCATGCCATATATGTAACTATTGAGTCTTCCCAACAATCGATTTTATGGTTATAGATGAGGGGGTAACTCACTTCTCTCGCAGATAGGAGGAGGATCAAATTTCATAATTCTTTTGAGCATATCCTTCCATGATTCTCTTGGATCAACAACTGGATCATTGTACACTCGACCTTAAATTAAAATCATAATATTCCTTACCTAAAGGCTTCGTAGTATAGTCTCCAACATTTTAAGGCATGATTGATTATTGCAATGATTGAAGAAATATCTCGTAATTGACATACCTCCATTATTTTATGGTTCGAATTAATTCATAACTTGCAGGGTCTTAGATCAATTTATCAAACTCATAAATTATATAAGCAGAATCATAATTCCCCAATAAAATAGCATAATCTAATGCTGTAAATCCTTCTCTTGATCTTTTTGAGATATCTGCATGAAATCTCAATAATGTGCAACAAATATTTGCATGGTCTCTCTTGGCTGCCCACATTAATGGTGTCAACCCGTCTTTATCTGATGCATCTGGATTTGCTCCTCCTTCACACAGCAACATAACCATATCCAAGCATCCTCTCCATGATGCTCTTGCTAGAGGAGTGATGTTCCCAGCCGGATAAAGAATTGCATTTAATAATTCTGGGAATTATTTAAGAACTTATTGTGTATTTTCAACATTGTCTGTTTCTATTGCTTTTTAAAGTAATTTTTAAGCTTATGAAGCACCCATGATGACTTACCTCAAGTATTAAAACTTAATAAAATAATTAATAAGTATTATTTTAAATTAGAGATTATAATCAATAGATTATTGTTATAAGTACTCAGAAATTATATAAATTATTGGATATTATTATCTTTATCAAATATATATGAGTAATCCATACTATTTTTTAATGATAACTGAGAAGTAGGATGATGTAACAAGTAAAATAAATGAATAAAATATAGATATTTATATCAATTTTTAGGGTATCTTAATTCATTTTCTGGAATGAAATGAACTTATATTTTAGGTTAAAATTCATTAAAGAATTCAGGTCCTTTTGAAAAGTCGTTTCCTAAAGCATATGCCAGCATGGAACCATCAGGACTCATTTTAGCACAAACTATAGGATTACAATTGAATTAAAATGTTCTAATTTTATTTCTTACATTGATATCCCAAAATATCATTTAACCTTCTCCTCCTGCAGTCATAAGGAAGTAATTGTTTTTGATATTCATTTAGATACAATTAACAGGGAAGAAATAGTTTTGGACTTTTCCTTTTTAGTTGTCTTCAACCTAAAATAACATTTAAATATTTACTTTATGAGCTTTAAAAGTCATGATTGATTTTAACTAAAATTCAGTTGGCATACCTTATGTTTATTTGGTTGTGATATTGGTTTAATGTCCTCTTCCATCAATAGAACCTAAAGTGAATCCATCTCTTGAGGGAAATATTGCTATAGCAGTTAATTGTGAATAAGTTCCCAAGGGTGAATCTATGTATTAGAATCTTCCTGGTAACTATTATAATTCATTCAAATTGATTATTGTTAATTTTTCAGATGCAAATCCAATAACCAATAATGGGAAGTTGCAATCAGACACAAGTGGTTTGTATTAGAATTGACATTAAAATCTTGGTTATCCTGGAGCTCTGACATCCCACATTTTTAATGATTAATCTGTTGAGATAGATAGTATCATTTAGGCAGATTCTATCCAATAAACTGATATTATTAGAGCTTAATGTTATCCTATTGAAGCAATTTAACCTGAGTTGGTATCAATAACTTTTACTGTATGATCAAATCCACATCCTACAAAAATTTGAGACAAATCTCCCTTAGCATCCATGCAAATTATAGGATTTTTTACTTATCCAACTTACCCATCCACTTAAAATGATCTTCTTTCAAATAATTCTCTTTTATATGAATTCTATTAGATCTCTAAAATTCTGACCTTACCATCCCAAGAAGATATCGCTAAGAAATTTGGTATTGTTGTTCCCCAACTAATAGCTGATACTGTATCCTCCAATCTCACTCTTTATTCTAAAGATGCATCATTTACAGAATCATCTACACCCCCAGGCAATACAATTTGATTACCTGCCTAGACTTGTTATCCTAATCCTACTCCCATACCAAGAACACCACCTTATTATTGAGGTTACTATTAACCAAAAAGTTATGTCCCCCCAAATGAAGGAGTTGTTGATTATTATCCATATCCATATCCTGCTTGTTAGGGTTATTAAGGTGTCTGGCCAAATAAACCTCCTTATTATTATTATTATTATCCATAAGGTTAATTAACAGGAGGTTAAGCATTAAATAACCCTGTTGCTTGTTGTTATTACTATTATTAGCCAAATAAAGTTGGTTATTATTATTAACCGAACAATCCTCCTCCATTTTAAGGTTATTAACCAAATAAACCTCCTGTTTAGGGAGCTTAACCTACCATTCCAGTCTATTATCCAAATCCGCTTCCAGGGTTTCCTCCTAATCCTGTTCCTAATCCTCCTCCTAAACCACCAAATGTAGGAGGTTATTATCCTAATCCTTGAGGTTGGCCTAAACCACCTGTTAAACCAAATGTGCTTTAAGGTTATTATTAAAGTCCTAATCCTCCACCAAGGCCTCCGCCAAGTCCTCCTTATTGCATTTGTCCTCCCATTAAACCACCAAAACTAGGTTGTCCTTGTGCTGGAGCAGATCCAAATAAACCTTATTATGGTGCTGGATTTGAAAATAATCCTCCTCCTTAGGGTGCTCCAAATGTAGATTGTTATTATTGACCTTAATTGTCTAAAATTACATTACCTAATAATTATCCTACTCCTCCAACTGATTAACCTTGATTTTAATTACCAAAAATGCCACCTGTAAACATAATATATTTAAATTATTTAAAATAATTACTAATAAATACTATTTAAAATTTAATTTCCCTATATTCCATTATATTTTATCAAAATTATTAAAAAATATAAATATATAACTAATTCTGAAACAATTAAATGGAACAATCGTTCAAACTAAAACTTGCACCAAAAAGTCACAAAATTTCAAATTTAATTATTACTGATAATCCAAGTTCTATCATGATAATATGCTATTGATTTATATAGATTGATTGCGCTAATTATATTTTAACTTAATATTTTTCAAATAAAAATTTTGAAAATGAAATAAGCCTAACCATTTATACCTCTTGCTGTTGATGATAATAAGTAATACGATATTAAAAATGTACTCTAAAAATAATTTAAATAACTTACGCCAGAAGAATATCATTTCTTTAGTTTCTTAATAGCTACTAATCATGTTTTTGAGTAATTAACAAATTGCTAAAACAAATTAAATAATGATTCAACATTTAGTTTATGGAAACTTTTTGAGTTCTTTGATGTTAATGGAGACAGAAAATTGCAATTAGATGATTTTATTATCACTTTACAAAAATTAGATATTCTGCTCAAAAGAGAAGAAATTGAGTCCTTGTTTTCTACTTTAGGTGGTGAAGATGATAATATCATTTCATATGCAGAGTTTGCTAACTTATTTAAATTCGCACCTACACCTTAATGGAGATAATCAAAACAATTATCTGAAGGAGTTTTGAATTAAGATCAATAGAAATTAATACATTAGATATTTAGCTTATATGCTAAAATGGAAAGAAGCATTTTACACCTGAGAACTTAAATAGGAAATGATATTCAATAGCTTGAAGACTTTTTTAGAAAATTGGATTAGAAATAAAAAGGGTATTTAGTATTCAATGACTTTGTGAATTATCTTAAAACTAAGGGGGTTCAAGTCAAAGGGAATGATTATTATCGAGTATTCTTTATGCTTTAATAATATAAATCAGGTAGAATTAGTTTTAATGAGTTTCTTAAGAAATTTTCAACTAAGGAAGCTTATAATAACTATTTGCACTAATTAGATCTATTGATTAATCCTCCACAAATAGCCACAAGATAAACAATAGAATAATAACCTGTTCTATAATACAAAATCGATAGTACAACCAATTTTTAAGGCAAATAAATTGAATAAAATGAAATAACTTCAAAAATATCATAATAGTCCAGATTTTCACAAGATCTTGATGATTCAATTAGATTACCAGGCTATACTAGATATGTTTTTGGCAATAATTGAATCATAATTTTATTATAAAATATATTTTTAGTGACTTTAGTTTTAATTTTTATTATTGTTAGTTTGTCATTTATATAAAAAGATTTAAACAAGAAAATTCGGACTTATTCATAGTAAGTTCCTATTGATAATTACAAATAAAGATCAAAAACTAAAATTTAATAATATTAATTATGCATTTTTTAGCTTTGTTTATTACTGAGTGTAGTCAAGATTGCACATGTAGTAAAATAATACACAATTATTATGTTATTAAGAATGCAATTTTGATTGTAAATTTAAATATAGACATTTATTTTAGCTCTAATCATTGATGTATTAAAAATGGAAATATATATTGATAATAATTTGTAGGAATAATATGGCGAACTTTTATAATGATTTAGATTTTATTCTAATCTTATTGAAAAATCCACTTGACTATGAATTAAATTTGAAAATAATTTTAGTTATCTTTAAAATTTTTATTTATTTATTAATGAACTCAGTATCCACTAACACTTCCTTTACGGATGTTCGCATTGTTAAAATTTATTTTAAGATTCATTACATCACGCAATTTGGATAGGCTATTTATTTATGTGGAGATGATGAATCCTTAGGAATGTGGGATCCTTGTAAGGCACTTCGTTTATAATGGAATTAAGTATATAATAATAAATACAAAAGAATAACGAATGGACTATTTGTGTCAAAATGCCTCGGATCGCCAGAAAATTTGAGTACAAATTCTTAGTCAACGATTATAATGAGCCTTCCATTTGCAAAGCTTTTTGGGAACCTGGTGAAAATCGAATTATCACAAAACATTTGCTTCTTAATGGCAAGAAGAGCGAGTACTTCAATCGTAATACAGTTCTAATGTTATTCTAGAGGAATTTTGGGGTTATAGAACTATAAAATTAAAACTCAATCACACCTTACAACCAAAAGAACGCATGATGATAATAGGATCTATACCTGAGATAGGTTCCTGGAAATCACCTGTACTTATGAAATAGCAATTAAAAATTGATATTTGTAAGTTAATCAATCATTTGTGTTTCTAGTAACTCAAGAACCTATCCAATAATGGTCAATATCATTTATTGTAAACCCCTTAAACTTTTTCTTTCGATATTATTATGTGATACGAAATGACGAAACAGGAAATATGATATGGGAACGTGGCAATGGACGTTACTTAAAAACAGCAGATTTATCCTCAATAAGGTAAGTGTTGGATTAGTATGACCTTCACCCAATCAAAGTGAAGACTCAAATATACACTGCATTCTAGGCTAGATAAATACATAAAAATGGATCATTCTCTTCTTCCAAAATTCCAAAATCGAAGATCAAACAAAATAATTAGGGATACTCTTTTGCTGATAAGGAACCTTCCTTTTTTTACTATGAAGAATTTGGAAGATTAAATAAGTTGGATTGGAATTTTGTAGTGCAATTCTAAACCTATGAAATAAATGAGAATATATTGATAGGACCTTATCCTTAAAATGAATAAGATATTCTATACTTAAAATAAAAATAAGTTAGAGCAGTTCTCAATCTCTAAACTCGTTTGGATATGTTTCATCGTGGTGTTAATTGGGAACAAATAGTAGATGCTTATAAACGACACAATATTGTGATGAAGAACTATTAAATATTTGATATGGATTCTGAAGATTTTGAAAAGAAATCGAATAAAGCAGTATAAATTCTTAAGAAGTTAATAAATGAGTATGAATATGTCTATGTTCATTGTACAGCTGGGATAGGTAGAGCTCCCTCCATAGTAGTGCTTTACTTGGCTTCAATCCTTTAATATGATTTAAAAGAAGCAATAGAGTTTGTCAAATAAAAAAGGCAGTAATTTTACATCAATTATTGTAACACTACTCATCTAATATTATATAGCAATGCTCAAAAAGTCATTCCAAAAAACGCTTGTATTTAATCATGGATTAGGGTATTAAGACTTAACTTAAACACTTTGAGATTGAATAAAGCCTTCGTTGTATAATTTATTAATTTCATTAATATTAATTTTAATTTAAATAAACTCACCAAACTATATTATATATATGAATTTTATTTTTTATATGTATCTGGCATTTGAATAATATTGCTAATATTGTTGTTGCCATTAAAAATTATTAAAATTTTGAGAGTAATTTATACAGATATCATATAGAATTTGTGAACGATGTTTTAGAGTTAAAATTAGAATGCAAAAGTAAATTATTGAGTTTATTCTAATTCATATTTGGAAAACTAATCAATTAATTTTCAAATAGCAATTATAATACCATAAACAAAATTTAATTATAAATATAATTAATAACTCTATAAAATCATAATTGCTATTTTTATTGTTTTTTCAAAGTACTTTGGAATGGGTTTATTTTATAATCAGCTTTCTTCTTTTTTAAAGCATTATTAACAGGTACTTCAGTCTCATTTCTTTTATGAGATTTCTTCATTTTTTCTGGTTCATGTGTCTCTTCAATTTTTAAAAGTTCATCTTAAGTTTTCCCTTTTCTATGATGGGCTAACTTTTTCTCAACCATTAATTCTTCAATGCTTCTCAAATCAAAAACCAACTTCTAATTTTCCTTTGTATCAACCTCTGTTGATTACTCCACAACTTTCAAGTGTTGTGTACTTTACTTTTAAATAACAGCAATTGGTTCCGCTTGAGGTAATTCATGTTCTCCATCATTAATTATTTTCACTTAAGAATAACTTCCAAGTAAACATTCTTGCTTAGTTTCCAATAATTTTAAAAAAGCTTAACTGTTTATTATCTTCTTCTAAAATAAATTGGATAGATCTCCAAACTTATCCCTATTTTATAAGTTTTCAAATATTTTTTTCTTAAATTTATTGTAGAGTTCAATCAGTTCTGTAACATTGGCAATTTAATAGACCATAGCAATTCTTCCCTTTTTCACAATGGTTTCAAATTTATTTTAAACAGAAACATCATCATTGCGACTAGATGATAATGATTTCCATTATAGGATATTTTAGAAATCCTCAATTGTTTATTCAATATTTTTGAAATGTTCGAATATTTAATTAGTGGATTTCTACTTTAAAAATACACATAATAAAATAAGTTAACATTTGAGTACATGATGTTACTTTAATGGAAATTACAAGTATCTATCATGAATTTCTATAATGCTATGAATTTAAACTTCGATTTCTTTCGGATTCATTTTTTCCAAAGATAATGTTAGATACTTATCCTAGACCAAACCATAGATTTCATCTTTTTTGCTCTTATTTAACGCTTTAATCAATTCTCCCAATAATTTCATAGCTTTAGTTTATCCATCCGTTCTCATCAAACCTTGAATATGAATTAACTACTTGCCTACTTTACCCAATAAAACTGAAGTTTTCAGAGTGATTGGCTATTTAAAATAAAGTGTTTGAAAGGTCTGGCCTAGAGCTTCATTCAAAGTTTAGAATAAACTCAAATCTTATTCACATCTTACTTATTATTTACTTTTTATTTTAAAAAAAGCCTCTCTCAATTTTGAAATGATTTGAATCTTCTTGGCTTAGTAATGCATTTGAATTACAAAATTATTACCTTTGGCATTAGTCAATGTCCTATTAGACCGTTCTATAAATCTAATAGCACTTAAATATTATCCATTGAATTCAAAGATAGACCCTATTATAAACTATAATTTTGCAATTATTTTCTTTCTAAATTCTCGTCCATTTCTATATTACAAATTCATGTCATTTGCATAAAACAATGCAATGTTCATAGCATGTCCAATATCGTCCTGTAAAACATGAATCCACAATTACTACAATACGAGAAAAACAACTTCTTCAGCATAAATGTGAAATGATCGTAACATCAGCTCTTAAGCTCTTTTGAGACACAACAATGAATTTTCCTAATCATGGATATCAAAGTAACTCATTCCAAGCAGAAACTCTACTTTAGCTTTATTACTTGTAGCCAAATTTCTGACTTTTATATCTTTATATTTAATTTAAAAAGGATTGTATTCTGATTTATCCTAAATGTCCTACTAATCTTCGACCGACTTGAATTCTGGAAAGAATTGATTGTAAATTACTAAACTCATTTCTAAGTTGAGCATAGCTGAAACTGGTGCTAAACTTATTCTGGCTATTTCTCCACTCACTAACAAAGAATAGCCATACGACAATGATGCTTAATGCTAGTTTTTCAATTAGAATCCTATTGCTTTTTAAATTTTACTGATTGCCTAAAAATAGTTATCTGAGCTGAGATAAGAGAGTGCTGACCATACTTATAACATTACATGTTTTTTTTATTCAAGTAACCCTTTAGCTTAATTTTAACTTCTTAATCTATGATCCATTTGCATTTTTTGTTTTAGCTGATTAGATATGCATTTCTATAATTAATTTAAAATCACAAACGGCTTCTTTTAAGACAATGTCATAATCTAAAATAAGAGAGTAATATGGAAATTGTCAACACTATCATCCTTTATTGTTTTAATGATATCAATAACTTTGTCCATTTTTTGAGATACCACTTTTAATTTCTCTTGCCATGAATCATCTGGATACTATCTAATAAAATAGAAAATATTAAGAATCTCCACATAACAATTTTAAAAAATAGGTTTCTATAAAGTTTGAAACTTTTCATAATAAGTTTGAAATTTATTACCATAGAGTAATGACTGATATATTATCTCTTAATAAGTTTGGTCTACTTCTGAAAGTTTGTCCTTATTCAATGCTATAGATTTGTAGTCTTCTCTTATATTCACAGGAAAACTGTCTATTTACTTTACTTCATTCAACTCATCCAAATCAACTGAATTAGAGTTAGATTATTTTTGTTATTCTTGATTTTACTCTTGTTCATCGAATTATTTTGAATCTTACTAAAAATCTACTTCATTTAATTCTTTCTGAAGACAGTTTGTAACTTATTTGAAATCTAAAATCATTTTATCAACATCAGTCCCTTCATGTGAATATATGGCCATCTTAAGGAATTCAAGTAGATAACGATCTTGATTATGACAAAATAACTTCTCAGCCAATAAACAATAATTCTTCTCTTCCTCTAAATTCTCTAGTTACTCTTTCTTCATGTTAACAAAGTACTTTTTTCTCGTTGTCGTTATGGTTCTTAAATTCTAGGTCTAAACCTTTTTGAAATAGATTATCATATCTGTTATTGCATATAAATCTTTCTTGAAACATTTTACAAATGCCTTATATTTCTTTTCCTCCAAAGTCTTCAAAGTCATTTCTGGATTTTGACCGAATTCTATTAAAGTTTTCATTCTACCAAACGATTCTAACTTAAATGATTTATATTTTGGAACATAAAATATTGTTGATAGTGTGAAATTAAGTCTGTAGAGATATTTCTCATAACAACCGAGGAGGATCTCTATTAAGTTTAATGACAATTTTTTGTGTAGCATATTACTTAATTCACTTTTATCATTAAGCAAAATCTATTACAGATCTTTTAAAGAATAAGAGAGACTATCATAGAACAATGCCAACCTATACATATTTGGTTAATCAAATTAGGGGGGTATATCAAACAAGAATGTTGTATTTATTATAAACACTAAGTACTAATCTAGATTTTAATGATAGTGTTATAGGATCAAATGAAACAACACATTTAAAAATCTTGACTATTGTTCTATATCAACAACAGTTATGATTTCAAGCATCTCTAAATTCGTGGTCAAAATAAAGTCAGCTTCCTTTTATTGATTTAGATGCTAATCTTATATTATACTCTATTTCTTCTTTGATCTCATATGAGTTTACTTAAGTGCAATCTTTCTTTCAACGTTTAATAATTTCTCAAAGGAAATAAAGCTATTTGGACTCTCTTTGTCAATATTAAAATAATTATCAGTAGAAAAAAAAGTTGGTATTCGAGAATATTTATTAGCCTCTTTAAATGTATCTGGTTGCAAATTAAAAAGTTCAAAATCATTTTAAGTGATCAAAATTCCATTCATATGAGCATAATGTACACAATCTTTAATTTTTGTTCCAATAGTAATATTGTAATATTTTTTTTGTTCATTTTGAGTTAATTCAACCACTAAAGAAAAGACTTTCAGTACGTGATCTGATCTTCTATAGTAATTAACATCATCTTTTGTTGATCTCGGCTTCTTTTTTGAAGGTTTGGCTTATTAAGGCTGTTATTGTTGTTATGGCTCTCCATCCTAATATTCTTAAACCTCTTATTCAGCTTAGTGAAGTGTGATGGCATTTCCATTTGTGTTAAGTGTTGTAAATTAATTACAAATTGAACGCCTGGTTGAATTTTATACTTAGAGCTCTTCTTCTATTTTCAGTTTTTTCTATTCTGCTACAGTTTACTCTATTTGCAGTTATATTCCTGCTTCCTTATCAGATTTTTTAGAGCTACAAATTCCCATTAATTTATTGATTAATAAATCGTTCTTCTGATACATTATCTTAAATTCAAAGAATTCAAAACTTGCGACAATGTTAATTTCTATAAAATTCAGGTAAGGAACTGGACTTAACAAAATATAAATCTAACTTCTCTACTAATCGGTTCATAACCAAAAATTGCTAAAATTCACTGATAACAATGATTCAAAACAATTAAGTGAAAAAACGAAAATAATAATAAATTATTATATTATTAAAACTTTTTCTTGTTATTTTAAAATTGACTTGAATGACTTACCCTCTTCTATCCTAAGCCTTAAAGATGATAAGATATATACATTTAAAAATTATTATTCAAACCAAAAATATGATAGGATTGATTATCCTTTAAGAGTCTAATCATTTTCTAGATTATACAAAGTTAATAATATAATTTGTATAAATAATTTTATGATAATTATGTCAAAAATTTCAACATTTACTTTAAAGAATATTAATTTATAAGAAAGATTAAATGGAATAGAGTACTTAAATCATTTAGAGTTTTGATAAATTAATTAAAATAATGACTTTATGTTTTTTATTAGATCTTCTCATTATATTTTATTTATAAATTACTCAAACTTACTAAAAAGTTATGAGAAAATTGGAAAGAATTCTAATATCTTGATGATTTAATCGAAAACTGAAACATTTCTTAATTTATCCATAAATTTATTTAAATCTTTAGAGTTATTTAATTAATGAAGTGAGTTTATTATAATTGTATAAAATAAAATATTTTAATTATAATTTATTTAGTAAATAATATAACCTTTTGAAGTCTAACTTAAATTCTTTATACTACTTTTGAATCTATTATATTTAATTTATTGTTATTCTTGAGATATTTATGAGTTTTTTCACAATATTCTAATCAACATATTCCTAACTAATATATTTATATATAAGTAGTAGCTGATTATAAATTAACCTAAATTGAATTAACAAATCAATAATAATGTTATAAGATAATTCTAGATATATTTAGTTTGTGTATATTTTCTATTGTAAATACATTCGAAAACAGAAAAATATTTTAACATTCACTTAATTAATATGAATTTAAATTTAAATTTGGAAGATTATGAATCAGCTCTCCATGCAATTGAAACGAAGAGTCTGAAAATGGGAGTTTCTGATCCATTAGACCCTTAGATGAGTCAAGTATTTAGCGTAAACATTAATGCAGATTTTCTATTTATATGGGTTAATTGAATTTAAAAAGATCGAGAATACATTACCATTTTAAGATGTAACACAAGAATTCAAAAAAATTGACGAATTTTTAACAGTAGCTGCTGAGATATGTGAAGACGATGATTTGCTGATAAAAATTTATTCATTAATCGGAGATTTATATTTCTTGTAATACATTTCAAAGATATTTTAGAGTTGATTTAAATGAAATTGCAGAACTGAGTTATTTAGAAGCGATAAAGATCAGTCGAGATCCAATACAATAAGTATAGTTATACATAGAAATCTTGCAATTAAGAATTGTTTTCACAAAATCGGAGGGAACAGCTGAATTGTTTTAAAAGGCTAAATAGTTGGCATTCGATAATAATTCACATTTGTTAGATACTATTTTCAAGTTAGAGGAAGAATATGTTGTCTCCATCTAAGATAGTTAATACATTCCTAAATAAGACAATACACAGGGAGAAAGCAAATTGAGAACTAGTCAAAAGTATAAGTAAATGAGAAACTTGGGTGTGTTTGGAAGTTATAAGAGAAGCAATGCTAAAGAGGAATTAATGAATTGAATATTATTAATAATAATTAAATGACTCACAGGTACTCGTATGGTTATAAGAAATCTTACAGTAAGTTATTTGATGTCAATTGTTAGTTGAAACACCGAAACGCTATTAATATCAATCATTGGATAGGCTACCAAAATTACCATCAATTACATCAGATGCAAAGTAAGATTGTAAGCTTATTCAGACAGTCTTGGAAAATTGGTCGCAAAGAATTGTTAACAAATTTGGGAGTAATGAGTTTGCCTGGATAATTGATGAGTGGAAAACAGAAGACTAATTAAGATGCATTTATAATAGAAAAGAGGCTGAATTTCTATGGTGTGGCTGATGGACATGGAATGAATGGTGAGCGTGTTTCTGGATTTATTCGAATCACTCTACCAAAATATATCGAACAAAGTCTTTTAGATCCAAGAGAAACATTGATAAAAGGTGTTTTATAAACAAACAATGAATTGGTCAACAATTCAAAAATTGAAACTGTTATTGCAGGTTCAACCTTGTGTTGTGGTTTGATAAAATTAAATAAATTATACATAGCCAATGTAGGCGATAGTAGATGTATTATAGCAAAATAAACTGGGAATTCTTGGTAGGCCATTGAATTAACCAAGGACTAAAAGCCTTCTAGAGAAGATGAGGCAATAAGAATATTAAAAGCTGGTGGCCGTATAGCTGCTTAATAAGATATTTACGGTAATTAAGTGGGTCCACTGCGAGTCTGGTTAAAAACATTGAATGCACCAGGATTAGCGATGACCAGAGCAATGGGAGATAGACTAGGTGCTTAAGCAGGAGTGATAGCAACTCCTGAAATTACAGAGTATGAATTAACAAACGATGACAAAATCTTGGTATTTGCTTCGGATGGGATTTGGGAATATCTCTCATCCCAAGATGTAGTTTCAATTTTGAGTCAGTGTTATGATAAAAATATTAATGCTGAATTGGCAGCATAAAAATTACTAAATTTTGCAGTGGATGCATGGAAAAGAAATAGTTTAGCCAGAGATGATATTACTTGCGTAGTCTTATATTTGTGAATTAATTTAATTACATTTCATAATTGTTTACTTATAGAAATTAATAATTTCTTAAATACTTACTAACTAAGAAATATAAGGAAATTCTTCTTGATTTCAATTTCTTCCATCAACATTAGTAGTTAATGAGCACATTTATAAAATAGAGTTTTTCTATTAAATTCAAATCTATAGTTTTTTAATTGAATTATTCAAGTGCTTTTTTATTATTTGAAATTTTCAACTTCTTATTCTATATTAATCTTGCCTTATATATGAAAAATAAGTGTTTTACTTCTAATTTCTTTTTTTCATAATTATTTATATTTTAATAATTACAATATAAGATAATATATGTAGGAATATAAACTAATCAATACTCGGGAGTTCCCTAAAGGTAAATTGTTATCTAAAGAATGGCATATACGAATTAAGAATGGTTTTGTGTATGTATTTGCTGTTGATCATGATTAGGATTTTAAAAAGGGTTCTGTAAAATTAAATAATTGCATCCTTGAAACTAAAATGAAGTATAACCAAATTTATTACAAAGTCGTAATCTCAAGTTTCCGATCAAAATTGAAAACTTAAAATTTGAGATAGTTATAGTACAAGATTAATGTTTTCTGCTTATGAATGGAAGGAACGTGGAAGTTGTTGAAATTCCCTAATTGGATTCACAAATGTTATTCCAAAGTTAAAATCGATTATAAAATCCCTTTTCTGACAATCAAATTCAAGAAATGCTCGTGATTTGTGATAGTATACTCTCCGCTTTATTTGATATGGATTTTCATACTCAGTAGCATCATATCAATGAATAATTATCAAATTTGGAGATATTTCTAAATTAGACTCAGAATTAAGAATTAAGAAACCAAATTTAAGATAAAATTGAATAGTTTAATTAGATTCAATAATCAATGGCATAACAAATCAACTTTGAATAAAATAAACAGTAAGTGAAAAAATCAATAGTTATCAAAGAGGTTAAGGACTTGAATGAAGAATAATAACCATAAAGACCAAGAAATGAAATACAACAGGACACTTGTTGTATTATTTGTATGGACAGAGATATTACTCATGCATTAATACCATGTGGACATTAAAAGTATTGTGAATAGTGTGCTCTTATGTCTATCGATTTAAAGAAATGTAGTATCTGTTAATAGCCAATAACAGGCAGTATTAGAATTTTTCGTTGATGTTATTAATACCTATTACCATAATATTCTTACCAATTAACAAGCTCTCTTTGTATATGAACGATTATATAACCAATTTCTTTTTACTAAAATCAAACAAATTATTTATGATTGCTTTTATATTTTATATTAAATTGGAATTAATTCTTCCTTTATAATATCTATTTAACCATAATTAATATTTTAATTTATGTTTGCTCGTTTGATTTCAAGAATAGCAATGCCCGTTTTGAGAAGTTAGAGAATTTAATTTGGTCCAGCTTTGACAATCTTGAACAATAGATTAATAATTTATAATCTGACTTAAGTTAGAATTCCTGTAATGAATGAGTTAACAGAATCAGAATAAGATGAAGAAATACAGTATATCTAAATTAATCAACTTAGGGATAGCATCAGTTTAACATCTGCATGATTCTTATGAAAATATTCAAATCATAATTATATTATATTTTACCTGTCATCCACTTCAATACCTTATATCTAAGCATATCGTTGCTAATATCCCTTTTTTAATGTTTAGATTTGAATTGAGCAGCATTCTAATTAGATTTATAAATAAATTGTATAGTACCAAATTTGAATGAATAGTGCAGATTTAATTCAGAATCAAATGTTATCAAAGCAGAATTATATTTAATATCGCATACATCCTAAAAAGAAAAAAGCACATCAAATTTTATATATTTCCAATTTGAAATGAAAATCAACTAGATTGTAGTGAATATTTTGAAGGTTCTTTATGTTTTTTATATTGAGTTAACTTTAATTTTAGGGGGGAAATTTAATAAGTTTATCTATTTTTTAGAGAAAAGAAGAAAAAAATTATTAATATGTTTATATTAATTTTCTTATATAAAGTAGAGATTACTATGAATATATTTTTATATAATTAATAAATTTAATATTAATAATGACTCAATTAAAGTAGAAGCACCATCTATTTACTTGACCTAAAATAAGATTGACGAATTTGTTTATAACAGTAGAATATTTATTTTAATTTAAACATATATTTCAAAACTTGCCTTCTTTGTGAAATAGTGGGAGTTAGCTATAAAAAATATTTAAAAAAGTATAGGGATCCTATTTGAATGTAGATCATACATTTTTGATAATTATAAAATCTTGGTTGTTCCCATAGAGAATCTTTAATTTATGACTCAAAGGTCCAAAGATATTGAGCATTATGTGAATTCTAAAATTAGGTAAAAGTTATGATAACATAAGTTCTCAAAAAAATGTAATTGTGGACAAGACGAAGAAAAATTTCATTTTGAATTTATATCTAATATTTCATTTCTAATTTTATAGTTTTCCAGCAATCAAAGAGACAATCATAACATTATTTTTCTTATTGTCTAAAGGAAGAATTAAACAACGTTTATTTGATGAGAATATAAGTTTTTTCCGCACCACTTTGATTCTGTAAAGAAGGATTATTGTTTTAGCCGTAGCATACTTCAGTTATAATTACTAAGCTGCCTTAATTTTCATACTCATGCATACTTGCTTAATTTGCAATCCATTTTGAAAAACCTTATGAATCAAAGCTCTCTTTTTACTTGGAGGTATTTTGGTGTAAGATCGTTTCTATTTGGACTATTCTATCATGATAAAGAAAATATTCAATTTAGATTTAATTTGCTGAGCTTTAAACATATTGAAAAATGAATATCTATAATTGATAAATAAGATATTGTCCAGAAATTATAATCAAAAGTGAATAATTATTAAAATTATACAGACACCAAATAAAATTCCAGAATCAACTTTTATTCAAATTAAAAATAATTTATTGTAAGTATTAGTATATACTGAATCGAGTACCAACTAACTCATCTATTTTTATAAAAATTCTAAATTCATATATAATTTATAATTTATTATATCAATAATTAATTTTTTGTTTTTACTTCCCAATTTACTTATAAAAAGAATTAGTGATTTATAAGAATTAACTGGCAATTTGAAACAGTAACAAATAAAGAAGATACCCCTTAGGCTGATTCAGCAAAAGGTGTAATAATATCCTAAAGAGAAAATTAGATGTTAAAAGAATCAAAATACATGGAAAAATAAAGAAGTATTTATGATCTAAACAACAAAAAAGAAAGGCAATCAAGGAAATAATTATAAATGTTGATATATCTCAAAAGAAAGAGAATTATTCTATGCTCTGTGATTAATAAATACTATAATGCAGATTGATAGCTCTCATATTTATACTATATATCTGGAGTCTACACCACATTGTTGGAGCAATTCTATTAGATCATCTTCAAATTATTGGAATCCACACACATAAACCTTTGCAGCCTAATATTTCAATCTATCTTGTATGTCTCTTTTCGTGTAATGCAACTTTGTTATGTGGAACTCAAATAAATTTAGATTGTATTAGCCACTTAAATATTCCAAGTCTTGTAATATAGGGTATCCCAAAATTTAAGTCTTGGAAGACACACAGAGTATCAATTTAAATTTGTCCAATGAATTATATTGCTATTGAATTGGCAACCCATCCTGGTACATAATGGAAAATAAGGCTTTTCTGAGAAGATAATCGCATAGATCCAAAAATGGCAAAACACCAGTACCTTAACAAAATACATAATGCACTCCAGCACTGTGATCATCCAATTCCAATCCAAAACCATAGGGTCCTGTGATTTCAAATCTCTTATGAGAAGCAGTGTGAATGAACTTGCTTAAGTTTTTTTAGCCGTTATACTTTTTAATAACAAACTATAAAATGTTTGATAATTGGGGCATTTATGGCAAAGGTTTAGTCCAATCTTTTGATTTGAAATACTCAATTAATTCATACCTGTATTTGATATTCATTTCACTTAAGCATGAAACAACTGTGTAAGGTCTCTCTTAGAAATCTATTCCAATTCCATAAGGTTTAATATAGAAGTATCTCCCAAACCATTAGACTCCTTAGATAGTTTGATTCACTTTAAAGTCTTAGTTAATGAATTTAAACAGAGAGACATTGGTACCCATTGATTTGACTTCTTGTAATGTCCAAACATGAGATGGTTTCTTATAATCTGAGACAGTGTAGAGTATGGGACATGATTCATTTTTGAAATCTCCTAAATAACGCGTCTCGATATAATNTTTATTGTAAGTATTAGTATATACTGAATCGAGTACCAACTAACTCATCTATTTTTATAAAAATTCTAAATTCATATATAATTTATAATTTATTATATCAATAATTAATTTTTTGTTTTTACTTCCCAATTTACTTATAAAAAGAATTAGTGATTTATAAGAATTAACTGGCAATTTGAAACAGTAACAAATAAAGAAGATACCCCTTAGGCTGATTCAGCAAAAGGTGTAATAATATCCTAAAGAGAAAATTAGATGTTAAAAGAATCAAAATACATGGAAAAATAAAGAAGTATTTATGATCTAAACAACAAAAAAGAAAGGCAATCAAGGAAATAATTATAAATGTTGATATATCTCAAAAGAAAGAGAATTATTCTATGCTCTGTGATTAATAAATACTATAATGCAGATTGATAGCTCTCATATTTATACTATATATCTGGAGTCTACACCACATTGTTGGAGCAATTCTATTAGATCATCTTCAAATTATTGGAATCCACACACATAAACCTTTGCAGCCTAATATTTCAATCTATCTTGTATGTCTCTTTTCGTGTAATGCAACTTTGTTATGTGGAACTCAAATAAATTTAGATTGTATTAGCCACTTAAATATTCCAAGTCTTGTAATATAGGGTATCCCAAAATTTAAGTCTTGGAAGACACACAGAGTATCAATTTAAATTTGTCCAATGAATTATATTGCTATTGAATTGGCAACCCATCCTGGTACATAATGGAAAATAAGGCTTTTCTGAGAAGATAATCGCATAGATCCAAAAATGGCAAAACACCAGTACCTTAACAAAATACATAATGCACTCCAGCACTGTGATCATCCAATTCCAATCCAAAACCATAGGGTCCTGTGATTTCAAATCTCTTATGAGAAGCAGTGTGAATGAACTTGCTTAAGTTTTTTTAGCCGTTATACTTTTTAATAACAAACTATAAAATGTTTGATAATTGGGGCATTTATGGCAAAGGTTTAGTCCAATCTTTTGATTTGAAATACTCAATTAATTCATACCTGTATTTGATATTCATTTCACTTAAGCATGAAACAACTGTGTAAGGTCTCTCTTAGAAATCTATTCCAATTCCATAAGGTTTAATATAGAAGTATCTCCCAAACCATTAGACTCCTTAGATAGTTTGATTCACTTTAAAGTCTTAGTTAATGAATTTAAACAGAGAGACATTGGTACCCATTGATTTGACTTCTTGTAATGTCCAAACATGAGATGGTTTCTTATAATCTGAGACAGTGTAGAGTATGGGACATGATTCATTTTTGAAATCTCCTAAATAACGCGTCTCGATATAATTGATTGCAAACTAAGAGTGTTTATGTAGTTTAGTGTCTTTAATTGGGTAGGATCCATAGAAATAACGTCCAACTTCTCTACCTTTGATTTTCCTAAAGATGTATTAACCTCCTGGATGGTTAAAATCACTCACATCATATACTGCTTCCCTTAGGATTATGTATGTTATTTTAGGATAATCTTCTATCATCTCTTAGTAAGGAGTGCCAGTGTTCAGTTTTTCAATTATACTCTCATAAAGGGTTTGTTGATCCTATTCAATTTAACTGTATTTAATTCTCTTTCGAGAAATTGCCGAAACCTAATAATAATAAAGCATTTCGATGGTAAATTTGATTAAAAACAACAAGACGTAATAGATAATGAACAATCCAATATATGATGAATCATATATGGTAATTCCAATTACTACTTGTATCTTTGTAATGATGTACAATAAATAACCAAGATATTTATGAATGTATTTCACTTTATAAATCAAATATGTGCCATTATTGGATTCTAAATTATTTCTCGCAAGTAAACCTAAAAATATTTGCATCGTCATTATTAATAAAATGACAACTCCAAGAATAAAATGAAGAATTATTTTGGTTTCTTAATATCCTAATTGTTATATTTTTCTTTATTCTTACGATATCATCCCAAATACAAAAAAGTAGGTGACTATTGATAAGAATAGAAATATCATGCCGTGGACTCGAACATACTTTGGATAACTCTTCAACTGTCTTCCATAAAATATGCCGATATCAGAAATAAAGGACCAAAATAATAACATGAGAATTATGTGACCATTACGAACTAATTTGTCCCAATAATCTTCTTAATAGGATTGATTATTCTTCGACAATTCAAATTGAAATGCTCCTCTATTAGCACTATGATATTATTGACCATTTAGACCAAATGCGTAAATACTTAAGGTGTCTTTCTTTTACGAAAAGTCAAAGTCATATTTATCAGAAGTGACCAATTTCCGATGGACTCTTATAACAAATAAATCTGTAATATTATTGAATGTAAAGCCATCTAAAATCCAATCTTAGGTTCCAAATAACTGAGTGTCTGATAATGGAGCTGTATTCTGAGTTCCAAACATATCATCAATCTAGACATAATACCCTTTGTCATTGTTGATGGTCACTGTTTCAATAGTAATGAGTACCATATCAGTATTTTCCATTCTATATTAAATTGCAATACTTACTTATCGTTGTTAAATCCCAAGCCAAACCAATCACATGAGAATATTTCGATCTATAAGATAATATTATCATTTTTATCATATTCCCATTCCAGGATAAACTCATCCTTTATTAAGATTTGCTTGTTTAGCAATTCAGTTACATTATTGTAGTAATTAGAATTACATTAGCCATTCAGAACTTGAATGTTATTGTCATTACACATAGTGCATTAATATGCGAATGGCCCATAACATGTAGCACAAGTATAATGACACTAGTAAGTTTGAAGTTAAAACCTACCAAATTAGGTATAAGTATCAAAATCGATACTCTTCTCATTTATGGCATAAAACATTTCAACATTATTATAAGAGTCTATTAATTCATCTGTGGGATCGTCTGAGTTCGTCGATTTTAAAAATGAAGAATATATATAAGTATCATTTATCAAAGCATCCAACACATATATATCTTGCTGAGCATCTACAGTAGGAGATGTAAACGAAATCTTGTTTTGCTCCAGGGTGTCTTCAATTTTCAAAACTCCATTAACATTAGACATCCTGATAATGTCAGCATTTGAATATGTGGAACCAAATCCAATTAAACACCAGAATTAAGTTTTGCAAGTTAAAGCAAATTAAATATTGTTGTAGTCAACAAATTGATATTCCACTACTATTAGACCGTCCAACAATTATATCATTAGACATGGCTATAAAATCAATAATATTAATATATTCATAAATATAATAAAATGGATTAAAAGAAAAAAAGTCAACTTATTTAAGGCTATTGTAATGGATTATTATTTTCAATCTTTCTGGGGATTTACGATTATCCCTTCAGCTCTGCAAACGCAACTTGGACAAAATCCTAGCTTAGATTAGACTATGCAAAATTCATAGGATAAAAGGCCCTGTGTTTTCCTCCTATGCTAGCATTATTTTAAATTACATGCGCCTATATGGAAGATTGGGGATATAGCTATCCTACATAAGTATTGGCAGCTGCTGGAGTAGGAATTTGTTATTTAAGTATTGTTAAGTATAAATGATTATTATGAGTTGATATATTCACGTAATTTTTAATATTTTTTGATACTATTGAACTCTTGATTTTTTTATGCTGATTACTACTAATAAAATTAATATATTCAACCAATAACTCAACCCCAGACCCAGATGTGATAAATATCCATAATCTACCTATCTATTTCTTAATTTTAAGAGACTCCCATTTCTCTTTCCTCTGATTACATAAATTAGACACTCGAATTTCTTTAGGTGCTTCTTCTATTTTAATTTCAATTAATCCTAATACAGTTTTAATTTAATATTTATATAAGATATATATCTAATGCTATAAATGAGAAAATACTCTAAATTATTTTGAATAGGCTTAAATTATCTACTGCAATTACTTAAAATAAATTAGATCTTTGTTATATAATGATGATAGTAGTGATATACAATTATCGATATCACGTTGATTAATAAATTTATTGATTTAGTGCTGTTATCTTGCGGATCTAAAAAATACCTTTTAAAGAAATATCAATTATACTAATATATCAATTATTTTCTATATCCTAATATGTTGATTTAAAAGTGAATGATTAATGTTGATGTTTAATTACTATTACTAATAATACTAGATCCTTAATTTCTGTTGATAATTGATTTATTTAAAGAACATCACTTTAATATTTCAAATAATGTAGCATATTAAATTAATATTTCTATAAATTTATTTACATATATAATATAATCGAAATTTAGTAATATCAAGTAGATGATTAAGGTTTATAATTTTTAAAGAATTGTTTTTAGTCATCAGTCATATTTACAACTATCAATTTTGCAGCATTGATTATTTGTGGAATGTCTATCTATAATTGATCTTTAATTAACCCAGTAAAAAATTCCGAAATTTAACCTATATCTTTGTTGAGTAAATCATATCCAAATTCTTTAAGTAATGCTATACTAATTTTAATGATTGAAAAGATATCAGTTGCTAATATAAAATCCCAAAAGTAAATCACATTATCAATGGGGAATGTATATAAAAACTAGGTTAAAATCCATTACCATATGTATTATTACTCACTTATTCCTTCATCTTAGAAATGCTGATAAAGACCTGGGAGTTATTCATTAAAATTTTTTAAGAAGACTTGACACAAAGCTTTGGTGTAATGAAAGTTGACTCTATATATTTCCCACCATAAGAAGAGAGGATTGGTATTAATGAAATGGATAAGCCAAAAGACTTCTTCCTCTTTACCTCCACTGACAATTAAAGAGAACCCAACTATATAATTCATTCCTTATACATATCCAATATCCTCATTGAGAATGGAAAGGGCTTTGAGAACTGATAATAATTATTGCTAACCTTAATTGTTGTCTTTGAAGTGATCATGAGAAGGAAAAGTTCTATTGACATCCTTGGATATATCTTCGAGGACTTTTTGGGATGGAGTTTCATTTTTCAATTTTGAATAAAGATGTGGATCATAATCTTAGTTCCTATAAACTTGTGCCATCCAAAAATTCCATCTGTATTTGGAAATAGCTCCATCCATAAGAATGTTTTTAAAATCTTCGTTATTGATTTCTTTTAGAAGATAAGCATCTATAATATCTTGATTTGTCAATTTGAAAGGACCGCCAAGTTGTTATGCTAGCTACAATATTAATTTCTTAGAAAACTGTTTGTTAGAATTTAATTTCGGCTCTTTGCATTGATCATCTTCATTAGTCTGTTATTATAATTACTCAATCGATGGTGATCTTTTTAAGAAAGCACTATAATTCGCATCATTCATTAGATCATATTTCTTTTGGTAGTATTGATTCCACCTTTATTATTTCTGAGAATAAGATGGATCATTTTTTTCAATTTCTTATTGAAACTCTTCACCAACATATTTGTATGTATTCATGGTTTTTGGTGGAACATTAGGAGTTGGTGTATTTCCAGGTTTTGCATTGCTTTTGATGATAATTTTGTTTGTTTTATCCTTTGCACAAATAGATCCCATTAACTTAAAATTATATATAATTTATATATATATCTAATAAGAATATCAGTTTTTGTAGATCCTGATAACATCTTGGATTTTGGTTCTGCAAATTGGACAGTCTTTTAAATTCTTGCTGCATTTAAGACAAGCAGTATTATGCTTGCATGGCATGTATAGAGCATCTCGATCATTTTCTATACAAATTATACAACTATTCTCATTATTCTTATCGGTGATCAATTGAGTGGTTCTTTTACATAAATATGTAGAAGTGGTTCCAATTTTGAAAACCGTTTGATTTTGTAATGGATATAACTATGAGAACAGTCCTTCTTTAGACAATCTCAACCAGGAACTACCATAACATTAAATAAATATACCCGTTAGTTGATCCCATGTCTTCCAAATACACACGTCCCTCAATAAGGCAGATCTTGGCATGAATATTTGAGAGATGATGATCCTCGCTAAAAGTGAGATCTGCAGTTTGCTTTCTGCCTACAGTAGTAACGCACTTTTAGGAGTTCAAAGCAATGATATGTTTTTCTGAGGAATTCAGTCCTTCAATAATGAGCATGACAACCTAGAAATAGATGAAGATTGCTTACTTCCACTATTTGATTATTGGAAATCAATTACTAAATTTCAAATTAATTGCTACCCAATTCTATAACCATTCCAATTTCTAATTCTAATTTGCTTTCTACTTTGATGAAAGTCCCAGTAGTTGATCCAATGTCTTTAATGAAAAACTATTTCATAAAACACTAAAATTACATCTTCATTTTAAAAGACTATTTCAGCATGAAATCTACTAATGCTTTCTTCCAATATTAGTATCTGATTACTAGAATGTCTTCCTATTTTCCCTCCTGATTCCTTTATACAATAAAAATTAGTCTGAGGTCCTTCAGTTGGTTGAATGATGAGTTCATTTTATACTTTTGGTACAAAGCTTTCAACTTCCTATTCTAATTAAATGCCGGTTTATTATTTCTTTAAAAACTAGGGCCTGTTTTCACTAGATTATAGTGTATGATGATTACATTTCACATAATGGCTATTGGAACTATTGAGATAACATTTCATTATTCTTAATGTAATTGGTCATCATGTCATGTGATATATTAATTTATCCATATTATGCTTGTGCTGATTCTGTATTTTCAAGAGAAGTGTTTTCTTATTCCATCTTATCGCATCGTTTATCGTCAACCATAACTGATTTAATGTGTTAAGCATACTCTTTTAATCCATTTTTCAACCCTTTCTTTAAAATTACATTTACAATGCATTAACTTTTTCCTAACTATCTTACTATTGATTCCAAGATCATCAATTAAGTCATTTTCCTCTATTAATTCTAAACATGAGCCATCAATTGAATTATTTACTACTCTTAAGTAGAATACATACTGAAAGTGCTTTACAATGACTGTAAACCAACAAAATTGAGCCATTATGATACATCTTCCCTTGACCATTTTTTTGGTTCTTTGGGCAGAATGGCAAAGAGAGTTTCATAATCCATGTTTTATATTTTAAATTTAAAAGCACTAACTGAAAATTATTATTCACAAATATAATTGTTTCACCTTACTATAGGACAAGTACACCAATTCTGGAATGGCTAATGTGTAATTGTTGGCTCCTATTATTATACTTTTTGCATTCAATTCTGACTCAATCTTCTTCATTTCCTCCTAATGTCCAGGGGAAAATTGAGTAAATGCTTTTGACCAACCTTTAGTGACTATCTCTTTTGGATCAGGAATCTTCACTCCCAAATGTTTACTCAACTCACTCAAAATCACGTGATCATTCACATCATATATTGACATAACAGATAAATTAGTAGCATTCTCAGGATACTAAGAAGGAAAGGAAAGTGAATCTGCCACCATCCCCAATATCACCTACTACTGCTTTGGATTTATTAAATATCCGAAACCTTTGAACTTAATATTACTATCTATTTCATACTTCCTTCGGTAATATCTTTTAATCCCAACATATATTTCTAGTCACCAATGTATTGCACTTAACTCCTCTGAACATCTCTCCAACCTTATTCAAATTAGAATTAATCATTATCTAAGATAACTGATGAGTAGGAGCATTCAATATCAAATAATCATAATTTAATCTCTACTCCTCCTATTCCTCCCTACTCTCAACTACCAATTCCTTTCTTGTCAGATCAATCCACTTAGCTTTCGAATTCAACTTCACCTTATACTCAGATTGATATGTCTCCTATAAATAACCATGCAATCTCTTGGGTAGAGACTCTACTCCATCTCTGAATCTATAACTATTTGCTATGCCATAATCATCATTGTTACCTCCTTTCAATTTCTAATCCCTCGCCTATTCAAAGTCCTTGTCGAAACTCAAATCTTTGCTCAATTCTTATTCATTATACCCATTCATATGACTCTTCTAATAACACAGAGCCTTCGATAAATTATACACGGATTCCCCATAGATCCCATAAAATACTGACTCAGCATATTTTTCAGTCAGATCCCTTCCCAATACCTACTCCAAGTAATCTCCCAAATTGTCTGTATCTGGTTTCTTAAACAGCATCTTAGGATATGCTTTTATTAGTTTAAAGACATCTCCACTTCCATTATCCTATATGAATTATGATATTGTTTCTAAATTCATTTGCAGAGGAACAGCATTTAATTTCCCATTCCAATAGATATAACTATATGGCTACTGAATACTGGGCACAACTATTGATTTTATTACTTATTTTACATTCCTTATAAAGTCCAATCTTATTTAGAATATGATATAGTGGTCTATTATACTTTCCCATTCTTATTGATCTTGGACCTTCCTCGCAAATAAATCCATTTCTATTATTTGAAATGATCATCCCACCGACACGATTAGATTACTCTACTAAAGTTATTTACGCTTTTGGGAAAAAATGCTTAATGAAAAATGCATTGCTCAATCCAGAAAGACCAGCACCAACAATTACAAATTTGTGAGACATATTCAATATATTAATTAAATAAATTTATTTATTATCTTAAGAAAAGGAGATAGATTAATAACTTTTTCACAGATTCATATCCATCACAAATCTATCCTTGATTACTTTATTAGTTTATCTTATTTAAATAGCAATTAGGTTATTTATAATAATACAAATATTATTTTGCATCAGTAATATAGTGATTACCAACTTTAAGCTCAAATTATAGAGAATATTCATAAAATAGATATAATTTACATTATAAAATACTCATTTATGTGTTAAACCAAAAAATTCAAATAAAAATAAAGCTATCTTTAATTTTATCCATTCAAACTTTTATTTCCAAATACTCTTTTCTGAATTTTTAACAGAATATTCTGTGAACTTTAAAAGTCTGTCTCTTGTAGTACCTTAGTTAATATATCTAAAAAGATATACCTCCGAGTAAAGCATTATGAATTCCTACTAAATTGGCGGCTCTAATTATAAACATGATCTCAGGGGGCATCGATCTCAACAATGCATTTATATTTTCCAAAGTTACTAAATCTTTATTTCTTAAATATTGTCTCTCCTCAACACTGAAGGCATCTCCCAACTTCTTTTTTGATGATATAGTTCTATAAAAGAAAATTAAGGGTAAAAATTCAATATGTTCCTTTTTGATGCCCAATCTGGTTGCATATTTCTCCACTTCTTTATAATTGAATTTAGCAATGTTATTCCATAAACATCTAAAGTTTTATAACATTTCTTAATCAATATCTGTGTAAAATCCATGATCTAATAATACCAATTATTATTTTCCATTCTATTCTCTGATCAAAATATTCCCTGGATGAGCATCACAATGAACATGACCATATTTAAATATCATTTATCCAAACATATCAATTAAAATATTAGCACATTCCCTTGGATTTTTTAATTTATTTACATCATTAATTTTTACACCATCAATGAATTCCATTATGATGACTCTTTAGGAATATTCATAAAATTGAGGTATATAAATTCTAGAATTATTTTTAAAATTGGCTCTAGTAATTTCACCATTTTAAACCTCCAAAGTAAAGTCAAGTTCTTTCTCCAAAGCTTTTCGAAACGTAGAAAATAAATCAGAAAAATTTAATTCACTTGAACCCGTATTTGAAACAACAAAATCACACAATTTAGCAATATTGTGTATTATCATTAAATCATACCTATATTAAACTCGTAACTAGGGAAATTGTACTTTTACAGCCACCTCTTTTCCATTATAAGTTGCCTAATGAACTTAAGCTAATGAAGCAGCTGCAATGGCTTTATGAGAAAATGTAGTAAATATTTCTTAAATTGGTTTCTGTAGTTCATATTCTAACACAATTTTAACATCTTCAAAAGACACCTAAGGTCCTTGATCTTATAAAACTCTTAGTGTTTATGTAAATTCCCTTAAGTTTAACTATATAATACCTTGGCATAACTCTCTCCAAATTCCCAATATATTGGCCTGCTTTTAAATAAACACCTTTGTTCTCAATGCTTAATCTCAAAATCCTATCCGCAACTCTTTGATGAATCTACAAATAGGAATACATATCCTTACAATAGATCTTTATTGATGATATTCTTCAGTATTATACTCAAATTTGGTTAACTCTACTTGATAGTCATAAAGAGATTCGATTACTAAATCAAGATGTCATAGTACATGTTTTGATAGCAGAGAAGGAATTGAGGAAGCCTGCTGTAAATCCTTGAAGATCCTTCTTTTGTTGCGGGGGCATAAAGAATGTGCATCCAGTAGTAAATGCTCCTAACAAAATAGCCTTTCTTAACATATTTATTATCAATCATTAATTTAATAAACTAAATTTCAATAAGTATTAGCTTCCATGCTACCTTAGTCATAAAAATAAATTTTCCTTTGGATTATACTCTTTAATAGATAATTTCAATGAATTACACTAACAGGACTTTATTATCATAGCAATTTTATGAACTCAAAAATATTGTCTAATGTTTTTAATAGAAAAAATGACTGATAGAGACGGGCTGAATTTTACAAACCTTTAACTCAAACAATGCAGGTATGAAGGATAAAACAATCATTATATTTAAATTTTGAATTATTATTAATAGATATTTCGATTTACATAATTCATACTATGACTTAATTGGGAGATTAATATTTATATTAAAACACATCCTTCAACTTAAAAGTATGTTAAATCAGTTATTTTCAAAAGTTGAGTCGTATCTTATAATAAAAAAATTGTACAACAGCCTTCTTAGTATGATATATGATCCACTTAACCTTAATTTCTGAGTTATTGTTCTGTATGGTTTCTACATCCAATTAAATTGATAAATTTGGTAGTACAAGTATAGAGGTTGAAATTATAGGGAAATCAAATAAGTGTTATATTTTTCGTATTTACATTTCTCTTACTTTGCTTAAATTTTAATAATCTCAATTTAATTATGGTTCTGTTTATTTGCTTCATTTTAATTACAATTATCTCCACTAATTTTATTTATAATTTAATTTAAAAGTCATCTTTTTCAGTTATTTGAAAATTTAAAAATTTCCTCATATATGAATATCGACACCTTACATCTAAATTAGTATCATCTATTGGATGAATGATACGCTTTTAGTATTCATTTTGTTGAAAATGTAAAAAATAATTATTGGATACAAATAATATTTAATGCTACTTTGATTCAAAAATAACATAATAATATTTATATTTAATGGCAAAATACGAGTAATTTGATTCTCCATATGCAAAAGTCTTTTTCCTTTTGCAACAGTTATTGAAGGAAGAATTAATTACTTAAACAGAGAAGGAACATTTAAAAGGTATTTTTTATAATTTTTATAAAGACTTAATAATTCAAAACGACTAGTCGATAATGAATTTAATAGTTGTAGAAAGCTATCAGGAACTATATGAAAAAGTTTTATAATTCATTAATAACAAAAGAGTTAGTTTAGAAGGTTTATCTGATTTTGAGGACGATGATTCAACTAGCAAAAGTCTGAGACACTATTTAAGAAACAAATTAAAACTGGAAATAAAATAGAGTAATTTTAATTTGGCAATTAAGAAAATTTGATTATATATTATATGTCTTATATATAATGCGATTACATATATAATTTGTTTACATTCTTATTAGTAATCTCATGGTTACAGGCCACTTTACAATAACTAATTATTATATAATGAAGAGAATTCATTCCATTTTTGCAAATAGTTAATCTAATCAAAGTAATTTTATTGACATGGCAACTAATATGCAAATTGTTGTTGTGGAGAAACAAACCCTAATATGGGGTTTACCATTTGAATTCCTGGGTATTGATTAATTGCAAAAGGCAATTATGATTATTTATTTTGTTGTAAATATAAAAGTGAATTTTGATCCGTCACTATTTTTGTATTTGACTAAGTCAATAGTGCCATATTGAAATACTATTAGTATTAATGAGAATTATTAAATATTTAGACCTCTGAATTTACAGTCTGATTAGGATGAGGTTGTTGAAGAAATTAAGAATTTATATTACTGTGATCAATTTTTAATAAATTTTCCCTTTTAATATTAGTGATTTGGTTATTGGTTAGAGAGTTAACATTTTGCAATCCTTGATGAATATTGATAATGAATACCAGAATTATTTTTATTCTCATTAGAGCCATCTAATTTTTAGCTATTTTCATCATTTTATTTAATCAGTTTTGATCTCGTCATCCTTAAGAGACTTTCTTAGTTTGCATCCCTAACTTAAGTTTTTTTCTATTTTTGATCTTCCTTTGTTGATTTAGGTAATTTTCTCCTTTTTTAAAGTAAAATTCTCTCCTCATCAGAGGAAAGTGCAGATTCCTTCTCAAAATCATCATCGTCAGAATCTCCTAGATCACATTGATATCTTCTCTTTAGATTAGCATAAAACCTATTCTTAACCATATTTTCCTATATTTATAGGCATATTTTATTTACAGGTCTTCCATTTAAAAAACTTGAAATATAACTCCATTTAGTTCCGAATTTCCTATATAATTTCAGAATCAGTTTGTCTTCTTCCTCTGTCCATTTCTCTTAATTTATAGTCCCTTAAAGCTAATTCAAATAACGCTCCCTGACTTATTTTCCTGTTCTCCAATTCATTACTGTACAGATCTTACTCCATTTTTTCCCATATTTTTATACTAATTCTTTCAACTATTCGTCCTCCTAAGGGGACCACAATTGTCTTGAAGGAGCCTTTGTTATTATAAGCAATATACTTAATCTGGATGCAGTTATTACCATTTATGCATACATTATATTGGTGTAGGGCCATTTAAAAATGTGCTAATGGATTTCCAGTTACCTTATTACAGGACATGAAGCTCTTTAAGTTTTTCCTCGGCTTTTGGTGTCCAAAGAAATTGTATCTAAAACCATATTTGTGTTATGTAATACATCACTCGAAGTCTAATTTGGCTCGTTCTCACATTTAGAGTCAGAAGTAACACTCATTCTATATGAAGAAATTTTTTAAATATATTATCAAAAATATCATCCATCTTTATCATCTTTTATACATTAAAAATGACGAAATAATTTAATTAGTATCTTCATTAGAATTTTCTTATTAGTTATGTAAACTAACAGCAATCTCCAAATAAGTAGCCTTTATTCTTTATTCCTTAACTTCGACGTTAAAGATTCGTCTTGCCAGAGCTTACTTTTGAATGCTTAAAGTATACCATTCTTATTTGCTTTGATATCTATTGATAATAAGTTATGTGTGATCAATTATACTAAATTAAATATTCCCTTACCGTTAAATAATAGAACTTCGTAAGTCCCATTTTTTTACAATATATAATAAATAATCAAAAATTAATCAATTTTTATTTCAAAGTTTACTTGAAATTTTCATTTGAATTTTTGATACTTACTTTTCTTTGTTTATATTAAAAAATTTTTTATTATATTTTTATAATATAAATTAATCACACATTAATAGATTTGATGATATTATAAGAGAAAATGAACAATCATTTCTATTCTCCAAATATAACTATGCTTTATTAAAGGTTAAAAATAGTACTTTATATTAAAATTAATGATGATTTGAATTTCTCATAAGTTAAACAATAGTACGTTATATATTTTATTAAGCATTGTTTAGACGTTTATTAAGACTCTTAAGATTACATTTTGTCATTTCATTTATAAAAAGGAACAACGAGGTAAATTATTACCTTTGATTCTAATATGAACTTATAAATTCTTCATTTTCTTTAAATCAATTATTATTAATGATCATTCTGTAACTCATATAAAATTCCAATATAAAAATGATTTATGATTTAACGAAGATGAGTAGATTTTTTTCTTATTTCATATTTCCTATTTTCCTATCATAAAAACCTTCTAAATAAAGTAATTGTGTAACATATTGCAATTCCATCATATTTGTTGATTATTGTCTATGTAAAATAAAATGGCTTAAGTCCATTATTGGATAATGATAAGACAAGTCCTTTTGCTAATTTAAAATGTATAATCCTAAGTAGGTTGAATAAGAGGTAGTTAAAACATAAATCTTACTATTGAATTTGATAATAATAAATTTCAATATATTACCAAGATTATTTCAAAAAGAATTTATAATACATTTATTTAAATTCAATAAGACAATAATGTTAAAAAAATATAAGTAACATTTATTAAATATTTAAGAATAAGAGTATCAGAAGAATGATCTTATTATATCTAGTAGGTTTTATTATTTTATTAATTTAACATTAGAGATTTCCTAATCATTTTTATTATTGCTTATTATATAATAAATAATATTTAATATCAACTAACAATTTATTTCAATATAAGAAATTTTATGTATTTAAAATAAGGATTGAATAATATTTCTCCTTAAATTGATTTCATTCAGAATTAATTTAATATCATCCATTTATAAATAATGTGAAATGTTGATATAATTTTAAATTTTCATGTAATTAATTACTTTACTTCGGATAATGAATTAAATATATATATCAATTTCTACAAACCTATTTATATTTCTATTGTTTTATTATACGAATGAGAAATAAGAAATTGGCAATCTAAGATAGGAGTATAATATTGATAATTTTGAATAAATTTGAGTTTTATATATCAATCCTCTAAGTACTTATCTGAGATTTAGGACATTAAATTTTATATTTAATTTGCCTATGAAGAGTTTATTTACATTTTCTTTGTTATAAAAAATAAATACCTTATAAATTTCTAATGATCTTTGATAGTCAATATAAGCTTATTTGTATCGACCGAGTTCTTTGTGGCAATCTGCACAATTTTTGAGGGTAATTGCTAGATTACCGTGCATTTTGCCACATAACTATGTGTATATTTTAATAGATTCTTCAAAACAATTAACAGCTTCTTCATATTGCTTTCTTTCAAAATAAGATCTTCCAAAATTATTAAGAATAATTGCAATACTTGCGTGACTTTGGCCATACAAGGTTTTTAGAATCTCTTGAGATTTTTTGAAGTATTATTCAAATTCATTTGAAGTTTTATTATAGGCTTTAATTTTTCCTAATGAATGATAACAATCAGCAATATCTTAGGATGACTCTCCCATAATCTTGAGATTTATTTCTAAGCTTTCAGTAATAAGTTTTTCAGCAGCCGATAAATCTAGATAAAGATAATATTGCTACTTTCTTGATTACTTTTCATTCTTAAATAAAGATTTCCCTTCAAATAAATTGATTTGGCAGTTTTTATGTGTTGATAACCTAAAACCTCTGTCCATATTGAGATGGCTTCTGAAATGGATTTCATGGCTTCTTCTATTTTTCCTTCATCTGAAAATAATTACGATAATCCATGCAAAGAATCTGCCACTTCCTAAAATATGTTAATCTATAGTACTATTGATTATCTTGTAAATAAGTCTTCTCTAATTTTGATACTCTCATATAACATTGATTCTGCTAAATCATCTTGGAACATAAATCTGTAATAATTCCCCAGTTGTGTTAATGTCATAGCATATACTCCTGTTTAAGTTAAGCCATGTTTGATCAACAATTACTATGCATAATCAAGGTATTTGAAGGTCTATTCATAGTAGCAACAATAAAAGCAACATCTTCCTTAAAGTAGTGTCAATTATTACCAATTTTAGCATAAGAATTACACAGTCTAAGGATACTTTCTTTATCGTTTTGAGTTTTGAAAAGTTCTTTTTCTATTTTAATCATACTAATCAAATATTGCATAGCACGATAAACTTAATTGATATCAATAAAGATTTGGGCATATCTCTCATAAATATTACTTTGAAGAATCTCATTAATTATAATAATACTAATTCATTTTCAGAGCATTCTTCAGGGTTATTTAATTTAATGTTCAATTCATTTTGCAATTTCTCTAACTTACTTAAACTCTTTTGGAATTGCTATTTTCTTATTAGTATGTCTATTTTCTAAAAATGATCACCCATCTTTGGATAAATAAATTTTATTAAACTTAATGAATTAATTCCTAATTAAGAGTACACATATATTAAATCAACAAAACTTCGATTATACAAATTAAATAGTTTCAAAATTTTCAGTATCTCATAGACGCTATAGGTTCACAAAAAGTCTATGTAAAATTAAGATTGTCCAAAGTTTATAAATTACTATAGTTAATAAGTTTCATAATAAATTTAGAGACATTTTAATTATGAATCTCATTAACAATCTAACGAATTATTCCATTTTCATTCAGCTTTAGCAATTCCTAACTGTTCAATATTTTTCGAGTTATTCTTAAACTTATAGAAAATTACTTACAATTGCAAAAACACAATTCCGCAATCTTTATAATCTTATTCCATGGAAAACTCCCTATTACTATCCGTATTAATATTTGTCTAATCTTCAGTAATTTCAGTGTTCATTGATGTAACATGTTTTAAATTTATTATATTCTTTATTTTTGATTATCCGAAATCAATTAAAGTTATATGATCCAATATCGAACAATAAAAAATATTCTCTAATTTTATGTTTTAATGACTGAATCCTTCTTAATGTAAATACTATACTATTGCCAATAAATCCTATAGGTAATTCAAAAAATTTACCTTCATTATTTTATAAATTTGATCCTTATTAAGTATATTCTTTTTAATGTAATTATCCAAAGATGCTCCTTCTATAAACTCGTATAATATATAGTTATGATGCAATTCAATATAATATTCTTTTAACTTGGGAATATTTTTATGATTTAAAAACTATAGGGCAATTACTTCATTTCGAAATACCTTTATTACTCATATATTATACTTGTTCTTGTTCCACTGTTCCTTATTTAAGAATTTTGCAAGTGACTAATTCTTCGTTGTAATTATTTCGCATTCGAACTATCTAAAAAAGTAGAATAAGTATAAATACAGAACCATAATTTCTTTTCTAGATATATTAGGCAATTTTATAATGATTATTTATTCCCTAAAAGCAGACCTTTCCATTCATAAACTCCTTTAATAGTTTTCCAATATGCGGAGCAAATTTGAAGATCTACTTATTTTTGTTCTGGCACAATTCAAATGAGATTAAGTCAGAATTATCATTTTTAATCCAAATGATTTTCGGTTCAAACGAATAAAGCTATACTACTAGAGAGTGTTAATCCTTGATAATACTTTTAAAATTACATTTGAAATTTGGATCCCTTCTTTTAACATAAAGATGTTGTACTTTTCAATTGAAAAGAATTTCCTTTTGTAGCAGATCATGTATAAAAATTTATTATCTGATAATTTATAAAATATATTAACTTATCGGATGATCGCTGTTTAAAAATCCTATATTCCCTTTGCTGTAACTTTTAGAATACCATGGTATTATTTTAGATGAATTAATTTAATTTACTGTTATTGAATTTGATCTTGAAATGTTTTACAGCGTCTTAATATTAATTTTAATATGAGTTTTATATTCTTTTACATTATTGGGTATGATATTCAAAATAGCAGATAACATATTAATTTAATTTTCAAATATTTGACTTTTCTTGTTATTAATAATTTGATACTTTAGACTTAATTGTTGGACTGTTTATGCCGGAATTTTAATTACAGATTTCTTTTTATGTTTATATTAACTATAATATCTTTCTATAAGTCTTGATTATTTGTATGAATTTCCTATTAAATCCTTAATATTTACATCTTAATAGCTTATAAGTATTGTTCAACTATTACAGTTGGATCCTGTAGATTAGTTGAGAGGTTCTATAGCCTGAAGAAAAAATTCTATCAAAAATGAGTTAACCCTATTTTTTTATAGCTTCTAATATAAAATGTTATTTTGAATGCAGATCAAATTAGAAAGTGGAGGAAGCCTTTTAAATCACTCTATAATAGATACATACTTAAAAAAATAGTAATGATATTGATGAAAATTCTATTGAATTAATTAATTAGACTACTTAATTGATAAGAATTAGACATCACTCATTAATATAATGAATGATTTATCAAAAAGTATTTTTAATCCTATTGAAAACCTTTATCTGAATTAGAAACAAATGTAATTAAGTGAGAGAGTTTAAGTTTTAAATACTTCATAATATGATTAATGGAAAGTGAAATCTAGACTTACAGAATTATAAGAAATCACTACCATTATTTAAGGCTCATAAATACAGATACTCGTAGATTTATAAAATAAGAAATTTATTGAAAATTTAATAGATAATTTTAATAATTAAATAATGAGAATTAATAGAGCTGGATATTAACTAATAATAGCATTTTATGAATTATTTAGTAATGAAATATTGTAAAATTGTGATTATATTATGTTCATTATTTGGTAGTTCGAGATTTCTGACAGTTTACTAAATTAAAATTTAAAATAATTATCAAAATGCTTGAACCAACAACAACAATAGGGTTATCATTCCTTAATTCATGAAAAAAAGGATTCAAACTAAATACACTTAACTTTGCTTGGTAAAATTCATACAAGTCTCTAGGATTAAATGATCATAGCTATATCACTTAAAGTTTTTAACAGAATTTCAGTTAACATTTTGTTTAAATTTTCATCTTATTGTCCTCTATAAACAATCCTTTTTGCTAATTAAACTTATGAATTCAATCATTTTTCCTTAAGACCTATTATTTTTAGTTTACTATTGGATTATATATCAATTTGTAATAAATCTTATCAAAATTTATTCTTTACTTTCATAGGTACACAATTTGAAAGGCTTATTGAAATAGTCTAAATGTAAATTGAGAAGATATATATATATGTATATATATGAATGTCATTTAGACTCATTTTATATTATTCGTCCTTATTTCATCTACACTTAATTCAACTTGAAAATTTTATAATTTTGGATTCCAAAATGATCATAGACTTCTTTTTTGAAATTGAAACTATTCAAAGTGTTTAAGATTTTCATATTCGCTATTATATTCAAAACTACAATTTCAACCACTTCTGTATAGTTTAGGGGTGCCATATTTAGAAAATGAAATGATTGTTAATTAATTATGATAATCCATAATCAAACATGATGGTAATGTAATCTTTATACACTAGAGAATTGCTGCATCATTATCTTATAGAGAGTGCAAGACATTAGAGCTTATGTTCAATATTAAATATAGTTCATGATTTTACATAATTTAATTTAAGATTATTCGAATGCAACAAGTTCAGGCATTACCTCCCCAGTTTTTCTAAGGCTTAAAAATCTAATCTATCTTGGGTGAAGGACATGATGCTAAAGTTCTTCTCGCGCTTGAGACCAAAGGGAACGAAAAGAAAGAATATGCCTTGAAGTGCCAAGCCCAAAAAATATAAGACACCGCCATTAACTTATTCGTATTACTTCCAATAACTTGAAGTTACTAAGAATGAAATACAAATTCTCATCCACATCAAGCATCCCCATATAATTGAGCTATTCGGCTACAGCCAAGATTTCACATGTCTGGTCCTTGAATATTGTCCCTATGGCACCTTAGTTTAATTGATCAAATCATCTCCATTTCCAGTTAGCATAGCTGCCTCCCTCATGTATCAGGTAACCCTAGCTCTAACTTATATGCATGAATAAGGATTCACTCATGGAGATCTTAAATTATCGAATGTTCTTATAGATAGTTAATACAATATAAAGTTATGTGATTTCGGGTTTGCCAGATGGAATGGGAAAATGGCAATCGAAAAATAAACCATAGCTGGTAGTGAAGGATACACTGCTCCAGAAATATGGACATCAAATCCAAATTATATAAAGAGTGACATGTTTTCGGTTGCTGTTATATTTTTCATTTTAATAACTGGTCATCCTCCATTTGAATCAAATAATCCAGACAATCATGATCCATGGTGGAATTTAATTAAAAATAATTAATGGGACACCTATTGGAAAGACATACGATCAAATTTAGATCAAGAATGCAAAAATTTATTCGTTTAAATGTTTAGTATCCAACCTGAGGAAAGATTGAGTGCCAATCATTTGAACTAATGGTTTAAATTAAAACAAACTACTCAAGAGAATCTGATTCAAGAAATCAAAAAAAGGTTAACTGAGATGTGATATATAATCAATGATTTATTATATAAATCAGTTCGCTTTCAAATACTTATATGCATTTATTCTAACTCAAATATTCATATAATTCATTATATAGCAATTACATTTTTATTAATCTTTATTTCAAATTGCTAATATCATATATTTCCTCATAATTTTTAATCACTAAACATGATAAGTAAGTCTTCACATCTACTGTAATTTCCTATCCTTAGTATTTTTTATTATAATAGTATTTTTAAGTCCTCTAAGAATTGCTTAATAAAATCTAGATACTAACCGTTTAACCATCCAAACTAGGAAAAACAATTCAGAAGGATCTAAATATATATTTTGTTTTTTTAAATTAATTTACAATCTTTATAAAAAATAAATAAAAAGCAAAAAAATTATTCTTAATTTGATTATATTATTCTTTGTTATAAACCATAATTTAATTAGTAAAGGGAAATCAAAAATTTTGTTCTTTAAAATATCCAAAGAATATTTTTAATATGAATTATTGTGTATCAGGAATTAAAAGTATAATAATTAATTTTCAACTTATTTTTTTTTCCAATTCCTTATAGTCTTTAAACTTTACAGTGGATTATGTTAATCTTTCAGTTTATTAAATATGAGTTCTATTGCCTTTTACGTATATACTCTGCTTAAAAAATGTGAGTTTTTGTTATTATGAAGATTGGGATGGGCTCTATAAAGCAGTTGGATTATCTAAAGATTTTGGTTCTGTTGTTTATTTTCTTCTTGTTGTTGATCTTGAAGTTGGTAAATATTCATTATTGATTTTATGGAAGAGTCTAAACATTTTGTTTGACCATTGAATTTTCAACTATTGCTCTGACGGCTTCTTTAGAATTTCTTATTTAACATAGTTTTCAAATAGTTGTAATTAGGAGGCAATTCTATTATACTTAATATTTTCATTAAAGAATTCTTCCTCAAATAGAGCCTTGATCTAAGAGATTATTTACGTGATAAAAAATGAAAATTCTTCAATTGAATCCAAAGTTCTATTAATTTGTTTCTTAAGAATATGTTGATCAAATAGCCATTCAATGGATTGTTAAATTTCATTAAGATCATATAATTAAACTTTTTATTGGGAATAAGAGTATACTTACTATTTTAATTGCTTCCCTTAGATGATTTAAGAAATTTGCAACATGATTATCTTACTTTAAGAATTTAGCTATTCAATATATTATTATCTTCTATCGATCATATGTTTTGATATAATGCATATATAAGTTTCAAATAAGATATTACTTACAATTTCATTTTAGGCTTGATGCAATACTTAATTTATAGTCTTATTAATTGCTGATGCCAACTATTGAAAAGGATAAAGGAGCAAATGCTATTCAGAAAAATTAGTTTTGGAAAGGAAATTCGATAGCGACTACAATAATATGATGCTATTATTTTGGATATACTTTAGCATCAGTAAAGTTTAACCATACATCTTCGAGATAATATCTTCAGATATTTGATAGACATCTGCCTATATTGAAAGTACATTGAAATTAATAGTATTTTTATTTCCGTCTAGTATTTAATGGATTATACTGTCTAATTAATTTAAATATGAGGTTATCGTTTAATTTAAATGATGGATGTTTTGATGTAGTCTTATAAGTTATTCTTATGTAAAAATATCCGAGATTATCTTTAGATCTTATTTACATTTGGCTTTAAGATCCTTGCTACACAGTTCTTCATTAAGTTTAATCGACTTAGAATTTATTATTTGTTCAAATATATTAATACAAGCTTATGTTTTGAGTAATTTGATAATTGATTATAATTGCTAAAGGTTAATTTGATCATTGTAATTCTCAAATACTTCCTCTATATTATTAATTAGAAAATTGGTCTAAATTGATAAATAAATATTTTCGATCAATTTCATAGTGAATTAGTCATAGATAGTATTGGAAAATTTGGTCTTATATTTTTATAAGAAGGATATTTATTTCTAAGACATTGTATCATTAATTTTTTTATCAATTGAATAAAAATGTTAAGTAATTCTGCTTTTTATTGAGATTTCTTCACTTATTCTATTGTCATTTGAAATGGATTGAGCATGTTTTCCAGGTTTTAACAAAGTAATTGTAGATTAGCGATGACTAGGAAGTTTTTTATTGATGGTTAAAGTAGGCTAGATTTCAGTTCTCTATTTTTAAGGGAATGTCTATGAATCTTTTTAGATGAATATTAAACAAAATTATCGTTTGATTTCTTATTTATAAACATCTTTTATGGGATAATTTAAAAATTAAGCAATTTCGTTTTTCTCTGCTAATCTCGATTTAACTATGTCATGAAATTTCTATATTTGAGAAAGTTCTTATTGTATTTTTTCAAGTAGATGATAACATTGTAACCTACTCAATTCACCATCAATAGAATTAGCATACATCTGTACTTTAAATTTGTTAATCAATAATTGAATAGATTTGTATGTTACAACTAGTTTGTTACATTAAATAATCAGCATTCTTAATTTTCTTGGGTCAATCTATGCCTTAATTGTTTCTAAATCCTTTTCATAATTTTAATAATGCTACAATTACTAAGGATGTAACTTAGAGCAATCTTAATTTTAAATGAAGTCTTTAAGTGGTTAGACAGAAAGTTATGAGCAAAATAATTCTAAATCACATTTGTCAACAACTACGAATGTACCCATTTCTATTAGTTATTCAGATAAAATATGCATTAATACTTTTTCTAATAATTAAGAGAGATTTGACTGAATGAGTTGAGATTGAGAAAAATTTGTGTAACTCCTTCTATTAGGTGAGATAAGATGATTAGTAAATAAATTCTATGGTTTTATACTTTCGTCAACTAGAAATTATTGTTATTATTAATCTTAATTATTGATCTCATTATCCATCAAATATATTATTAATTTTATTATAATTATCATTAACTCATGAAATAAGCAACAACTATGCATAAAAATACCGCAACACCAAAGAAAATCAAGTCAGATTTGTAACTTGCTCTCAAGTACAAAGGTTTTCCATATTCCTCCACTTTAGGTTCTGACTTAACTGTGTTGATCCAAAGCATTTACATCTCCAAAAATAGCTTTCCTTTTCTCTTCCTACAATTAATTATAAAATTTACATCAGACTTGCAACAATCTACTCTTTGGATATAAAGATATCATGATTCCATTTTTCTATAGGAAGGGTACTTAAGAGTTCTGAAACATTAGTAGACTCTTTTGAGGATACATTAAATTGCTTCTTGTCCTCTATGGCAATCTATTGATCCAATAACTTATTTGTAAAGAAAGAAAGATATTCATCAATTATTGTGTTGTATTTAATTTAGATCTTAACTTCTTAACATAATTCCTTAACGTGTTGTTTTATCAATTTGATTTTGGCCATTAAGTTTGAATATTTGGTGTTGATTGATTAGTAATTCAATTTGGATTGGTTTAGAGATTGGATCACTAAGTTCAAGAATACTAATATTTTAGGATTTTCAGGATCATCTTCAAAATAATTAATGGCAACCTGGGCATCTGTTAATGAAGTGATCACTTTTTAGAAGTCTTCAATAATTATATCTTCTAAAAATTATGCTTCTTGAGCTTAATTATCTTATTGCATTAGAAATAAAATATATTTTATTTCCTATTATGAACCCACTTTATATTACATAAGATGAACTTCACCAAATGTTCTAATCCCCAAATTAAACAAAACGAAGTGCAGATTCTATAGTTACACTTGAACCTCAAACTGTTAAATTTTAATAAACATTTTCCAACATTCAAACAAATATCGAAACAATTGAGTAATTGAAAAAAGAATTGGCTGCCAAGGACAAACTGATAAATGAAATGAATTCAAAGACATCGTAATAAATTGAATCCCTTCTCTCTCAATAGGAAAAACTAATACTAGAAAATCTCAATCTCAGAAAAGAACTTAGTGCATCAAAAGCTTAATAAAAGCATTAATAGTAAAAACTAGACCTATACATGACTGAAACAAAAACGCTCCAATAACTTCGACTGTAAGAGCGAACTAGATACTAAAGAGATATTAAAAATATCGAAAAATTCAATTAATCGCTTACTAAGTGAAGATTATCATATTATATTTATATTAAAATCAAAAATCTTAATTAAATTGAAAGTATTTAAAGAAGAATATGCATCAATCCAAATTTATTTATGATTATTGAAAAAGTCAATTTATTTTTTGGAGTGGATTGCACTTATCTCTATTTCTGAATTAAAAGCTTATGTGTTTAATAGGAGTTTTCAAAAGAGGAGCTCTTATTTGTTTTTGTTAGGCGTATTATGGTGATGTATCTTCTTTGAATTCTTCTCTTTTAAGTCCAGGCATATAGATAAGACAAGGGTTTGTTCTTAGGATCATTCTTTCATTTTTTCTTTTAGAACATGGATTATGATATCCATTAATATTGATATTTGGCATACTAGATCTGCATGATTGTTTAGAACTGATTTATCTACTAAAATCCACAGAACTAAATTTAAGTATTCAATACGTAAGTGTCGATCGTTATTAATTGAATAAAAATGGTTCATTTTATGATTCCAATTATAATAATTCTGTTTAGAATTTAGCACTTAAAGTCAAAGATTAGAAGTTTCTGCATAATCTAGAATTTAAATTTGTGCTTTCATTGTTATTTGATCTAACAGATTGCTTTGCACTATTGATCAACATCTAATAATTATTAAAATAAACAAATTAATCAAATGCTAATTTAATCGAATTACTTTCTATAATATTTGTACACATCATATTATCAGGCTAAATTGAAACCAAAGTAAATATGTAATTATATTAAAACAACAATGTAAAATGTAAAATTATTTTTACATCTTTTTTGAATGATAAATGTTAGAACTTTTAAAGTACTTAGAAATATGAAATGGTCAATGTGGATTAAAATTGAGTAAGTGATTTTATGAATTTTATCATCGAAAAATGATTTGATTTTAATTAAATAAATAAAATGAATAGCACCTTAAGTTCAGAAGATTTGGATAGCGATATAAGAATATAACAAGTCTAATAAACTGCTCCTGATGCTGTGCAATTTTACATCACAGAAGAGTATGAGAATATCAATATGCTTATTAGGCTTTTCAATAATGATCCATATGATATTATATAATAAAAGGTAGCAACATTTCAACCGATTCAATCTAAGGATGACTCTAGATGTGATCAAGCATAAAAAGATGGTGGAAAGAAATTCGAAGATAAAAAGCAAATCAAGTGTATGAGATCTGTAGGCACCTATGTGATTTAGCAAATTGGACGTAAAATATTATCTGGAGACATGAATCTCACTAAAATCAGTTTTCCAATTAAGGCGATGATTGCCAAATCGGCTTTAGAGAAAAATTTATAATCTACCATATTCTTTCCTTTGTATATTAACCGAGCCGTTCAAACAGTAGATTTTATGGAGTAGTTGAAATTGGTCATAACTGCTACCATAGCTACATTCCACATAAACTTGAGTTTCCACAAACCTTTAAATCCTATCCTGGGAGAAACTGTTGAAGGGTTCTTGTCAGACGGAACAAAGTTATATGCAGAGTAAATTAGTCATCATCCGCCGATTAGCTAATTCTACGGTGTTGGTAGAGACAATTCGTATAAATACTTTGGGTATCACCTTTGTATATGATTAGAAATTATTGTTACGAAGCCTCAGCTGGACTCAACTCTATCACTCTCAAGAATAAGGGTAAAAGAACCATAATATTCAATGGAGGCCAGAGAATTGACTATAATTTTGCCTATGAACTTTATAGTGGAACTATCATGGGTTCAATGAAAGTTGAAGTATGACTATTAGTAATTCATTAAGACTCTCGGTGTTTCTACTTATTAGACAAATAAAGGATTGACTGCAACTTTAAAATTTGGAAAAGTTAAAAGAAAACCCACTGATTATTTTGAAGGATCGATCAATATGGGCTAATAAGAATTGAGTAAAATATTTGGTACTTACATGGGATACATAGAGTTTGATGGAGTGCGATATTGGGATCATAGACATATGGTATAAAATAATAAATCATACTTAGTAACCACATTAAGTAACCATCAAGCCTCCATTTCTACCATCTGATGCATAACTAAGAGGGGATTATACAAATTTAGCAGCTTTGGATATCGATAAAGCATAAATAGAAAAAGAGAATTTAGAAAATCTTTAAAGACACGATGCTAAATTAAGAACCAAATTCAAAGAGATCAGAAGAAAAAAGGAAGAGAAAAAAAAATAACATGATCATGATTGATAATTACTATTCATAAATCAATAGAGCTTTTCATTTTTGTATAAATTATTGAAAATGTTTTTAGTATTATAATATACATCATTGTTTTATTCAAAACTTTTTTCTAAAATTTAGAGAATTGGTTTATAGACCATCAAAAAATTTACTATTGCTTTGGAGATCTTACTTTCTCATTATATTAATCTATTCCTTTTATTACATTTATGAAATGAAATGTTCTACCTCATCTAAAATCATAGGATAAATAGTTACATTTCAACTACACTGCTTCCATGTTGCCTTAATCTATTTCCAAGATTTTCTTGTAACATACCAAAGATTATTAGTACTTTCTCATCAGTTTTAACACTTCCCCATATCCAAATAATCCTTTAATATGATTAGGCTACAATTCTAGTGCTTGTTTATATTCAACAGATGCATCATAATTATATTTCAACATTCTAAGTGCTTCTCCTTGAAAACATATAGTTTTTGATGGTACCTTTGCCATAAAGAGATAAGAAATGCTTTGGATGATATTTCAGAGCCTTGTCAAAATATACTATAGCCTTTCTGAATTTGTCTTGCATTCTTAATGATTCACCTACATAGATAAAAAAAATAATTAACCTTTTCCCCAAATCGAATTTATATGATTTGGTTTTATTTTTATCACTTTATCATACCATTCAATAGCATCATCATAATTCTCTATCAATCTAAAATATTAGCCTACTTCTCATTGTAAATAATACCTTTTCCAAATTGGCTTTGAAGATGATTGGAATCCAATTCTAATGCTTTGTCATAAAAAATATTGGCTTCTGCATATTTTTATTGATTTAGTAAAATATCGCCTAGCATAAATCAAAATAGTACCTTTTGCCGCATAGATATCAGATTGTTTATCATTATGACCTTAAATAGATGGCAAAGATAAGACTTTATTTATAATGTTTTCAGCATCAAGTTATTTATAAAATGTATTAATACAAAGTCCTAGGTTGATATCAACGTTTTTTACCTTTTCCTGTAAGTGCTTATATTTGGTTAGGTTTGGTTGATAATGCTTAATCAAAGTACTTTTAAGACTCAAGTTCTAATTCTATTTCCTACTCCAACTCAATTTAATGTTTAGGTTTAGCTAAATTCTTAGAGAATAATACGTTTCCCTTAAAGTAATGCTTCAATTTTATATTAATGTAAGGCCTTGGCTTATAAATATTGGTTATGATTACCTTTATCATTTAGTCTTGCTTCTTATTCCTTATTTAAATTAAGCTTTTCTATTTTCTAATATTTGGATATTACCTTTTTCTTTAAGTCTGATTTCTAATCTTTCTTTGCTGAGATCTTCTTAAAGATACAATGTTTAATACCTTTTTCTTTGAAACGTTATTCAAGCTTTTGCTTTTCTAATGAATCTAGATTATGAAAAATAATAGGTTGTAATACCTCGTTCATTGAGACTAGACTCTGTCTTTTACTTATTAAGGAGCTTTGCTAGATAGAAAATTAATGATTGCAATACGTTTAGCTAATTTATTAAAATCTATTTCTAATTGATAAAGTGCTTTGGCTATTAATTTGAACAACAAGGTACCTTTTCCTACCAAGCTTGGAACATGATTTGGTGCAATACTCAATGCTCGATCATACCATTAAATTGCTTTCTAATGTTTATCCAATAACTACAAAGCATCACCTTGTGTATTGATCATGCAGTTACCTTTTCCACATAGAGAATCAACCATATTAGGATCCAGACTGATTGCTGCATCAAACCAATAGAGTGCCTGATTCCTTTTTTATTATTGTAACAATTAGTAACCTAAATTAAAGGAAAGACAACCTAATGCTATCATAGATCTAATGTCATTAGGATTCCTTTTAAGAACCTCTTCATAATCCTATCTCAATATTTTAGACATTATTAATTTTATTATACATTATCAATCCTTTTTAATCTTGCCTTCCTCAATCAACACTGGAATTTCAGCTGCCAGCCATGGTGCCAACTATTTAAAAATCAACTTCATATATATATACAGCTAATTGTAAAGCATGGACTATCCCAAATTTGGGTGCGTTTTTTTGCCATAGAGGAGCAAAATGAATATCAATGCAGATCTTGCCTCCTCTGTACATTTTAGGTGTCAAACCATCTAGTGATGGGATTTCAATTTCAATTGGTGCTAATGGGTATGTAGGAGGAATCTAATAAATATTTGTGTTTTGTTAACTTCAAATTAAAAATCAAATTCATAGCGAATCAAATTATGGACAACCCAACATTTCCCTTTCCAACTATTATATAATCCTTCATGTTGATTACTTGGTGCATTCTTTATTTGCTGGCTCCAATTTAACCCAATCATTATCTTCGCTTTTATTGTTTTTTATGTAATTGATCAAAGCTGTATATTCCTCTTTGAGTCTATCTACCCATTATGGATCTCTGGGTCCTGCACTGATAGTAATAGAGGGCTAAGTTGGTTGAGCTTACATAATTATTTAATATAAAAATATTTCATTTCATTAAAATTACAATACAGAGGATAATTATGATAGGGAAACAGTACAAAAGTGTTAATTTAGAGTAGTTACTCTCCTTTTTATTTTCTATTGTTTTTTTAAACTCTTTTTCAGGGGAGTGTTTTTAACTTTTAATAGGACTCACTAAATCATTAACATAGATATATACAATATTGTTGAATTGCAGAGTTAAGTGTTTCTTTTCTTTCATTTTATTTGTGTGGTTAATTCGTTTAATTTTTCATTAGGATAGAAGTCTGAATGCTGTGTAGAGTGTTAGCATAATCTGTAATGATGGATTATTCAGTTGCTTCACTCTAAAAGAATGTTTACAATATTTACATCAGAATTGGCATTCTTTGAAATATCTGAATACTATGTTACATATCGAACCCCAGGGAGTGCTTTAAATGAGCTCTTTTTTTCATTGGCAGTGATATCTGTACTCTTTTATTGAGGATCATCTTCCTTAAATATCTTCTAACCAGTTAATAACAACTTTATATTGGAATTCTCAGGTTTTGATTTCTTGTCTCCTCTAAAGAGTCTAATTGAAGGTCTAGAAATTCTAGAAGGACCTTCTCTAATCTATTCAAAATAATTTTTGAGCTTTTGAATTAAGAAGTGGTTAATTTGATTAGCTGCAATTATTTTTGGTTTTATTTTTTCTTCTTCAACTAAAGATTAATCTAAATTTTCACTGATATCTATGGATTTAATTTCTCTGATGTCCAATTTTTGATTGTTTCCAGATCTTAGATGCAACAAAAATGCAAATTGTGCTTTTATCATTACTTAACTTAAAATTCCAATCAATAATGATGTACTTGCAAATTTCATGGCCAATTATTCTTTGGCACTCATCATCTAATTATTTATTTCATAATCCTGAATATCATTCTTACTTTCTTGGAGTGTCTACAGTTGTTATGAGAATTCAGAATCCAATAAACTTTCTTGTTGAGAATTACGATTATTATTGTAAATATATTACGAAGTTGTTAGTAAAACTTCTAATTGTATTGATTTTATTTTTTGATTAATCATAAAACTAATTCGTCTAAACGTCTTTGAATATAATAGTCTAGTTTTCAGAATTCTGAAATTCTAACTTTATTTTCTTCTAAATAATTGTTGTAATATGGTAGTAAAGGAGCTGTGTCTCTTTTTTCTGTTTTGATTATATCGTAATATATTGAAATTTCTGCGAAGATGCTATTAAATTATCGATTTTAATAACAAGAAGGGTGCAATGGAGTATTTTGGTTAAAACTTTACACTTTTCTTTTTCGTAGGTGGTGTCAAATAATAATTTTACCCTTATTAAGGCTTATTTAAAATTGATACAGAATGAATATTTGGTTTCTTCGTTAATATCAAAACATCAAAATAATGCTGTAATCTTGTAGATTTGAGTTTATAGCAGAATCCCACCAATTTATGAGTGGCTAGTACTATTTTTAATTGTGTAAATCTCATTGCTAATTTGCAGCCTCCATCTTCTCTCATTTCAGAATACACCTTCAATGTTGCTTTGACTGCAGAATTTCTCGAAGAACTTTGATTGCTCATGCTTAATAATTAATGCTAATCAGGATTAGTTTTATTTCTTCTTTCTACAAAATTCATAATAATTTATATTTCAATAATTAAGGGTACTTTTTTGGTCTTGCTATCATCTTACAGCTATGTATTCTTTTATTTTGATGTCGGTTTGAGAATTGAATGGAAGTGAGAGGACTATTGGAACGTAATTTATTTAGATCTACACTGTTATTTCTAAATATTACTGAACATGTCTTACTTTTGATCAAAGCTAGTTTAGGTCTAGATTTAGGATCTTCCCTGTTCTGTTTTCATTCTGAAATAAGATTATTGGGTTGTTAGTCTTGAAGTGAAATGATCACTAGAATTTGTGGGATTGTTCGTAGATCCTTAACCAAATAAGTTAACAAAAGAGAAGGAACTTTTCTTTAGATCATTCTATTTGAAACCTAAATGTGGATGAAGCTAATCATTTTATTTGAATAGGTCTGAAATAGTTGATGACAAAAGAGTTCCTTCTCTCATTGTTTAAGGTTAAACCCTCTCCTTCTTTTTGTTTTATTTGGTTAATTATCTGCAAACTCTATCCCTTATCGATAGAACTGAATCCTTGTCCAATGGAAAGATATTCAGATTTCTGAAACCACCCTAATTGGAAATAAAAAACCTACTCTCGATTAATTTATTTTGTTATTGTATTCAGTGATTTCAATTATGCTTAATGCCTTAGGAGAATGCGATCTGATATCTTGGGTTTTGGTCTTTATGGAAGTATGGAAGATTTCAGAAATAGTCTTTCTCTCCACCTTCTGTTGCTCCTTCTGAATAGTTTCTGGCTTGTTAATAAAATTATTCATAATCATCTCATATCTTGTTTTCATGTACTCCTTCAGTAATTGAGATTTCTCTTTCAGAATCTTGCAAATTTCTGGAAAGTTTCTTCTGATCTAATTGAATTCATCTAGATGAATGTAATAGGCAACTGTATTGTCAGCGCATTGGCAAGTAGATAATCTATTCGATTAATCAACTAAAAGAGCTTAATTCTTATTTTACGTATTTCTTCTTGTCCAACCCAGCTATTGTCACTTAATTGACATAATGTGATCCTCACTCTCCCAATCTTCTTTACCAATTCCACTCTCCCTTTGAATATTAGCATAAAAAATTTAGATTCCTCTCCTTCTTTCCATAATATGCTTTAAGGAGCAAATTCAATCTTATGCATGTATTACATAAATTTAGTTATTACGAACTTGCTATTATTTGGCAACATCCTCATAAAATAATCAACATTGCTATTCATATCCTAAAGAGACTTCTCACAAATTTATTTGTATTCATTCTTATTCATTGTAATCAAATGAACATCCTCTGACAATACTAATATGCTTGCAGTTCTTGGTTTATCTGTATATAATGATACATCTCCAAATGTCTATCCACTATAATATGCATAAATCTTAATATTCTAATATCTAAAATACCTTTTAATATAAACACACACCTCCCTCAAAGTATCTATTTGAGATTACCCAAGGATCTTCTCCTTAGGCTAATAGTAATTCCATATCAATAGTACTCTGTAATTTCCTACCTTTCCAAACATTACTCCATAGTTCATTCCTATTGGTCTCTACAATGAAATCTCTATCAATTTCAATATCATGATTCCCTTTAGGTACCAATACTCCAACATTACCTTTTAGGATCATAAAAAACTTATCTCCATAATCACCATAATGGAATATAATTGAACCCTTTTTATAATATTCATATGTCAAGGCTTTTCCAGCATACATAATAAAATCTCTTAAACTGGAACCTTCAGGACAATTCTTTTTAAAGAAATCAATAGCTATCAAAGAATCAGCAATCTGTGCCATCTGAGATTCATTGCTCATCTTTATAAAAGTTTAAAAACTCTATAATGCTGGTATCAATTGAATTTCTATCTTCTCTCTCTATTCAAAATCATTATTTGATAAGAAATTGATTGATGACCGTACATTTGCTGTTGATCTATCCATTTCTCTTGTACACTGTTAATTAAATATAAAAATATAAATTCATAAAACAGTTTCTAAAGAGAAAATATTATATCTATTTTGTTTATAGATTAACTAAAGTAGGTGGACTGATTGTTATAATAAATATTAAAGAGTTTTGAAAAATCTATCTTTGCTGAGAATATCTATTATTGTAATTTCGAGCAAAAATGGTTTATGAATAAAATTCATAATTTTCCTAAATAATAATTACTGACTATTTTATCATAAGTCTCTATTCAAATATTCATTCATAATACACACAATTTTTCACAACTTCATAGATTTATAGATTGTGATATTTTTGATCATCTGAGACTTCTCAGAGTACACATAGATTCTAAAATATAAATAACCTCTTCTAAATAAGAACTATCTATATTATAATTAAAGTTCTGTAATAATTCCAGATGCAATAATAGTATTTCAATTAATGATTCAGATAGATATTTAAATAAATTCAATTCAAATTTGAGGTAATTCTTTTATTTTTCGATAGGATTTTCAGTTATAAATGGTGGAAATTAAAATAATTATATTATAATTTTAACAAATAGTTAAATTGAATATATTAGAGCAGGTGTTATTGTTCATAATTCTTGGACCAATCGTGAATATCAATCTTAACTGTTATTAAAAAAATGGACTCTTATTTTTATTAACTATTCACATCTAATAGATTAGTAATAAAATAATTAAATTAATTAAATATTTTAAAGTGGGAGAAATGAATTAAATGCAATTTGATGCTTTGTGCAAAGAGTGTTGCTTTTCTTAATCTGTTGAAGTACTGTGCATTATTATTACTTTAGAAAAAATAATTAGCAGATTAAACGATTTATCAATTCATAGAAGATATCAGAAATATAGATGGATTGTATTAAATTATAAGCCAAACTTAGTCAGGCTCTACATTATTTGTCATATCTGAGTTCATTGCCAAAATTATAGTGTCGGAAAGATAATTCAAAGGATTTTAGGTTGCTGAGCGTTCCTCAAAAGAAGTACAGGTTATTGTTGGTTAATGCTATACAGGTGAGGAAGTGGAAATTTTGTATCAAAAATGTAGAATATATGAAAATTTGGTTACTTTATTCTGCTAGACTTTGTAGAGGGAATTAGCAATTCATGAACAAAATTCAATTTGTAATCTTGTGGGATTGTTAATTTAATAAGTAATGATGTTGAGTGGGACTCAATTTATGAAATTCTAAGACCGACTAAATGTATTTTTTGAGGGAAATAAAATTGAGAATCTTAGTATTGGTTTGAAATTATTATAAAATGTGATTCAGAATATCCAACAATATTCATCATATGATTCTTATGTCTCGTATAGAAGGATAATGTTCGGATTCTAGAATTAAGAGATCTTTAGCTGTTTTGAGATAGTCTGTAGAATAGTGAAAAGCAATCTTCCTCAATTATATAAATAATCTCTGAGCACATTAAAGGACATTCTGATGTTCAATTTCAATGTGAGTTATTTTGAATTGGAATCTGATTTTGATCCGAATGACTAAAATAATGTTAGTGTAAGAATATATCTATGACTTTTAGTTTCCAGATAAATTCGCTGATTATTTTACAGATTAGCAATTAGTAGAACTATTATTCAACATTGTGCATGTCTACTGTACCAGTGCCAGTTCTTTGGCATTATTAGCTTTGAAATCATTGAAAAGAATGGCATCATCTAAAAAAAGGATATTTTTGAGCAAAGATAAGAAGAGATTATTTGCAAAAGGGATGTATGAGGGTTGTACATTTCTATTTTAGAATGTGTAATCAACAAATGAAGAGATTATAAGTGATATCTTGGAGTTGAATACTAAATTAAATAATTGTTTTGGTCTTAGACAAATTCGTTTTGATTTTGTATTCAGTTAAAAATGGCTCTATTGTTTATAAACATTTTGTATTCAGATTTTGCAAAGATAAATGAAAATTAAAGATCCTCATATGTATTAGATGATAGAATTGATGAAAAGGTTACTTAAATTCATTTCCGATTTCAAATTAGACACTACATTTAAAACCTCCATATCTTCAACAATCACTGAAATAGGAAAGTCAATCGTTCATCTTTTGTTAAACTCATAGAATTCCTTCTTCTAAGGTTACACTCCTCAAAACCACAAGAAATTGAAAAATACACTCAAGGACTTCTTTGAGAACCTATTTCCAATCTTATCCATCGATTTGAGCAATCATTTAAAAATGATATATCATTCATTCAAAAATGCTGCTTAGGATTAGGAGAAATTCATAATCGAATTGAGTCTAATCAATTACATAGTGATAAATCCATTGATTTTAGATAAATCTAATGAAGACATCATTTAAGCCATTCAGACTGTCATAAGGGAATCTTTGCAATTCTTATCAATCCCTCAAAACAATCTACCGCCTTTGGTGATTATGTCAGCAATGTCTTTGGCTGATAATCTGTTTTAATTTGCTTTGAGTGAGTCTGATGAATCAATAGGAAGACAAAGATCCAATAAAATCTTCTTTGATTCTTGCATCAAACCAATTTAAACACAACCACAATAGGCAACTAATCAGTTACTCTAGTACATAGTGATGCAATTGTAGATACAAAATAAAGAAATAATTGAATATGCTCTGATCATAATGAAGGAGACTATCATAAGACTGAAACACCATCTGTATAATGACTCATTCCAGTCCTCAAACGTAGTCACCTAAATAAAGAGTGTGTTGCTCAATCTCAAGAATTCAGCCTTGCAATAGGAGTAGTTTTTTAGTTGTCGTACTTTGGCTTCAGAAATCATATCCATACTCCTGTTTGATTCAGCCTATGAGAATTATATAGAGTCAATCGTACAATTGAATTAACTCTTAACAATTCAACCAACATCTCAATCAATTTAAATTTACTTATACGAAATGCTAGGATATTTCAGACATGTTGATGTCAGCAAGATTTTTAGATTGTTGATAAAATAACATTTAATGAAAATTGCTGATTTGACTAGATTTATTTTAATTGATAACCCACAGCAATTTCAACTTTGTAAATTATGTTTGAAATTGATGGTTGCCATTACTGAAAATAAGAGTCTCAGATTTCAATACCATAGTTCATCCATCGTCTAGATAGAATTGGTTAGAACCTTTCAAGGAATCCTGACTAGTTATGTTCAACATCTGATAGTTGCTATTCAGGATGAAAAAGTCAAATAGGAATTTTCAGCTTAGATCTGTAGATTGGTTGGACTTGTGTACAAAATAATGAATAACATTCTTAAAGGCAAATATATATCTCAAGCTTGTTAATTGCTCTTTGCAGATCGTAAGTACTTAGACCTACTCATAGCGATTTTAGATATCACTCATAAGATATCAAATTACATAATCGTAATTATTTATTTACTATTTTAGCTTTACAACAAGTCATGTGTCCAAATGATTCAAGTTCTCCAAGTTGTCAGTTCACAATAATTGCAATTGTTTGAATTAAACCCTCAATCTTTGTCGACATTGCTGAGCATAGTAGAAAATCTATAGAAGCATCTATTGCAGCAATTGTCTTAAGAATATAAGACTTAAACTACTTCCTCATACCTATAACCAACAGACAAGATTTCATTAGATCAAACTACAGATATTGTGATTTCAACTTTGGAATTTGTTTCTGAGGAACAGTAACTTACACAATTAGGAGTGATTCAGTCATTTGTTTTGCCTCTTGATTCTATCATTGATAAAATCTTGAATGATTTAATTGTTTGTTTAATCTAAGGCAAATGTTCTCAATAAACATTCAATAAAATAAATAGACAACTCTTTGCCATCATGTGCACATATTATCAAAATTTCGTTAATGTATTGAGTAGATAATTTGTTAAATCAGAGCAGCAATTAGGTCAGGCATTGATAAATGTATTAACACGGGATTTGGAACTTAGAATAAAATAATAGAACGAAGAATAGTTTAAAAAGAACATGCCCTAATTTTTATCTTAATTTGGAATTATATGAGAATATATTTTATTTTGTTATTAAATACATTGATATTTATTCTCATGAAAAGCATATTTCTGTAGATTGATTAATTATTCAAAAAATATTATGCTTATAAGATTAATATAAATTTGGACATAAAAATTAATAATATATTATTATATGTAACATGTCTTAGGAAATTAATTTCTTTAAGTAATTAATATAGCAAACTGTAATATAAAAGAAACGAAAAACAAATAATACATTTATAGTTCTAACTATAAATATATTTCATAACTATTTTCGAGTGGCAGGACGAACTTTTCTTATGGGACGATCCAAAATTATGACTTCTTTTTCATCCTGTTACTCTTCAGTCTATTTTTTCCCATATAGGCTCTCATATACCATTGCTTATAGTTTCTTAAATTTAAAACTAATTTACTGCCATTTTCTCTGTTACTTTAATTACCGAAATGTCAGGTTTTATTTTTTAAATTTACTAATTCAGTTACTCTTTCTGAACTTGGTCATCAACTTAATTTTCTGATTTTTGCATATCCTCAATTTTGATAGGGCTTTTGATATTTTCATCCTTTTACTCTATTTCAATCTATTGAGTTGTTTGATTTTATTTTAATTATTCAATTTATTAAACAGCTTCCACTTATTAATTGATAGATTCTTATATCTCTTCTTCTTCTTCTTCTTCATCCTTATGATTTGTAACTTCTTCTTCTTATTTCATTTGATCTAAGGGAAGCTTTAGGAGCATTTGCCTATTCTACAATTAAAGTTTATTCAATGTAACTAGATGTTCATTTATTTTATTGATTTCTATTTTCACTTCTTATTTTTCATTTAATTATTAATGCATCACTCTTGAAAACTCTTTTATCGAAATATAATGAGTTTCAGCAAAGGCAACCAAATTTTCAACTAAAGCAATAAATTACACAATAGTTTTTGGATCATCTATCTTTTCTTCTGTCTTCAACATAGCACCAAGCAATGCTTATTTAGCTTTCAATATTCTATCTCTTTTAAATTCAAAATTAAAAGTTAATGTTTCATATTCTTATAATTTTTAATAAAAATAAGGTGTTGATATTGAATTTGAATATAACATTTCAAGGGCGCGAACGCTGGATTACAAGTATTTGCATTATGACTTCATAATTATTATGGCCTTATAATTGTTAATATCTATATTACATTAAATCTAGTTTAAGTTAACCACTTTAGTTGCAATTATATATCAGACTTCAATCTTTTTAATAATTGAATTTCCATTAATTATATATATATATATATATAAATAAAGTATGTGTAATAAATCAAAATTGACAACATCCAGTACCACAACAATTTCTATTTTTTTCTATCATGCTTTTTTCCATATGTTCTTTGTTCAATTCATGTTATCTAGTTTTGAGATTGGATTTTGCTTTGCTCATATTTCTTTATTAGGAAATATGGCTTTCTCTAAGACTGTCAATACTAACATCTAAGGACTATTTTCTTAAATTTGATAATCTATTTTTTAGAGCATTCTAAGAAAGACGTTTTGCTCCTGGGTTTTACTCTGAATCTCCAATAGAGTTTTACACACTTTTTTTGCTAGTAATCAAATTTTCGTTGACAGGATTGGACATCGACTTATCGAATATATTATATTAATTAATACTAATGGAGAATCGAATGTACCAAAAATTCCATCAGGTTTCTGTAAAGGAATGTATATGCTTTGAACAGATCGAGCCTATTGTCTATCTGTAGAAATAGTAGTAATAGGACTGCCCTTCTGTAATTATTCGATCCACAATCTTCTGAAAGAATATCGTTTTCTAAAAAAATCTCTTAATAAACTACTTCATTAACAATTTGATCGCTGATTGTGTTTGATATGCAGCTTCATTTTCATCAAAATCCTACCATTCCCCTACATCCCCCTCAGGAAGTCTAATAGGTATTCTTTATAAATTGCTTTCATAGAATTTTAAATATCCTAAGACAATTTCACCGAATTGTTGCATAGTAACAACTTCATAATAACGATATTTGATGTCTTGAATTAGAGATGGATCTTCATTCTACAGGTGTAAATTATTTGATCGATTCAGTCTAATGCTCAATCTGCTTCTAGATTATAACCAAAGTGGATGTTCTTTGCCAACTGCGTCTAAGACTGCCTACATGTCAGTGGCAGCACCCATTACATGGATGAAATCCTTCCAAAGATCTTAGAAATTGATTTCCTACATATTTTCCGTATATTTCAAAAATATTAATAAGAACCGAAGGCTCATTCAAACGTCAAAATATATTTTTAATAGGAGATGAATTTGGACTGCAAAAAACGCTGTAAAATTACTTTCCTTTTTGTAATTCATAATTATGGGAGGTTTACAATTGGTTTGATGGGGAATGTATAGAAATTTTTCAATTTAACTTAAACTAGAGTGTTTGGACAATTGATTATGTAATAATTATAGTAATTACATAAAAATATGAAATAATCGGATTAATAAAAGACTCATGTTTCTAGATCGATGAGTTAGCATCTACTGACGGAGTAAGATATAAAGAAGATCTTTCCATATACTTAAAGTATTCATAATAGGTATTTGGAATAAAATAGAATGGAAAGCATACGGGATTAATTAAATAATTAGTAGTAACAATCAATCTCCATTCACATTAAGGATCTCATAGTCAAGTAATGATGTGATAATATTTAATTCTAAATAGAGACAAATTGAAACCTCGATTATTATAGCCTTTGACAATGTTGGATGAAAGTTGTAATAGAGGAGTTAAAAGAATGAAGAAACTATTATATCATGATTCTCAAAATGTCAACCTCCATAATATCAATCAAAGAAGAGAAATGGTTTAGTTGGCATAATGGTTGGACATGATGGTCCAATAGGTCCATTCATAAAAATTAACAGATTATTAAGAATATTATAACAAATTGGAAATAGTCTTCCAAGGTTCGGTATTAGAGTTAGAAAGACAGATATCAATTGTGGGATTTGAATTCGGATAATTTTTGAAGAAATTATGGGAAGCTTTCACAGAAGAAGTCTAAAAAATCATTTTGGGATTGCAACAAAGAAATCAGCAAATTGAATAGAAATGTTTGGAGGACATAAACTAATTGCATAAGAATTATCAAGAAGCAATTGAAAAATAGGCAGAGTCAATGAGGATGATGAAGGAAGAGGCATTGGCAGTTTAAAATTCAATTGTAAAAATGAAGAAGGAAAATGTATATTTAAGAAAGAAAGATAAAAGAAGAGAAGAACAATTGCATGAAATAATGAGTGAATTTTGGGAATAGAATTTACAATTAATTGAATATTAAGGAATAGAAAAATTTCATAAGTAGGCTCAAACTGCTGAAGAGATGGATCTCGTTTTATAATAGAAGGATATGTTTGAATTCTTTAAATAAAAGTTTGAAGTGCATAAAAAGGATATTGAAAATTAATATAAGTATTATATTGTATCATTATTCTAGGATTCTTACCTTATAGGATGAATATTATGATGGATCAACTCACTTGATTATTACTGAATCTTCTGTTGACACAAGCGATTTAATTAAAACAAAAGTATAAAGTGAAGACACATCAGAATATTTTACTTATGTGAGTACCTCAACTCAGACTCCAAAATAAGCAAAGAAAATAGATGAAGAAATATAGGTTTAGCCCTGCCAAGGAAATCAAGAATCACAAGTCAATTCAACATAATTAAGAAAAGAGAGAGTGCCACGAAATTAAACAGAATCAAAGTTATTCAGAAGGGCAAGATTCCCTTTATCTGAGATTATTTAAGAGTATAGTGCTCTGTATTTCCCTGAGTAAGAATTAAGTAGCAATGATCCTTAATTTATTGTTATTATGGCTGATCAAATTACCTAATTAAAGGATAGAATTGAGGATCTATTGACTGTATTAAATTTGAGAGGGGATAATTCAAGTGAAGACATTTTTGCAATCAAATAATATTTACTTTAAAATTATGGCAATTTCAACTTTTATTTTAATGTAAATAATTTTATATTATATAATTTAGTAATGTTGGAATGTGTTATAAACACAAATCTCGGTTGTTATGGATGCTAAAATAGATAAAGAAGAAATGGAACTTGAAATGAAAGAAATCGAAAATAAATTTAATGAAAATGTTGCATTGTTCAAGAAATACCATAATAGAGCTAAGGAAAAAGAAACTATTGTAAAATTTTATAATAATATAAGTCTAAATTTTATGAAGACTCTTTAATTAAGGTCATCAGGTATGCCCCATAATTTTTAATTAATCAAATTAAAGAGTAAGCCAATGTGTATGGAGTGTTAGAAAATGTTGAATTTAAGGAATTTAAACGAAGACAAGGCACTAATATTGATCCTAAACAATAATCATAACTATCCATTAAAGATTTAGACTCACCTACCAAATCTCCTAATAAAACCTTAACAAATATCAATATTTCTAAGCCTCTGATGAAAATTTAGAAAATTCCAAGTCAGATTGAGATCTCGAGTAAAGAAGATGATGACGTATACAAAAGCGATTCATCCAAAGAAGGTTCTGGAGAAGAAAGTGATGTTTCTTTTAGTTAAATTAAATTGGATTTCAAGCAAAGCAAACCTAAGTTAACAATAGAAAAGAAATTAAGAATATCCACTTGTCCAGTAAAATCTGCCTCATATGCTACGAATTTATTAAAATAAAGTAATATTATTAGTTTAATATCTATAGTGTTATCTAAATTCAATATTAATTATAGAACTGGATTATACTAATTAAGTACTATCCTCTAAAATTATAATGAATTAATTATGAAAATCCCAAATACAATTTAAAATACTCCTCTTCATGTTCATATGTACGAGAACATTGTTGCACATTATGGTTAGTCATAATTTAGTGATGCAAATAGATACAAAAGAACTATTCGAAGCTTCTTATTTTTTGAAACCAAAAGCAGTACTTGCTAATTAGTTGTCAAATTTTTAAAAGCAGAATATGATATCTAAGATCTCAATTTATATCTCTAAATAGTTTAATCATTATAAGAATATCCAAATGTTTCATATTCAAAATTCATTGATACACTACTTAAATGGTTTTCAGATAATAAGTACTCGTAAAGTGAAATTGATAATATTATATATGATATTTCAACTTCAGAAGTTGCTTATATGTAGAGTTAATAAGGACCATGTGATTATGATATCTTGATGTACTAGTTTTTGGAAATATTTTAAAAATACAAAAATCGTACTTCTATCAAGTATAAGCATCTGTACACTGCTGTAGATCTAATGAATAAAGGTAGTATTGACTTTTCTTAATGGAATTTTTTGTATGAAGTATTGTGTTGCATCAACTATTCATTTTCCATCAGACTATTTTATTAAGAAGCAGATTACTGTGGGGATAGCGGAAAGATGATGTCAAAATAAAGATTTACTTTGGTTTGTGATGAGTTAAAGATATTTTAGGAGGATGATCAAATTAAGTTATTAGATAGAGAGACCTATTTTACAATCAGGGAGAAGATCAATACTTCATGGATGAGAGAAAAGATAGTGATGAAAATGTCATTTATTAAAGCAAACAAGGTAAGAATTCTTTCTAAACTAATAGTATAATAAATTTATAAAGAGTATTTTTGCAGCAATCGATACATTTGTTTAAAATCCAAAGAACTGTTAATTTGAAGCAGAGACTATTTGTTATATGTATAAGCTATTATAAAAAACCTGGAAGCCCTAGTTCTTAGAATCGTAATTAAATATAGGCATACCAGTCGAAATTTCGTTAATAAACACTACTTACAGAAGAATGGAACTCAAAATTCTCAACAAAGATTGAAATTTAATTATAAATATCTCATAGAAATTAAATTCCGATATATTAATAAACGCATAAATTAGATCATATTTCTTAATAAAGGAATTTAATGATGTCTTGATAGTGTTATCTGGCTTTATGTCTTTGCATTTTCATGGTTTCAGTCAATATTCCAACCTACATAAAAAGTTTTGGCTCTAAATAAACATTCTTGATTTGTTCAAATCCATTTAGATTATCTTGTTTTCCCTAGAGATTAAAATGATAAATACTTATTCATTAACTAATTTTAAGACATGAGCTCTAATAGTTTTATCTTAACACAATTATGCATGATCCCCTTAGACATTCAATTCAGCAGCCCATTGTTTCAAAAAAGTCTATTCAGGTACAATAACCCCAACGGTATGATTGGAGAGAGAGTCACCAAAAACGACGATCTCAGAAATTCCTTTAACTCTCAAATAGCAATTTTCAATTTTTTCTGGTGAAACATATTCTCCTTGAGATAATTTGAACAGATTCTTTTTTCTGTCAATCAATTTAAGTGCTCCATCAATGATTTCTCCAATGTCACCAGTGTGCACCCAACCTTCTTCATCTATAGTTTCTTTAGTTGATTAAACATTATTGAAATAACTCCTAATAACACTGGGTCCTCTCAAACAGACTTCTCCTCTTATTTTCTTTTGTCCATCAACAACTTAATCAGTTAAATAATCCATCTCTGGAACACTGACTAATTTGAATTCCTAAGAAATGGTTGGTCCACCAATATGACCACATACAGAATCATTATAATCAGTTAAGAATGAAGCAGCAGTAGTTTCTGTCTATCCATAGCCTTCTATGATTTAACAGCAGAAACAAACTTTTAAGTACTCCAAAATCTTAGGTGAAATTGGGGCAGCACCAGTAATCATAATTCTCTGTCTACCACCAAGAATAGATCTGGTCTTAACAAAGGCTTCATCCAATTGATCATGAGTTGTTTTACCTGTGGCTCTATAATACTTAAGTTTGGCAGCAAGGGCAAGTTCAAATTTTTATTAGATTTCAGGAGGCAAAGAATTTAATTAAGCCTGAATTCCTTCATAAAATCTGTTGAAGATTCTGGGGACTCCACAAAAGTAGGTTGGTTTGCATCTTTGAATGTCTCTAGCTATGGTTTGTATGTTTCCACTAAAGTAATTGATTTCGGCTCCTCCTGATAGAGCTGCCAAATGAACCACCCTCTCAAAAGTATGGGGTAATGGTAGATATGACAAATACACATCGTCTTATGTAAAACTAAAATGATCTTAATGTTCGAAGAGAGCAAGCATTGAAGTAAAATTAAGATGAGTCTAAATGGCTGCCTTTGGTTCCCCAGTTGTGCCACTAGTGAAAACTAAGGTTAAGGGGTGTTGGGGATCCAAATTTGGAAAAGGTTAGACCTTTCCATCTGATTTTTTAATGTAGTCCTCCCATGTGATAACTTCCTTCTTTTATTCTGCCAAAGTATTTAGGACGGCTGGATCTTGGGCTCCAATTGTTACTATGGTTTTTAAGTAAGGTAAATTCGATTTGGCCAAAAATCCTATTGTGCTTGCTTACACAAAACACACACTAAATAAAAATAATATATTTTTACCTCACTTGAGTGATATTCATAGAATATGTGATACTCTCAACTCCTAGAGTATCATAAAATGGACAAGATGTAAATCCATATAAGATACAGGCCACATCTATCAGTGTCCACTCCCTTCTATTAGACAAATAAATTCCCACAGGCTTAATTACATTGTTTTACTAATCTTTGACCTCTTTAATTGAATCCTATAAACAAAGGGAAGAACCAAGAGAAGTTGCAATTTCTTACAATTCCTAATGCATAGATTCATAAAATACTTTGTATGAAATGTGATCGTATCGTTGGGTTTCTTCATTGAAAGTTCCCAATGTCTTCTTCTCAGATAGCTTTTCAAGTTAGACTAGAAATTGCTGTTGCATGTTCACCTTTCTATTGTCTATGGGGGGTAAAAATGCATCCTAAAGCTATGTCTAATGTTTACTTTTGCCAATGGATGCCTGTATATTGGAGTTTCATTGGGTTTGGGTTCTGAAATTGGACAAAGATATTCTCGTTTTGCTTACATATCTAATTTATTAATGATTTTATATTTATTCAATCATCCATTTAACACGTAAATTTAAGATATGAAAATATTACACATTATATTATTTCTTAATATTTTTATATTATTTTTTTTATTAAATATATTTATGAGTAAATAGAAGTAAACTGATAATAAAACTAATGAATAATTTATTAGTGATTTGCGGTCTCTTTTTGAAGTCACTAGCAATAGACACAAATAGGATAAGGATTTCTTGAAAAAATTTACATCCCTCATTAAAAAAGAAAAACTCATTGATAAAAAAAACATCGTGAATGAATTGCTCAATCTGTTTAAGCTGGCTTCCAATTCTAAAACTCTTTATTTTAATACCATTGTTGATGGTCTATTGCTTTTATAAGCCAAAGACATCAATATAAATCTTGTATTGGCTGAAGCAATCAAAGGTCCATGTTAAATAGATAAAAAATCAAAAGAAAATTAAGACAATGAAGAAATCAAACTCTTTTGCTTTCAAAAATTGGAAATCCAACATGCAGAAACCCAACTCAACTTGTCCAAAGTATTGGTTTTCATGGAAAGAGTGTTAAAGATGATTTCCACCAAAACTAAAGAAGAAACCAAAAAAATATTTTAATTCTTAACTTCAATCCAGGACATCCTCAGCCAACAATTACAACTCTAGAGCTTAATTTGTATACTCATACTCAAAATTGTATTGACTTTAATGAAACACTCAGTACTCTAGAAGACAGACATGAAGGTCTTGTATAATCTTATAGATGAATAAAGTATTCACTAAGTTTTTAAAAATATCTTAACGATCGCAAAAACAACGTGTACTATTCTATTTATATTTTAGATGTTCATAAATATTATCATTACATATTCAAAAGTTGCTTCATGCTATTATGTGAAATTTGTATCAAAAATAAAATGGCAGTCTACTTTTAAGCATTTCTCTGCAGCCCCTTGAGCTAAACCCATCTCAAAACTATTTTTAACATCATCAAAGAATTCAATTATCTATTCTTCTAGGATGTCAAAGATTTGGTACTCATTTTCAACTATCTATTAGCCATATTTATTTGAAAAACCAAGATTTCTTATAGATTATCTCCCTACAAACTTTTTATTAGGATTGCTGAACAGAAATCCAGGAAATTGGATGTGTGTATAAAACTTCATCCAAAATCATATTCAAATTGATGACAAATACTTAAATTTTACAATTGCCAACCTAGCATAAAGACAATCTAAAATAGTAGACCCTGGTTACATCTTCTAATCAAATAAATTGTATTGTTCTCAATCACTAATATCTAGGAAAAAGAAAAACATCAATCAAATAGATCAATTATTAATTGAGTCAATATAAATGCAATAAGACGTTGGAGATTATAACACCTATATTTATTGCTAATTGCATTTACTTCTATATTTAAACTCCTATGATTTAACTAGTAATTACTTCAGTAAAACATAAATATCTTGTGATTCAAGATTTTTCAAGAGACTGTTCTTGCTGAAATTAGAAGATAAAATGTAACCATCTTATAACTCATATTTAGCTATAAATATTAAGAAATTACAAAATTATCAAAACCCAGATAAGGTACAAATTAATACTTTACCTTCTAAATCAACAAACAGTTAAAGCAATTAAAGTACCCTTTTTCCTAAACTTAAATTAAAAACATCTATTAGGATGTCAAATAAATGCTTAATATTAGTTATCATTTCTAATTCCCATTCATTACTAAATTTTCCTAATATGTCAAAGTACTCTTTAAAGATCTGACTCAATAATTCTTAAACAATACTCTATTTCCATTTGATTACCAACAGTACTTTGGCTTAAGTAAGATTTTCTCAATTACATAGTTATGATCTTAAGTTCATATTCGAAATAAGCATTCTAAGCCTTTATATTCTCAATTTTCAATTCATTATTGGTAATGAAGAAGCCTCATGTTGTGCATTAAGGGTTGACGCAATTGCAATTGTCTGCTTTAGAAGAAGTTGGAGTTATGTTTAATGAGTTGAATATTGAAGATTCTATATTTTAGCAAATGATAATTGCAACTATCCACTTCTTTACTACATTTGAGATAAAAAAAAATTAAAAATTGAATCAATTCACTCAAATTCTAGAGAGATTAAAGACGTATTTAAGATTGAATTGGAAGAGTGAACAAGGCGTATTAAAATAATACAAATAACTTATGTTGATGGCAGTTGATCGATTTTTGATGATGAATGGATTAGGGTAATTATAAAATAATAAATAGAGCATAATCTCTGAAAAATAATCAAAGTAAATTTTTGAAGTTCTTCAATACTCACTTAGTAAATAACTGTGATTTTATTGAAATTTTGATTAAGATAACCTAACATATCAAGATTTAAGAAGTTTCAAAGTATTTAGAATATTTAGGAGAGTGTTATTTGGGAAGTCTGGCAATTCATAAGTAGAATAGAAGTCTGAAATTTTAATTGTGTACATAAGTATCAAAGAGGATTATATTAGATTTTGTATCATCATAGATAGAATGCTTTGATTTATTTGGAACAAAATATGAAGGATCCAGATCAACTTTATGAATTGCTATATTATTTTCAGAGGGAGAAAAGATTAAAACAAGAGTAACCAAATGTTGAATCAAATGGAAGATATTAATGTAGAAAGAAATTAGTCTATTTATTCATGAAAGAATCGTAGTTTACAAAAGTGCATTATAATTGTTTATTGAAATTATTAAAATGAAAAAAAAATAAAAACATATATGTTGGATCTGCTACTAAACAAACAGTCACAAGCGATTTAAACCATGTAATTGCAAAGGCTCTTTGTCATATATTCATAAAAAATGCTTGAATGAATGGGCAACCAAGTAGTACAATCAAAACAATTAGATAATAAAATGTCCTAATTGCAAATATGAATATTTATTTGCAATAAAAGAGTGCTATAAAGTAAACCTAAAGGTTATTTAAGTTGCGTAATTTTTCAACTTGGCAATTTTTTGATTCAATAGAGAAGATTGTTTTAATTTGCATGACACTAAGTTTAATAATAATTTCTGGATTAGATTTTATGTCTGTGTCAGATTATTTGCAGTCTGATGAAAATGATAAGTAAGAAGTAACAATGTTCAAATGGGTAAATAGAGTTCATTTTGGAACAGTTTTAATCATACTCTGTTCGGCAACATTCAATATAGTGCAGATGGCAGTGAGTAAGTTTGAGTTGGAAATTTTGGATATCCGAAATTGATGAATCTACTATTTTATTGTTTATATCGATATATAGTAATGAATGAGAAAGTAATTGGTCTAAATAAATAATTATGAGTGAGAAAGTTAAATGGTTAGTTGCTTATTAAATTTGAGAAAATATTAAACAAATAATATCAATTCAATATAAAGGAACCAACAGTTTTGTAATTATTTAATTCAACATCTTCATCTAAAGACTTGTGAGTATCTTGAATGATTTCGCCCTTGACATCTTCCAATTGATTCACGCTTGTCTATTTTTCATCCAACGACTTGATTTCTGGTTCTTGATTTAATTGTTTGGATGAAGAGTAAAAATATATATGATTCCCTATTTCATCCACTCTATCTATTTTCTCTTTATACTCTTCTACTCGTAGAATCGTACTGGCACAGTAGGGCTCTTTTGTAAGTACCATGTTTTGATCAATCTATTCAACCCCTATTAGTTATTCGGATGTTGACAAATTTTATAATTTATCCGGATTCAATGAAAAACAAAATTGGTTTTGATTTTGTTCTTGATTGTCCGGATGTAGCCAAGGGTGTAGAATGAACTCTATAAATTAATATGATTGAAACCTGTTGAGGATAATCGTTTTTCAGGTTCTTTTCTTAGTAATCTCTTCAAGAGATCCTACTGCAACAGGTCTAGAGATTCAAATTGTGCGGTGTTCTCTACATTGTAATTAGGATCACATATTAATTCAATTGTATCTATTATTTGATCTTTTTGAAATGGCAATTATTAACAAAACAATTAATACACAATAACTCCAATAGACCATATATCGACTAAATAATTATTTACTATTACCTTTTTAGTTGTATCCTCCTCCAGCGAAGATTTCAGGCGCCTAATAAAATAGTGAACCAGTTCTTGTCCACATTTCGATATTCTATGTAGAATTTCTGGTTTTGGTGACGAATTTTTTAGAGACTCCAAAATCAATTATTTTAATTTTTGCATCATCTTCTGTCAGTTACACCAAGATATTATCTGGTTTGAGATCCCTATGACAAACACATTTGCTATGAATTTTATCTATGGCTTTGGCTAGTTCTAGAATCAGTAATTGTTGCTATCTAATAGTTAATTATTTTTTTTATTAGAGGATTTTGTCTAATGAGGGATATGGACACAATTCCATAACAAGATGGATTTCTTCTTTGGTGACATTTATGAATAGATCAATAGCCTTGATTACACATTGCAGATCATTTAGTTGTCTATTGATTTTAAAGGTTTTTTTAATTGTACTGATGATTTCAGGATCTCCAGAGCGAAATACCTTTACTGCATACTGAATTGCATTTCCCTCTAATTTGTTATAACAGATTTTTACAATCCCATGTGCTCCCTAACCTATTATACTTAATTCCATTACCAAGATTCTTATTCTTGTAACAATAAATCTCATCAAAATTTTTGTATAATGTTATTGAAGGTGTTTCATTGATTTGAATATTGTCATTGGATTGAAATTGATGCTTTCTACCTTTAAATAAAGTCTATTTGAGAGTTTGTCTAATTTAATTTGCATTGTTGGTTCGCATTGGTTATAAATATTTAAATAGAGATTAATTAAAATATTACAATTTGTGAATGAGAGAAATTATAAATTTTGAATATATCATTTGTGGTCTTCATTAATTGATTTGAATAACTTGATTTTCTTATTGTTTAATGAATTGTTATGTCTGTCTCAACTTATCTAAAGCAGTTACAATTTTGGTTTCAATTGTTTAATTTATCTCCTCATCTATCTGATTGAGCTTTGTAATGATGTCTTTCATCTTTTCTTCTGAAAATTGAGGTTCCTCTTCATCTGATACTTCGTCTGTTGATCTATTTTCAAATTAAAAGTCTTGCCATTCATTATTATTAAATGTTTTATCATTATTTTCAAGCTGCTATTCAATTTATTCAACTTGCTCAATAATGTTCGATGGAAGATTAGTAAAATCCAGTCCTTTGGTATACGGGACTGTATCTAATTTCAGTTGTTTTAAACGAGAGTGATAGACATTACAAGAAATTTGATTCAATATTTTAGTATTGTTCAGATATCTACAATATTTAACCCAAATGCATACTTAATAGCATCAATAGCAGAATTTACCTCATCATATTCAATAAAGACTTTTGTTAACAATTAGCCTCTCTCAAATATTAATATCTATAATATCAATGAAAAGCGTACTTTTGATATTGAACCGTGTTTGGAGAAAATCTTGAGCAACGATTAGTTATTGATTTGAATATTATTTTGAGTGGTCTTGAGACAAACTAAAGCTACTCTTGTTGGCGTTGGATCTCTCTTTTTTTTCCTTTGAGACATTATATAATAAATTAATTAATGTTTTTCTCACTCTCTTCAATACGAAAGCCTAAACAGGAATTCAATTTATTACATTTGGAAACTCAAGAATACTACTTCCTATCGCTCAAAGTCTCACTTCACAATAACAATGAGTAACCCATATCCATATAAGAATAGAATTCGTGGTAAATTACACATCTGTTCCCGTTCCCTGGTATTCCAGCCAAACCAACCAAAATTGCCCATGATCAAGATGAAATACTCAAATAATCTCATACTGAAGATTTTGCGTAACATCGATACAAAAACCATGAATTAAATCATGTCCATCAAATGGACTCCCTCCTTACTGATGGAAGATATTGACTCACTAGATATTAATTAGTTGTATCAGCATTTCAAGAGAGACAAAAACAACGAATTATTGGATCGACTCTACAAAGTTCAATCCAGAACTGCCAATTCACAATATACTATCATGTTTCTCAGAGTAGATAAACTGTTTGTTATTAATAGAAATCCAATCAGTCCCTACATTACTGAAACTGTAAGCTAATTTCATTATCACGTAGTGCGATGAGAATATTGTGTTTTCGATTTCATAATCAAATTCAAAATAAAATATAGTCAGATTTCTCAAGCTTTATCAAGGACTCACATAAGCAGAAGATGAAAACTCATTTATTAGCACAATCATCAATACAACATTAAATGAAGCAATGAATGAACACAGAGCCTACTCCTCTTAGTAAGGACTAAAAATTGAACTTGCTGTTAAGTGTAAATTGATTAGGCCTGAAGGGAACATCTATGGATTATTTTCTATTCAGAGAGATGAAGGAATTAAATACATTCCATTAATCAATTCCCCAAAAGGAAAGATATTGATGTGGCAATTGACTGATATTAAATTCTTCTTGAAATATCGTTACATGTTTAAATAAATTGGTTTAGAAATCTGGTTCTTCAACAAAAAAAGAAGTGTTTTACTTGCTTTTGAAGATCCGCAACAATTAGACACAGTCTATAAATATTTAATCAGAAAAACTACCAAAAATTAAATCAGCTCCATTACAGTTGAAAAATTAACAGAACTTTGGGTTGATGGTAGTTTAAGCAACTTTGACTATTTGATGTCCTTAAACACCTTTTCTAGTAGAAGCTTCTGCGATCTATCCGCATATCCCGTATTTCCTTGGGTCATTGCAGAATACACAGACAAAACCTTTGATTTAACATCTCCAGAATTCTTCAGGGATTTGTCTCGACCTGTTGGTGCCCTTAATAAACATAGATTACAAAAATACAAGCAATCCTATTAAGAATAACTGAAGAGTCTAAAGAATAATAATAATAATGACATCATACCATACATATATCCTACTCATTATTCTAGTCCTGGAACCGTCGTGTATTATTTAATAAGAAAAATACCTGAATTTGTAATTAAACTGTAAAACGGTGTATTTGGACCAACTGACCGTATCTTTAGAGGCATTGATAGTACCTGGTATACAACATTGAATTTACATGCTGATTCTAAAGAATTGATTCCAGAGTTCTATTCACTTGATCCAGATTTCTTGATCAATTGTGATAAATTGGAATTGGGAATGACTTAAGAAGGAGAAATTATTGATGATGCCATCATACCACCTTGGGCTAATTCAATGACTGATTTCTTATTGAAAATGAGGATGGCATTAGAGAGCGATTACGTAAGTTCCTAGTTGCCAAAGTGGATAGATCTAATATTTGGTTGCAAAACCAGAGGAGATGAGGCTGTCAAGTAAGATAATTTATTCTATCCTTATACTTATGCTGAAAATGTGAACTGGAATTAATGCAGAACCTCTATAGAAAAACAAGCTCTGGAAACCTAAGTAGCAGAATTTGGATAGGTTCCAATATAGTTATTTAATTCAAGTCATCCAAACAGAAAACTCAAAATACACCCTTCATTGAAATAAAAATAGTAGTAGTAGTTAAATTCATCAAGTTAAAGAAATCTATAATTAACTGACATTCAATAGGAATCCTAGAATAAGGATTATGTTACATGTTTGTAGAATCAGGTATCATCTTTATAATGGGAAAACGAGAAATTGAAATTTAATTTAGATACAATTAAACAGGAGTTATAATTATAAAAAATAGAGACATTCAATTCATAATACGATTAAGTATGTTATTGCTTCTATATATTTTAGGAGGAAATAGATAAAAAAGGATAAGATTTGATGAGCGATGATAGTTTATATCAACAAATCAAGATGTGATTATTATTATTTTATAATTATAACAATTGATGTTTACTTTTTATTATAATTTTTCTGATAAATTTGATAATAAATGTTTCCAATCGATCTTGCCAAACTAGCCACCTTACAGTCGAAGGTATAAAATACACTCTTATTGCTTATTTAACTACACCTAACTTATATTAATGCTTATTTTCCCAATATTTATGTTAGAGATTAGAATCGGACTTCAAGGTACTAGGGAGGATAGGAAAGGGTGGATTCTCTAAGGTTTATAAAGTGACCAACTTACTGGATAAGAACACTTATGCTCTAAAAAAAGTAATTAGAGTTTATATTTTATTTTAGATCGAACTTAAATCTAAGGATATCAAAGATAGCCTAGAGAAAAATATTGAAAGAGCATAGAGAGGTAAAGTATTGTAATGAAAAAGTTCCTCAGAAGCCAAATACTTAGCCCGTCTATCTCATCCTAAAATTATTAGATATTTCAATTCCTGGGTTGAAGTTATGCAAAACAAATCAGAATCAAAACTAATTAGAAAGTAAGAGTAAGATTAAAATGATTATGTTGTTGAAAGAAATAACTTTAGCTTTTGTGATTCTCAATCAAATTCAAAGAATGATCTTGAAAATTTGATCATGTTTAAAGATGCTCAAAATGAATAAATAAGCTATTCAGAATAAGAAAATGACATCCAACCAAAATCTAGAGTAAGTCGTCAGAAACAAAGCCACAACACTTAGAATAAGAAATCAACAAGTCAAGATGAGAAAAAATTAGAATTTGATAAGATCATATTCTATATTTAAACTGAATTCTGTTAAGAAACACTTGAAAATTATTTACAAAAAAGAAACAATGAATTACTGAGACTCAAAAAAAAGAACATTGAAAAATATCAACTTAAACTTTAAAATTATGAAAAAGAAGCCAAACTTATATTAGAATAAATTATCAAAGGATTAGACTATTTACATAATGAATGTAATTTAGTGCATCGTGATTTAAAACCAGGAAATATCTTTATGAACAGTCCAGAGGATGTGAAAATTGGAGATTTCGGTCTTGTGACCAAATTAAAACAATTTTATGATTTCGATGATTAGGATAATGATGATGATATTTGCACTAAAATGTATGCTGCTCCAGAATAAATCAATTAAAATAGAAATAAATCCTTTTATGATCAAAAAAGTGATATTTATGCTTTGGGATTAATAATATTGTTATTGTTTCATCCAATTTCTACTTCCATGGAAATGATCAAAGTAATTAATGATGCCAGAAAAGGCGTTTTGCCATCAATCCTCAGAGATAAACATGGCAAAATAGCTGAAATAATACTGGAATGTTTAAATAATGATCCTAAGAAAAGACCAAACATTAATGAAATTACATTTTAAGACTCGTCAAATTCATTGTCTTCATCAAAGAAGAGCAGCAATGAATTCAGCAGTGACACAACCGATTATTTTATTAAAAATATTGGTATTTGTTAAGTCAAATTTGAAGACGAGGATGCCTAAGAGAAGTAAAGCATTATTTTATTAATTAGGTATTTGATATTCAATAGTAGATAAATTTAAATTTTCAAAAACCAGAAAAGTTTAAAGGCTTAAATGATTTATAATCTTAGCGAATGCAATATATCTTATATTGATGATAGGATTGTAATCTAACACAGCTAATTAGAAAACTTCTCTTTCACAACTACGCATAGTTAGTTATAAGATATTTATGATCAATTATGTGAACTCACTTAATCATTCAATTGATTATAATAAATATATTTATATTTATAAATTATTTTATAGACTAAAATCATTCATCTGTATTTAAAATCAGTTTTAAACATTTAGTAAACGAATTCATTTCATTTATGTAGTTATTTTTTGCAAGTTCCAACTTTTGCAGTCTTTCTTGCAGAAAATGATAATTTTATTGATATTATTGACAAGACTCTGTTTCCTACATTAGTCTATATTCAAGTAACTATTTTTATCGCTTCAGAATTTGTAACTAGTCTTAATTATTTTGTTTAACACCAACAATTCCTTATTATTCAACATCACTATTTTAACTTCTAGAATTAGTTTGATCTGATGAATTATTATGCGAATTTCTATTTGCGAATGTAAAGGGATTTACCTCTATCTTATTCAAATCAATCACAGGAGGCTTAATTGTTGGAATAGACTTCCTAAGAAATCTATATTAATTATAACTTTATTGTCGTTTAAGTGATGGATTTTGCCCTTGTTTTATTACTTACAGTCTATTACTTTCCCTTAGATGCTTCTGATATGGACTAGGTTGACTTTTTTCTTAAAGTGGAATAGCTTTTCGAATTATTTTTAATCATTAACAGAAAATAAAATGAATTAGCAGTTTAGAGAAAAAATAATAATTAATAGATTATAGGTTTGAAAGAATAAAGAAATTCAGTTTAGGTAATCTACTAGCATAATTAGATGATGCAAATTGAATTGCCAATATTACTTTATAATTTAAATAAGAGTAAAACTGGATTACTTATATATTAGTTTACAGGATTAGAATGGTACTAAAAAAATAATTTTAATTCAAAAATTGATTTGACATGAAAAACAAAAATGATAATGGAAATAAATTTGGCAGGTTCTAAGCAATAGAATTGAATTTTCAAAAATTATTAATATAAATATATTATTTTTAATATGAGTAATGACTGTTACCGAGAAATAATAGAAAAGAAAGCCTTGGCTTAAACACAGCTGAAACAAGTAAATGGAATATCAATTTTTATTAGCTATATTCATTAAAAACTAACTTAAAATAAATTAAAAAATAATCATATGGATTTATTCCAGATTAGATGATAATTGAAGAAAATAAATACTCCTATATCATCAAATTTAAAGAATTATCAGATTGTGTAGAATTGGGTTAAGGTCGCAATTTTGATGCAGTGTTCTTCGGTCAAGAAACTAAAAAATTTTAGATATTAAAACATTTTATAATTATGCGATTTATTAATTTGGCAATTACTCTAAGCAAATATGGGTAAGAATATATGCTATTACAGAATTCATCTTCCAATGCTGAACTGTCATCACTTTATTCTTGGTACAGATTCGAAATAATCATAGAACATTGGCTACAGGCATGTTTACTTAGCCAATTTTATCACTGAAGAATTAAAACATGATAATGAGTAAATAAAAATGAATAAAAATGTACCCAAGGAGATATAGGATTCGTTAGGTTCTAATTCGGCAAAGGAAATTTAGTTTAATGAGAAAATGACAGTTTTCTCATTAGGTTGCATTATATGCTATCTACATACCTAAAATCATCTTATTGATGTCGATTTGGATAATATTTATAATAATCTATTAAGGGAATTATTAGAGAAATGTAAAGATACAAGCCAAGGGAGACCAACATTAATTGAACTAAAACATAAATACCTATTAATATTTATAACAGAGTAAATTTTAGATTTAGGAACTTTAGAAATTGAAGCATATAAAATTGAAGGTTTTATTAATGTCTTTATAACTCCTGATGAATAAATTACTGGAAGACTTTGTGTAATGGAATTCTTTACAAAATTAAAATTTGTTTCATCATTTTTTCACAAAATGGTTACAAAGAATCAAAATTCATAGTAGTTTTCAAGTTAAAAATTTGAGGGTTGTTAAAGGAATGAATTTAAGGAGTTTTAACATTATTCAAATATCATAATTTACTTATTAGTGCAAGAGGAATTAGCAAAACTAAAGATAGATTCTAATAAAGAATTATCATAATGGGATCAGGATAACACAAAAGATGAAATTAATGAATTTAAAATAAATTACCTTGAGAGTTATAAAACAATTTTGGAAGATATCCAGAAAATAATAAATATGAAAAGTGACCCAATATTAATTTAATAAATAAGTAAATATTAGGGTCTATCTAATAATAAAATTCGAGAAATATTTGAAAAGCTTAAAAAAACTTAGCCTCAACTTAGTTCTTCTTTATTTATTTGTTTTGAGTCTCTGAATAAAGTTTTTATATATAAACATTTATTAGAATGCTTCTAGCCAATTCAAAATTTATTGATTCAAGAAAATGCATATCGTAGATATGATATAATTCTAGATAATCTATTTAATAACTAAGAGAATATCGTAAATGAAACAAGCATAAAAAACATAAAATTGAAATATTGATAATTTATAATAAGTAATATAAATAAAGAATTTCATATATTTCAATATCAATATTCGATATTTAAATTGAACTTATTAATTTATCATAAATCATTTGTTTTAATCTATTTGTTCTATCTAATCAACTTCAAATTATATCCTTAAGTACAGATATTACAGGAAAAATATAGATAATGAAGTTATATTCAAAAATTGACCAGAAATAGCATTATTTTTCCTTGAAATTTATTTACAAATGTAATATTTGAACTAAATGGATAATTTAAATGTGAGAACCAATAGAAAGATAGTAGATATGAATGAAGAAGAATGAAGTATATAAATTATTATTAACTTTATTTAATATAAATTTGTTTTATAATGCAACGCTAATATATGTTACCAACACCAAGAGAAACCAATCAGTAAATGAATAAATTAGGTGAGCAATCCATTAAGGGAAACGACTTTTCAGTTAAGAAAACCTAAAAGACAAAAGATTATAATTTAGAAGCCATGTATAATTATTATTAAACAACTACTAAGATAGCCAATATATTAAAATTCATAAGAAAGTTTATCGAATTGCAATAGTAATAAGTCTAGTTCCAAAAATTCCATCGGATTTGATTAGTAACCCAGTTATATCGAAGAGTAGTAATGGAAATCCTCTCATTATCATACAAATACTGCGCCTGTTCATTTGTATTAAAACATTGCTGAGAACGATGCAGCATTTTTAATAAAAGATTAAGATACAGGTATTAGTAATTTAGAACCTAGGAAATGTTTATGATATTAGAAATACAGAAAAGATCCCTGTGAACAGAGAGTACATGACAAAATTGAAGAAGAGACATAAATCAGCATGGTAAGGTTGGTGGTAATAGAAAAAAGAGAACAATCGAAGTTTATTAAATTATGTTAAATCGAATAATATAAAGGAAGTGGAGAAACTTTTAGAGATTGCATCCAAGGATTTGAAACCTGAAATAAATATAAGAGATGACTCTGGTATTAAATATTATAATTTAAAAAGGATTGATTCCATTACATTATAGCTGCATGAATCAGAACTACGAATTAGCATTATTACTTTTAAAAAATGAGGCTGATTGCGACTTAACAAATTCACAAGGATAAACAGCATTAGGTATTTGTGCTTAAAAAGGGTGTGAATACATCTTGTCATTGTTGTTAACTATAGGTGCTGATATTAATCACATGGACAATCTTTAAAATACTCCATTGCATTATGCTTGTTATTTTTGTAAATTAATGGCGTAATCTTAGAACACAAGAGGATTGCTGAAATTTTATTGGCTAGGCCTTCAATAATGATAAATATTAGGAATCTGGATGGCAAAACACCTTATGATTTAGTCCAACATTGTCCTGCTCTGAAAATACTATTTGATAAACACTAGAAGGTAGTGAATCAACTTAATTAAGATGAAATAAGATTCATTTAACTTATGTTAAAGAGTTAGAATCTTTGAAGAATCTAATGAAAGAGTAATCACTTCCCCTAATAGTAAATAATAAGCAAATGCTTATCAAATGTTGGTGCGTTGTTAATCTCCATAAAAAGTTGAATACATGAATTCTCATTCAAATAGATCAACAGCCTACATCCATCCTGCATAAGATTATACTGAAGTAATTGGACCATCTTCAATTAGAATAATATTACAAATAGGTAAAGGCTCATTTGGGGATGTTTATTTGGTTGAAAAGAGAATAACTGGTAGACCTAATCAAGGACCAAAATTGGCTATGAAGGTTTTACCTAAGAATAAATTCCTTGGATAAAATTTGCTAAGGTATGCTTTAACCGAAAGAAATATTCTGTCTTATTTGAATCATCCATTTATTGTTAAATTAAGATATGCATTTTAAACAAATACTCATTTATGTTTATTAATGGACTTTTGTCCTGGGGGTGATCTATCTAAATTAATACAAAGACAATAAAGATTATCAGAACAATAAGCTAAATTGTACTTTGCTGAAATATTGACTGCATTGGAACACTTACATTAAAATGACATTATATACAGAGATTTAAAGCCTGAGAATGTTGTCATTGACCAATATGGACATGCTATGTTAACAGATTTTGGATTATCAAAAGAAGGAATTCATGACAATTATGGAGCCAAAAGTTTTTGTGGCTCTATGGCATATTTGGCTCCTGAAATGCTAAAAAGAGTCGGTCATGGTAGGGCTGTTGATTGGTATCATATGGGTAATTCAATTTGATTACAGCTAGGGATCTTATTATATGAAATGATTACTGGTCGACCCCCATATTTCTCGGCCAATAGAGATGAAATGATATACAATATCGAATAAAATAACATTCAATACCCAGAAACAATCACAAAAGAATGCAAATCTATGATATAATCTCTCTTAATTAAGAATCCTATGTAGAGACTAGGTGCCTCCTAAAGAGATGCCGATGAGATTAAGGATCATCCATTTTTAAAATAAATAAATTGGAAGGATTTATTAAATAGGTATTCTTCATTAAATATAAATAAAGAAAATATAAACCACCAATTCCAGTAATTAATGAAGATATACTTAATTAAGAATTCGATATACCTTTTGATTTTATACTTTCTGCAGATAAATCTAGCGCAATTAATTACATTAATGGTTGGTCATTTGTTAACAATGATTTTGTACAATTTTGATTATTTTATTTATTATTATTAACTCAGTAATTAGTATATAGAAATAATTCATCTCTATTTTAGCTGTCATTAGGTTGGAATGTCCAATGTTGACTTTACTATTGCATTTCATAAACTTTCTGCTGGAATTCTTGTATTAAATCAACCTTTTATTGCAATTATTAAGATATCGTTTATAAATAGGATTGCATATCATTCTAATTCTCATGCATAGTAATTTCTTTCATTTCCTAAAATAAATAACAATTATAAAATACCAATTTCGAAATCTCAATAATTTTATCAATCAAATTTTTATGGTCTTAAACAATCGAAGAACCCTGACTGTATCCTTGTCTCTATGATTTTTAAGGGATTGAATAATCAAACTCCTCTTCTAATTCTTAACTTTGTTATACAGCCTATTGATTTAATTATCGAAATCCTTGTTCTTACTAGGAGTGATATGGGGATTCACTGAATAAATCACTGTAGGTACTAGTTTGATTAAATTAATGCTATTAAAATAGTTGATTATTTGATTAATTAGGATTTTAAGTCTTTAAGAATAAATTACTCTAACTATTATTATTGAAATGATCATAATCATTCTAGTAACTAGTTGCAGAATTAATTCTTTAATGAGTAGGAAAGTAATTAGATTGATTAAGTTATTAAGTGTTATTGAAATTTACATTAATTTATGGAATGGAAGAAAGATTAAACTTATGGATAACAGAAGATATATCACTCTTTCTGATCTCTTTTTATTAATTGAAATTCTGATTATTATTATACATTTAAGTGGATTAGTGCAATGGTTATAAGGATTGTCTTTTGATATTCGAAATAGGACTAAAGCTTCTCACATTCTCTTAGTCCTCCTCCTCATTAAACTATTTTCTTGTAACGTTTTCTAAGTACATCAAATAATATTATACTTGTTTATCTTGCTAACATCAATTCTCTTTACATTAAATCTCCTTGACTAAATCTATTTTCAGGTTTTTTTAACTCCTTTACTCTATCAGCATATCTTAAAGTATTAAGTGTATGTTCGCTGCTTTAAGAACTGGGTGAAATGTTTCCAATCATTACTGTCTTGCAATTACCAGTCAAACTATCTTTTAATACCAAAGTTAATTTAGACCCTCTAAATGGTGTATGATTTTTATTCAAATCCAAAGCTCTGATGCATTCTTTTAATGCCAACAAAGACTTATTTATTTCAGCCCCATCTATTCTGGTTTACTTATTTTAATCTTAAACATCAGCTCCTCTTTCACTACCTGCCAAATCAATAAATGACATCTTTCCATGAAGAGTTTTCCCTGATTTCAATATCACTTATAATATGGCATGAGATCTTGATGATTCTGAATTCGAACTATTTGATGCTATTATTATTACTTTATTATTTATACCTGTAATTCTGACATTCTACCCCAATTAAATGAAATGCATTAGTTATTATACTGAATTTATCTTTTTTTCCATCAAATTTATCATATTCACATTCCCTTTTGCATCTTCCCTTATTTAGATTTAATTCCTTTGAGACAATAAATCATACAATTTCCCACAATAAATCTCAAAAAATGAAACATAAACTTAAAGATGTGTATATTCTTCCTAATTTTAATTAATTTAATAAATTTACCATTTCAATTATTTAAAAGATGTCTTGTCCAGCCAATAAATACATTCCTGGCACTTATCTCTCAATGTCCCCAATCATTGTATATGTCTTACCACTTCCTGTTTAACCATAGGCAAAACAAGTCACTTTGGCTCTTTGAAAGGCTGCCCGAATTATGGGTCTAACAGCATTGATGTAAACTTATTCATTCGAATGATTTTGATTGAAAGCAAGATCAAAATTAAACTAATGTTCTTCAATATATTTGGTGAGGTCGACTTTTTATCTTCACTCATTTAATTTATTAATCTTACTTAATTTCTTTAACGATCACACTGTTATCGTTTTGCACAATAATTATGTCTTCCTCCTTTTTAAGAATTTCCTTTTAAGATAGAGGCCTTTTTCTAATGGCAACTACAATTCTATCAATAATATCTGTCATCTTCTTCGAACGCCGATTAAGAAAATATTATATAATAATTAATATCTCAAACAACTATATTCTCGAATAAAAATATCACACACAAAATTAATTCAATTTTTTCTGAAATTCCTTTCTAATAAATTTAATCTCTATTAACATTAGCCCTAATATTAAAGCCTTTAGATTAGTTATATGCTAAGCAGATTTTTATTGAGAATAAAAACTCATTAGGAGATTATAAACCTGAAACAAATATTTAAGATTCCCATTAGAAATTAAATTTAAAAAGAGTTAGACTTAGTTTTGATCGCTGTAAATTTTTTGAAGTAGAATTTGATTCAGATTTTGCTTTTTAAAGATTTTAATGTCTTAATTTTTCCAATAAACAAACGAAACATTCATAAATTATATCTCCTATATTTACTAAGAATTTGCATTACTCTTCAATTAATTTGAAAATAAATTTAAATCTTTAATTTTATCAACAATCTCCTTTGTGTTTTAAATATTAATAGCATCTTTTAAAATTAGTAAATTTTTTTATATTTCTATTTCTGTACTACATACTATAACATAAATCGCCTTATTATAATCACTTTCATTAATTTGTAATTTCCTTATTATTATTGAAATCCTTATTTATTTTCTTTACTTCTAATTAAATAGATTAAATTATTAATTCTAAATTTGATATTTCAATATTTTTTCATCTTAATATTGATTTTTATATTATAATAGAATTAGGATTTGTTATTTCATTTTGGATATGTTACTTTCTTTAGCCATTCCAATCTCTATGCGCTATCCTTGCTTTTCAAATATTTGATTCGTATTAAATTTTCACAATAAATCACAATCATCTTTCACTAATTATAAGTTTAGTTTCCAGCTAATTAAGAATTATACCATCTACTTTAGACAATTCTTTAATTGAAGATTAATTTACTATTTTTATCTAATGAACTACAATATTTCCAACAAGATGTTTACAAATTTACTAATACATTTATTTACAAAAATTAATGTATTTTTTTAAATTATTAATAACATCCAAAGAATTATTTTTACTAATAAAGTACTAGTTCAACTTTTCAAAGAATTTATTGGTATGTGGAAATACTTCGGTAGATCTGATTCGAATTTACCTTATTCTGCTACACAAAATCCTTTTTTATTTCTTTTATTTAATTGAAATAAGGTTATTCGAAGTGATTTTCTTTTTGGCATTATTTTAAATCCATTTTAATAATAGTTATTATTAATAGAAGTTATGTATTATAAATAATCCTATTGAATTAAGTTTAGATATATATGATCTTAATTAAAAGTGTAATCAAAATTTGCAAACTCTTAAAAATAAACATCTAGTAAATTTTCTATGAAGAGTGCTGATTGTAAATGATTGATAAAAGTGGTGTTTATTATTATTTTATTACTAAAGTAATTTTAGATTTACCAATTCTTTATGCATATTACAAGAATGATTAATGTATATATAAATAAAAATATTGTTTCGAAGTCTTAAAAATGTTATTGTTTATAAAGTATTGTAATAATGTTCACGGTAAAAAATAAGATAAAATTAATGTTAATTTAATGATTATATGAATATCAGGATGCTTAATAATCAAGATAGGCAAAATATTTTTATTGATTTATCATTGATTATAAACTATCTTAATAATTTTGCCACTTTGGTTTTGGTATGAATTCTTGTTGAATTTTAAAGAGATGGGAATTCTGCTATTCCAATTTCTATTTAGCAATAAGTTATTTAATTTTAGTATTGTTCCTTATTTACTCTAAATATTTGTTATTTATCCTGGAATAGTCAAAACTATATTATAATTTATTGATATTATCATAGTTCCTTGGAGTATCTTACTTAGACCATCTCCTCTTGGGGTTTTATTCCAAATCTTAGTTTTTATTTTGAGATGACTTTCTGCTTTGCTTTTCATATTTTCTTTAATTCATTTTAATAATTTATAATAAAGAAAGTTTTTATTCTCACCTCACATTAGATCTTAATTTTGGTATAGAACATTCACAAATTAAAAGTAGGAAAGTAGTATTTCTCTTAATTAAAAAAAATAATTATATTTAACAAAGTGTTCAGTTAGTTAATTAATTCAATGATGGATAAAGCTGATGAAAAATCAAATTGCTTAATTGAAGGTATTATTTAATAAAAAAATGATGAATAGCAAAATAAAAGGAAAATTTATTAAAAAAGATTTTAATGAATGTTTAACTTTAGTTAAATTAAAACAGTCCATATCATCCATATCAATGATATTTTTGTACGAGAGTAAAACAGTTATAATTAAACCTATGAATTTGGTATATTCTAGATGTATAAGAGAACTGACACAATAAATTAACCAATAGTATGGGAATTAAAAAATGCAATGATTTAAACACTAAAATGTTTGATAAAATTTGAAACGAGAGTCTTCAGAAAGTTATTTAATTAATTTCTAATTTATGATGTTTTGTATATTAATTGCGATGCACTTAAAACAATAATTTATAATATCAAAACAACTCTAATGTACCCTATTCTTTTTCCTTTTTCAACGTTTCAAAATAGCCATAAATGATAGTGACCGAGAGCAAAATACCAGTTCCTATTAAAATATAGACAGAACAACATACCTGATCCAATAGCTCCAAGAAAATCAGCCAAGATAGTAAGTGCTCCAATGCACATGCCACCAAACGAAGCAGCAATTGGAATATATCTCTTTAAGACTTCCTTCATTGATGAGTCTCTATATCCAACAATTTACATGTCTTATTCTTTCAATTATTTGGCAACCTAAATATTATGATAGATAAATACATCTTTTGGTGAAGATCCAGAGACGTCAATCCAAGTTTTGGAGAAGACTGCACAAGTTCCAAGAATGAATGCAGTATATAAAATAGTATGAATTGGATCAAAAATAGCTTCTGAAATAGATCTTGGTGGTGATACATAGTAGACTAAACCACCAACTGGGACTGTTTGTCCATTTTCTAATTCTTACCAATATCCTAATAAACGAATTAAGAAGTTTCCCTTGAAGTTCCTATAGAGGATTTAAGAAAGGAAATAAAGATTTGATACAAGAGCAGTCTACAAAATGATTGGGATATTTGAAGTATAAAACAACTTAATGGGATATGAAGTTAATCCTCCTCTGACTTTATTATTTTTGATGGGAATATCAACTTTGAATCCTTGGAAGTAGATGACAATCAAGAACACAAGGACTGTAGCCAACAAATTAGTAAGATTAGGTAAAGAGTCTCTTAAAATGGCTGATTGGATGGCACCAATTTTGTCACTTTGAATAAAGAGTCCATGCAATAGGGCAATGACAGCTCCTTCATATTCAAGTCCAAGTTAGGTTTTATGAGTAATTGGAGAGAATGCTTTCCACATGATGTTTTCACAGATATTAATAGCAATGAACAAGGAAGTTCCTGAATTTCCAATTCCATATCCTTTAGAGAGTAATTCATCGATCATGATCATTACGATTGCTGAGAAGACTAATTGGATTATGATTAGGATAGCATTTCCTGCTCCCAATTTGTCTAAATCTCCATACATTCCTGACCAAACATAAGCAAAAGCTTCTCCAAAAGCTATGAGGATTCCCAACACTAAGATAGACACAGTTTATTACATTTTTGGGCTCCTGAATACAGTTATTTGTCTTCCTTTACGTTTTAATCAACATCAATTAATTTGGCACCTGCCAAGAGTTACATAATCATTGAGGCTGTGACCATTGGTGAGATACCTAATTCCATCAAAGTACCTCTATTAGATGCTAATATGACTCTCATCCAATAGAATGGATCACCAGCAGCAGATTTGTAAATACCATAGAGTGGAATTTGAGAGCATATCAGATATAGCAAAGTTGCAATGGCTGTCCATAATGCTCTGTATTTAAATAAGATCTAAAATCAAATTAATATTGGTACTCTTCTCTCAGGCTCAGCCACATCTGGGATGATGGCCATGGCTGGTCTCATGTAATTGAGTATCTTGGTTTTATTTGTCATTTTTATTATTGTTATTTAACGTGGTTATTTTTTACATTTATTTAATTCCAAACACACGTGTGAATTATATTAATATTATAATAATAATATAATCTATGAATTATTTATTCTTTACTCAAAATCAAAATCTCTCCAAATAGCCTAAATTTGCATCCTTAATCACACAAACACACACTTTTAGTTCATATTTTTAAGAATCTAATTCACTTAAGTGTTCCCTTTATGCACAAATTAAATTCGTATTTGCATCCAAGTTTCCAATAATACTGCTGGGATGGGTGTAATTTAATTGAGCTAACATCATATTGTGAATCAATTTTTGAAGGCAAATAACAAGAGCACTTAAACTTAATTGGCTTCTGATTTAGAAAGTGTTATTTGTGATATTTATTTGACTCATGCATCCATCAAGTTTTAGTGCTACTGAAATCATATTACCAAGCTACTTTACTTTATATAAATTATATAAACTAAGTTAATTGCTAGTAATACATAACCTCAATTGTAGTTTTCTGATTGTATATTTTTTTGAATAAAAGAGATGAGCAAAAAATTCGATTATGTGATTCAAATTATATGAGTAGTAACTGATTCATGTCCATCTACACCCTTTAAAATAGAATATCTTCTTTAAATTTGTTATCTTATATTCTAAGTAAACTAAAATTTTCATTCTTCAAGAAACAAAAATTTTGGATGCTTTCAATAATTCATAAACTATTGATCTTTTTATTAAGAGAGCTTGTGTGTGTTTTTGTCATTTTTACATAACTTATCTTGATATATATAATGGAATTTATGGTTTATTAATTTTATTATAAAATGTTAATAAAGTAAAGTAGTATTTATTTATATCTTGGCTAATTTCTAAAAAGGAAGGGTTATTTATGAAAATTTCATCAAGTATGTTCCTTTAATTAATTTTTAATAAGTAATTTGTAATTGGGTAATGTAATTGAGATAATCAATAATTAAAATATATCGATCAGTTATGAGTAATACTTTATAATCATATGAAAATACCTGCCATCAATATGAGCAGGATCAGATGTAGTTTAAGAGAAGGAAGGACATGAACCTTAAGGATGAGTATTCCATTAAAGAAAAGTAAAGGGGAGTCTTTGATTTTGATGAAACAAGCCAAAAAGAAAATTAAACGTATAAAGCATTCAGTTTTAGATAGATAAATGTCTTAGATGAAAAAAAACTAGACGAAGTATATTGTCAAGATGCAAAATTTGAATCTAATTAATAGTTATGATCATAATGTAAGAGTGCTGGATCTTTCAAATTCCAAAATGACTTCTTTAAATGAAGGAATATAACAATACATTCGTTTATCGATTATCAACTTAGCCAATAATCTCTTCCAAGAAGTACCTAATTGTTTATTTGAATTATCTCTATCACATATCAATCTCAATAATAATCTATTAAAGAGTCTCAAATTGGGGGATAAGTGGAAAACTTCATTAGAGAGATTGGATGTTGGCAAAAATCATATACGAATTTTACCAGATGAATTATTTCAAATGGAACAACTTAAAATTGTTGATTTAAGAAGCAATGATTTTACAAAGATACCAAAATCAATATTGAATTTAGAGAAGTAACTCAAAGGACTTGGTTTAGATTGGATTAAGTACACGAATCTAAACTACTATTCATCCAGTAATAAACATTTATATTACAATATTAGAGAAAGACATGATGATAGCAGATGATCTCTAAAGATTTTGGGAATAAATAAATCAACTCCTTAAAGATGATGAATTTATAATTTGCCACGATTACCTGATATTCAATCAAAAATATCATGATGATCAAATTCAAGATTCAATTACTGTACAAATCCCAAAATAGTCCAACATAACTAGAGCCACTTAAAGAAACACTGAATTAACCCTCTAAGAATTTTCAACCAGTTGCCAATTCATCTAGACCAAAACCCTAGGATAAGACGCAGAGGTCTCTGACAATGGGTCCAATCTAATGCATATTGCAGTTGAGAATGAAGACATAGGGATTGTGAGAGCCCTTCTCAATATAAGATTCGAACTATCCTCTTAATTGGATGATGCCTCTCATACTCCACTTTCATTAGCGATCAAAGAAGAAAAATACCACTGCGCCAAAATAATAATAAATGCATCTACAAATCTAAATATAGGAGGGTAATACATGTGATTTATTTTAAAAGAGGAGAATACAATAGTGTTCTTAACTAAGCTGTGAGTAAAATGCAATACTACTTAATCAGAGACATTCTAAATGCCAAAGTCTAAATTAATAAGTAAGATAAAAAAGGTAATGGGCCTATGCATAATTTGATTCCATCTTTTAAAAAGAACCTGCAGGAAGCCACAAAAATTGGACAGTTGTTGATCGAAAGAGGTGTTGACTCTAATCAAAGAAATATCAATAATAACACGCCTTTGCATTTGGCCATCAAAAAGTCTTCCTATTCTGCATTGCGTTTTGCGATATCAATAAACGAATAGTACTAACGAGATGTTTTTTCATTCAAATTACTGGGTCACAAAGACAATTCCGGTATTAATATTAGCACTATATAGTGATGCATTTTGCTGCCAAGAGTGAAAATATTAAAATTATTTTATAGCTTTACTCTATCAACCCTTACTTGCTATTTACTTATAATGAAGAACAAAAAAGACCGTTTGATATTATCCAAAAGAATTATACCTTAAGCAAACTAATTTCAGTTTTAGAACTCATCTTTATAAGGAATCACATTCTTAGATAGCATTAAGACTAACAGAGCTCATCTATGGTGTAGCCTTTCAAGAAGGAAGAAAAAGATCAGATGAAATAAAAGGAATAAGCTATTGAGATTTCGAAGAAAAACAGTTTCGATTTAATCGAATCTGATGAAGAAGGTACAAACAGAATTGGACTCAAGAATTTTCAAATATTACCGAATTTAAAAAGACAGTAATCTTAGCCTCCGAAACGACCGAGCTTTAAGAAGGAAAACAAGGTGTCCTGTGAAAATGTTGGGCCGATATTCATTCATAAATCTATTTAATAGGATCGAAACGATATTAAACAAATAGAATTGTAGAATTAGCAAAACAATAGCAAATATAATAAAAATAAATTTATTAATAAGTAGATCCATAAATTATTAAAGGATATAGAAAATATTCAAAGTTTAATGTAGACATAGTAAGATTAATACTCTTAAATTGCTTTGGAAAAAATATTTAATGCTTAAATTCAATAATTAAATTATTTCAAGGAGGATCCTCTCACAAATTTAATGATTCAAAATGCAACTTAATTGTAGAAACTTTAGTTTGAATCTAAGCAAACAGCAAGCCTTTCTTATGATACTTCTCCGTTATTCTTAGAATATGAATAATTTATGAAGCTATGAGTAATATATTACACAAAATATCATCACTTTTTATAATAAACCCTAATTGGTTGAAGAGGAGTTTCTCTGCGACTTCTCGAGAACTCAAAGGAGTGAATTGAATTATTATCTTGGGTCAAATCAAAATCAATCATATTATTAAGGTTTTGATTGATCCTTTTTGATTTTAGAGTATTATTTAAATATGATTCGATATTAAATTGCATCTTCTTGTTGATCTCTTGTGAAGTCAATAACAGACTCTTGTTAATGTCTTTCAAATCTTCATTGCCAGATAATTCTAAATCCCTCATGAAACTTTCACTTGAATCTCTGTTTCGAATTGGTTATCTAACAACAGGACTCTGTTATTGTGATCTCTGCATTTTATGAATATAAAAGCTATTGGTTTTTTTTGATTTATTATCATTAATTCTAGGAGAGCAGTTAGGTAATTTAAGATGAGTGCGTGGAGTGGATTTCGGTTGAGTATGATTACGGGATGCATAAATTAAATAGATTTATCTCTATTTAGGTTTGCTGAACAAAGTTGAGTTGATCATTTAATTTTAATAAGTCAGGAAAATTATATATATAATGTTGAGTGAATAGATTGTTTAACCTGAACCTAAGTTAGCAGTTGAATTTGAAAATAAATTAGTCTGCCATATTTGCGATGACGAACTTGAACGCCCAAGTCATTGGTATGGTTTTGTTCTAAGATTAGTGATTTTTGTGGAAAATCCACCTGTTCTAATTGCTTAGTTAAAAGAAGAAAAACAAAGGACGAAGCTCTTCACCCTGTATGTGAATACTGTGAACGTATATTCATTGAGCGTATTCTGATTCTAAGTGCCAAAAAGTAAAGGGAGGAGCTCGCCATATCTTTGGAATCTGCGAATGTTGAATTAGCGAATAAAAGATAATAACTATATTCATTTAAGAATTTACTTCATTCCAATCCAGCTGAAGTTACTTCTGAACAGAAGATTTAAAAGCTTGATGAGGAAATCATAGAAGCTACATATCAAAAAAATTCAATAATATTACAACTTCAAGAAGTTGAAACATAGAAAATTGAACTTAAATAATCAAACATTGAAAAAATTCAGAGTATCGATATCAAACAGGTGAAATTGTAAGAGACTACCAACAAAGCTTAAAAGTCAAAAGATGAGTTAGAAGACATTTAAAGATAAATTGATGAATTTTTAGCTAATTTGCCAATGTTGGATGCAGAACAAAAATCAGCTCTTACTTAGTTGGATTTCTCCAATTACGAATAAATCTTTAGAGGTAGTAATCTACCTGAATTAATGAATTAATAAGCAATTAAACAAAGTCAAATTGGGTAGTAGCCAAATAGCAAGAAGAAACCAGAACAGAAGGAGGAATGCAATATCTTTTGAATTATCTCAATTAATTGATTTATAAAATGTTCCACAGTGAAATTTTTATTTAAACTCATTACGACTATTACTTCATTATATAATATTAAGCAAGAGGAATTCTAGTAATGTCTCTTAATTAGCAATCAGGATGTAAGCGATTCAAAACTTCCTCAAAATTTCCAATTTCGTCAGCCAATCTATGAATTATATTGGGTAATCATTTACCCATATTTAACTGCCTCTGTCCCAGTAAATATATTGGCATTATAAATTAAATCCTTAACATCCGCATCTTATTTTTATAATTGTGGTCTATATTTATCGCAATGATCAAAAAATTATTATCTCATAATTCCAAATTAATCCTTTATTATTCCCTCCATATCCTCATCTCTTTTATCGTTTAACCCTGTAATGTTTAGGAAAAGCTTTCTATTTACATATATAGTCTAAAATCAAATTACTTATTTGAAGAAAACTTTCTGGGTTCAAAGCCTAATTTTCTGGTTAGCTTTTCAAGACTCAGATTCAAATACAACACTCCTATTGAACCAACCAAGGATGCTTCATCAACAAATATCTTATTTCCAATTGATAATAAATAGTATCCAGCTGACAACGCAGAATCTTCTGCAAATGTGTAAAGAGGTATTTTATGAGTTTTAGCAAATAATTCTATTTTCTTTTTCATTAATTCTCCCTATACAAGCAAACCTCCAGTCGAATTCACTACAACTGCTAAGGCTTTCATTCTAGTAAGTGGCTTTAAGGATTCCTCAACCAATTTAGTACTATTATGATCAATTCCTGAATTGATTCGCAATATTGGGATTGTAGGTTTAAACCATTTATTAAACATATTTAAATATATTATCAATTCATTTTAATCCATTTAGCCAAGATAAAGAGTAGGGCATCGATCATTATGGGTTTTGACAAATAATCATGGAAGGGAAACCTTCTTAATTGAGCTCGATTTTCTTCATCCATGCATCCAATCAATCCGATAATTCTGGGTTCAGCTTTGAACTCTGCATAGACGTCTTTTATCGAATTAAACAAAGCAAATAGTTCTTCTTCAAATTATTCAATAGCAAGGAATATTAGTTATAATCCTTTACAACAAGGTTAATTTTCATTGTTCTTCAGCTATTAATTATCATTTGTTATCTTTAATAATTGATTATCAATATTCTACTTTTATTAATTACTATTTTACTATTATTACAAATCATTATTTAATAATTTAACAAGAGTGCTCACTATTTGAGATTTCTGAGTTATATACTCATAGGTAATTCCGATATTGGTTAATTAATGCGATAAAGCATATAGATCAAGATCGATACTCTCGCAAATCAATATCTTTGTACACTAACTATTAAAATATAAATTACTCCACAATTGGATTTGTTTTTTTGTTGTTTAATTTTTTCCATTTTTTCAAAGCAATCCAGTAAATCATTGGGTTGCATGGTTCCACTGGTGAAGCAAAGTGAAGAGTAAATGGATGATCTGCCTTATCCTAATCCTCCAAATGTAAGTTATTGGGATGGCTGAGAACTTGATCCTTCATACTTCTTTTAGGTTTCATTAACGTAATCAAAAAAGTACGGTTTTATTTTTAGCATTTGTTCCACTCTATAAGAAATCCCATTCTTAGACTCCATGGATACTTCGTCATCTTGCAAATCAGAGAGACTTTCATCTGATTCATTTGATTGTTCTTGAATTCCCTATTATTTATCCTTATTTATTGGCCCTTAATTTTGGAGTATATTGATATTCAGCTTTTGTCTAGCTTCTTTGAGTTCCACTTTGATATTGAGATCTTCTGCTTGTAAACTTGACATCTAAGATTAATATCTCTTTAAGTCTTCTTTATTTTGATACTATTAATAAAAACTTTACTGATTTGTGAATTCTGACAATCTTTTTTAATTCAAATTTTGATTAAATTATGGATATAAATTTTATATTTTTATGACAAAACTAAATTCCTCCTTATTACCAACACGTTCATAATTATATTCAAATGGAATTTAGGATAGACATTTTGTTAAATAAAATGAAATCAAAATTGATTATGAATACTGTCTAAGATTTCCAAGATCTAGTATCTTTGACTTTAAAGTTTATGATTTAAAGAATCTCACTGTTCTCTCAATTACCTTAAGAATTGAGAAATTAGTTTCATTAGCCTTCACTTTCACAATAAAGTCAATGTGTTCATTCAGCATTTAACTTTTGGAAACACAAAATATAATGGAGCCACGAACAGTCGCTTAGATTGAAGTCACTAATAAATTAATTAAGATTTGTCTTAATCTATTTGGATCCGTTCTAATAAATTAAGGAACATTCTGTTTAATATTAATCGATATTTTTAATCCTCTGAAAATTGCTTAAGATTTTACTACATTAATGATATCAGTCACAAATTCTTATATCTGAACATCCATCTAAACTAAGTCTAACTTATCTTTCTTTTGTAACTAAGCGTAATCAAGAATATCATTAGCAGTATTAATTAATAATTTACAACCGGCAAGTGCTGGACTGATATATTTTTCTTTTATTTCATATGGAGTTGTGTTCTTATATAATATTAAGTGATTGACATACCATTATAATTTCTAACATCGATATTGTACAATTTAAAGGTTACTTGATCTTTTGAGAAATATCATTAATCAAAAAGTCATTGTTTTTCGTTGCATTCAATAATTATGTGATATAAGGATCTTCTGTAATGTCAGAAACGAAAATAGCAATTTAAGGTTTAAGTTTATAGATTAATGGCGATAGAACAACTTGCATATAGCAAGAATCGAATTTGATATATACTTTAAGGGAAAAGTCAATAAGTGATCGATAGTTTGAGTATTTCAGATGATTGTAAGCAATTAGATTATCGAAGAATGCTTTGAAGGATATTTTTTTGGTTAGCAGTTGCAATCGCTTGATTTGGGAAGGTTCACTCTAGATATTATTCTCCAAAATAGGTGGAACTCAAGAATATAAATTTATACAATACTCCAAAGTTTTAGTGAATGTTAGAAACTGTCCAATATCGTTACTCCTATGGAATTTTGGTAATAATAAACAAGATTCTTCAAGAAGCAATCCGAAATCGTACAATTCAGTCTATAGGAATTCAGTGCTCAACTGATCTTCTTTCATTATAATATTGGACAACTAAGGGTTTATCACTTACACACTTTGAGTTAGATTATCCACCAGGTAGATTCCAAGTTCTGCTGAAGAGAGTATGGCTTCATTTATTTGATCCTATTGAACTGATTCTGTTTATTAATCCTCTTATTTTTATTCTTGTGGCAGTTGAGAGATATTCCGATTTTCAGGTATATCTATATATAATTGATGAAGAGTTCTACTCGGATTGGATTATCTCTAAGAATTCAATTGAGTATATATCATTTTATTGCTGGATCCCATTGCTACTAGTTAAGAATTTAAATTAGGTCTAATTTTCTTTTTATTGACCGTAATCATAAAGAATTAAAGGATCACATGAATCACAATTATCTTTATTCCAAATATTGTGTTTATTTTAGAATTGAACTCAAAGTTTCTAAGCAATGTATAAACCAAATTGAAATTTATGGCCATTGTCTAACAAACCTAAGATTCTATTGCAAAAACAAAGAACATCAGAATTAGAAATTTATCCAGTATTCTATGAAATAATTGTTACTCTGTGTAATAATCCAGCTCTTCCCAACAAACTACTACACATATAAATTTTAGCAAGGTCACTAGATTTATCAATCCATTTTTTATTTTCAGTAATCTCAATAGTAGTACTTCGAAGAACACAATCAAAAATATTTGGGTCTATAATGGCAATGTATATTACCAAGATTCTATATATCATTATGAATTTGTCGCCTTAAATTTTTTCATTTACCGCATCTCCTGTTACAATAATAACATCACACATTTAATAGATAGAGACGAAGATCATTAGCAATCTCCACTAATCTTTGTTTCTCAAATGTTCTTAATAAATCGTAAAATATTCTTTACAATTTTATAACATAATTTAATAATCAATTCTCTAATATAATATAATCTCAATCTATCATATATTAGTAAAAAGCAAATAACTTCAAAGTTCTTTTGTTGGAATCAAGTGAAAACCGTAGTTATAGGATATGATTATCTTTAAATTAAGTACCAGAAGATGTTTAGAATTTATAGTGTTACGTTAGTTAAAGTGTTAACGAATTTAGTAGCTATTGGAACGAGAGTATCAGAATCAATATATAAATAATAAAAGTAATTAAAAATTTGGAGAAATGTGGATGTTGGATTGAAATAATGGACCTAAAAAAAAGAATACTGTTTCTATAATTAAATCTATATCAGAATAATTGATTTTAGAGTCTAAGTAAGAAAAAGAGAAATGAAGAGGATATCAAAGGAATCAAGTGGAGTATTCCAAGGTTAATCTACTCTGTAATTAGTGCCTAAGATATCTATTTCAATATCATTCATCAATTATAGCCGAGACAACATTCTACAGATTTGTTTTGAATCTTTTAAATTCATTATTTTAAAATTGTAGCACTAATGAATATTTAATTGTTATAATTACATTTTGGATAAGAAAATTTTGATTTTAATTGATCAATTAAACTTAGGAAAGTTGAATTGAAGCTAAAATCGATTTGGATATAAATTAGTTTGATTTATTTGAAATGAATATTTAATTACAAATTATAAATTTTAAATCATATAAATTTACATAAACTATATTTAACTCATAATTAATGTCTTGATAACAAATAGGTTCAATCAAGTCACAATATTTTGATTAGACTTATATAAACTACAACTAATTAGGATATATCAATGTGGGTGCTTTTGATTTCTAACTAAAATTTTAATAATATTTTTCATTATTTAATTGTATTAAAATTTAAACTCTTAATATATTTATAAATACTCATATTCAGTTGTTTTCATTTTTGTTCTATTTCATCATTCTTAATTAATTAACTGCATCACTAGGCAAAGATTATTACAGCTATTGTAATACCCCCACTCTTTTTGGCAAAGATTCATGCATGTTAGCCTAATTTGTAATTGATTACTGTTGCTTCTTCTGCTATTCCAATTTATTCCTTTGTTCTTCTTTGATCTTTATTTATTATAACTTTTCTATTTGTTGTTTGGACTTAAAATATAAATTTAAATACTCTAATGCAATTATTCCAAACTGATTGGATGGATTAGAAAAATGCATCACTTTATAGGGTTTTAGGATTTTCACAATAAAATATACATAGATCTGAGTATATTGATTCGCATGTAGATAAAAGTTAGGATAAATCTGTTATTTCCAATAACAGTTATTATGATAATTCTTCAAATCTACTAACTTTATCATTAGGATGCTTAGATTAACTCTTTATTGCAACCTAAACAAACTTCTATACTTTCTTTATTTCATTTATATCAACATTCATCTAAGAAACAGGTAATTTACACATAAAGTCAAGAAGATCCATACGATCATTTGAGAAAAATGATCCCTTTCCTTGCTTCTCATAAATTTATTCACACTCTTAAACAATACTCATTAATAATGTTTCTTTTCCATCTGCACTCTTTATATCTGCTGCTTTTGCTATAGCATCTATTTTGAACCCAAAAGCTCCACCTCTAGCAGAGTCTCCGTTTACATAATTACCTATGGCTAATGTGCATTTTATCAATAATTTGAAGGGTTCATCATTCTTCTAAAATTCAAATCCCTTCTTCAATTGTTTTAATTTTCCTCTGCATTCCTTACACATATCTATTCCCAAGAACTCAGCTCTAATAGCCTACATTCTATCTGCATGCGCTGGAACCTAACATAACTCTAAGTAAAAGAGATCAGACAATTGTAAACTCTCTCTATCCAATTCTTCTGGATTTGCATACAAAGATCTTTCTTAATCAGTTGGAACAACATTTAATAAAGATTCTATCACATTTAAATTCAAGACAGATTTATCACACTCTAACAAAGCATTCTTTATTTTTTCATTACTCATTCTCAATTTACCCAATATGAGTTCTATATTCTTTGTTCTCTCCCCACTCAATAAACTGATTTTCTAAACTTCTTTTTTTTTATCACTTGCACCACTACTCTATTAGATCTGTTTGGCAGGTTTAGAAGCAAATTTCTCTTCTAAAGACTTAATATCAAATTTAATTTCGTTCTCATTCATTCCTTAAAATACTGAATTTCCAATTTAATCTGGTTTTAAAATATTCCAACTTAATCCTTTCAATGGTACTGTTGGTTAGCATTTAGGTTTTGTTGGTACAGCAGGCTTTGCATTCGGAGGAGGAGGAGCCTTTCCACCAGGCGGAGGAGGTGGAGGAGGAGGGCCACCAGCTTTAGTTCCAGGGGGAGGAGGTGGCGGTGGCGGAGGTGGTGCTCCTGTTTTACCTCCTGGAGGAGGCGGGGGTGGTGGTGGAGGAGGAGGTGCTGAATTATTAGTAGATTTAGGAACAGAGGGAGGAGGTGGGGGTGGAGGTGGAGGAGGAACTTAAGATTTTGCAGAAGGAGGAGGTGGTGGAGGAGGAGGCGGAGGAGGTGGTGGAGCAGCCTTTTAAGGGGCTGCTTAAACTGTTGTAATATTTTCAGATGGGTTAGGAGGAGGTTCTGAGCCTCCATCTGATGCCTGTATTTTACATAATTAGGGTTGAATATGAGTTGTTTTTAATCTGTTTATTTCACTAGCATACTCTTCTAACTTTGCTTCTAATTCTGCTACTTATTAGGCTTTAGCCATAACCTTCTAAGCTTCTAACAATTAACCTGACATATCTTGGAATTTATTTTTGAGTTAAGAGTATTATTAGCTTTGATCTTGTAACTTTTTGTTTTCATCTATGAGTTGGTTTAGTTTTTCATTGAGGTTTTTTAAATCTCTTTAACTTTCTTAGCTAGTTCTCTGTTTAATTTCTAATTGCAAATATGCCTAAAATATAAAGAGGGATTACAATTTATTATTTATATCCTTCTTCTCTTTCCTTTTTCATTTGATCTCTTTTCTTTTAATCTGCCATAATTTGATCCAATTTTCTTGTCAACAAATCAATCAATCTAGACAGAACAGAAACACCTTAGGATTCCTCATTTAATTTAACAAGTAATTCTTGTATTTCAGGCAATGAATTGGCTTTTTTTATGGCATTCAATATAATTTATTAATTTGTTGTTTCACTTGCTTTATTTTCCCATAATCCTTTCAAAGCACCAACTAAACCCTCCTCACTTCCTTTTTTGGTTATAGTAGATAAAAACAAAGGATTTTACCTTTCTAACATAGTTTTATTTGGATTGAAAGCTGGCTAAATGAATTAATCATAAACATCCAATTACACTTAAAGTTGATTCTTTTGCATCTCAAAATAGTCAGGATCTGTATTAAAAATTTCATCAAAGTATCCATATTTAAAAATCAATGGCTTTTTGGGATCAAAATCAAGTAGATTGTTAAAATAATAGTTATCAACTTAAGAGTAATGTGGAATATATTTTTAGTCATATAAGAATTGCATAGCATATTCATAAGAGCAATGAGATATTTGATATTCTTAATTTTTGAGTTTTAGCTTTACATCATCGTAAATTACCGTTAGACCATATTGCGATATTTATTATTTAATCAATTCACACATTTCATCATCTGAATGAGTTTCTGCTAATGCATTTATAAATGTGCATGCATCTCTTATTAGATAAATATTTTATTAAACTTCCATGATTTTGAATATGGGTTCAGTGGCAAATCTCCATTTGGCTTCATCCTTGAGTTTATTTAGAATTTCAATGATATTCTCAATGCATTTATCTTGATTAACACATATATCTGCTAATATCTATAAAATTAATGCAACATTTAAAGCATTATATGGATTCAAATGTCTAATCAGCCATAATATTTGTTATTATTCCAAGATGATTGAAGGTAGTTTGCCAACAATATTGTGTATAATAATAATAATCAATATTTATTTATCTAAGTCCTGTTCCTGCTTTTAAGTTAAGATGTTAATTATATTAAAGGTATTAATAAGTTCCAAGCACTCATTTGAAGTACAATTAACAATGAATTTTGTAGCTTAGTACAATATCACTAAATCATCGCATTTCTTTAATTTCTCAAAAATGATTAATTTAAGTGCTTGCTCATGTAAAAATTGCAATTAGATGAGGATATCTAAAATTAATGTGCTTAATTGTACCCTAATCCAATTCTCGTAATGCTGGATTTATATGTAAAATTTCTTATAAACGTAAAGGTTTTTGGTATCCCATCTTTGCTTTAGGGTCGAATTTCAACTATATATCCTATTTGTTTACGATTAAAGCTTACATGATCATCATACTTATATTGTAAGGTACAAGGTTGACGCTTTAATAATTTTGATTGCTCTTGACCCATTTTAATTATTTATATATAATTATAAATTAAAATCAAAGGTTTTTAAATCCTAATTTCAGTATTAAGTATCTATGCAATAGTAATTACCATTTTAAATAATGCATTGACAATCTCAAACTAATATTACTTTAGATAATGTAAATAATTCTCAATTTTATTTCTAACAAGAGTATTATACATTATCTTAGTATTGCTAAATTAGTATATCATAATAGCCTGCTATGAAAAAATGATCGAGTCATCCTTTTATTTCAATTTTAAGCTTGTGAAATAATCTAAAGATAAAGAAGAAGGAAGAAATTACTTACCCAAGATTAATAAAAGAAAAAATCAAGAATTTGGATTACAACAAAATGAGAATTAGAATTACTCCTTCTTAATTAATCTTTTATTAAATTAATAGATAATCTATTTAAATTACATAATACATATTAAACTAGTCATAAAACATGTATTAAATGTGTGTAATATTAAATATAATTAAGAATTTATAAAAAATATTTATCAAAGATTATTGCAATAATACATTTTTACATAGATAAAACTAATTAAAATTTCCATTAAGTTTAAGCGATTGAAAAACAAAAATCTAAATTAATTTTATCATAAATTCCCTTATATAGAAAGATCAAAAATAAATGAATTTATCAACTTATAACGCAGAGTCCTGTTAATAAATTCTTAACAATTCTCTAATAATAACGAAAAATTTAAGTAATTTATTTTAGTACTAATTCTGAATTGAATATATTATTTGATAATTACAATATATATATTTCTAATCTTAGAGATTAAATGTAAGTATTTTAGAATTTGATTAAGGTTGATTAACTTTAAAACAGATGACAAAATAATATCAATTTATAATTCAAGAACATGGTTTATAGAGTTTTTCTCCAACTATATGACCGCAATTAGGACACAAATGAACTACATCTTGGCAAGACTCTTTATAACAAGGCAACCAGAACAGTATTGGAAAGGTTAAGATTAAAATAAGGGAACACACTATGGATCCTTTTCCAATTCTTTATTTTGTTAACGTAATGATTGGACGTTTACAAAACTAACATTATATTTCTGTTTATTTTTCTTAATCGTTTGCCCATAAGGGAAGTTATCTATGAATAAAGTTGTAAAATTACTTATTGACTATTACTACATTTTCATAAGCAATATTATTTTGCTTGGCATAGCAAGAAGAGTTCTGGTCCCTAGAAATGTTAAAAAAGACTATACATGCATACAGGTATTCCTTAAATCACGTTCGAATACATCTATTTGTTGTTGTTGATTAATAAAGTAAAAAGCAAACTGCAAGTTGAATATCAAGAGTCTCGTTCTATAAATCAAAAACAGTTTTATGGAATAGGAACATAAATTAATGTGAATTATAAATTTTATAGATATCAAAATATATGGAGAACTTGTTGTAATTTTCTAATTAGTGATGTTTCCAAGTAAATTGATTATGAATTGAAATAATTTGAATGCTTCTCAGTATATAATACAAATTTATGAATTTTCACAAAAATTATGGATGTAGAATCTGAGAAGGACTCTTGAGTGAATATAAAAAAGAATGGCTTATTAATTAAATATATTGATGTGGATTGTATATACAATATATATTTATGTCATTTATTTAAATGAATGAATACAGAATGATATCTAAAAAGTGACGATGAATTCTTGTAAAATAATAATTTAAAAAATGGAGGAGTAATTATACAAAATAGTCATAGTAGGAAATAGTGCTGTTGGAAAGTCTTCATTGCTAATTCGCTTCTGCGATGATTAATTCAGAGATATGTATCTCAGCACAATCGGAGTTGATTTTCGTTTTAAATCGCTTAGGGTTAATGGATAGGGAGTTAAATTGTAGATATGGGATACCGCTGGTTAGGAGAGATTTAGAAATATTACTAACTCATACTATAAAGGAGCTTAAGGAATCGTTGTTGTTTACGATATTACCAATCTTAAGTCTTTTGAAGATATCCGTAAATATTGGATGAACGAACTCAATCATTATGCAGATGAAAATGTATTGTTGATGCTTTTGGGAAACAAGAGCGATTTAGCATCCGATGAATCTAGATAGGTAACCACAGCTATGGCTGAAGAATTGGCCAAAGAATATAATCTAAAATTCTTTGAAGTTAGTGCAAAAACAAGTGATCAAGTATTTATCATAAATATCAACTAGGTGGAAGCTGCATTTCAAGCTTTTACTCAATAAATTCAGGAAACAGGAATTGCTGGAAAAGTAAGAAAACCACAACCCCAACAATATTTACAAACTCCATTGCCTTAAGATGATAAACCAAAAAAATAGGACAGTTGCTGCTGATTTATTTGTTAAATTTTAGGACAACAATATTATATATCTGGAGAATTAAGTTATTAACTTATAAAGTATTATTAATTATAATTAATTTATCACTTAAATGACAAAATTCTAAGTGCTGTTTAAGTAATTAAATTGATTTCTCTAATTGTATAATCAATTATTCCATTTAAATACTAGAATAATTATAAGTATATTTCTATTATGTAATAAATAAAATTATCATCATTACCCAGAATATATATTTTAATCAAATTTTGTAAATAAAAAAGTTATTAGTATTGCGAAAAAGAAGTTTAATCTAAAAAAAATGTATTGTAGTTGTTTTACCAATCAAATCAACGTATTAGTATTTATCATTGCTTTAGGATACCATTCTGATCTATTAGATGTATAGAGCTATTATTAGATAATTATTTATTAAAATTGAATATACCATTCAAATTGATTGATGTAAATTTAAGTTTTATATGATATACATTAATAATTCACTTACTTAAATTAAGTACGGATTCGATTGCATCAATTAAGACATTCTATTAATAAATACAATTATTACATTAATCAAATTATTAGCTAATTGTTTAGAAATTATAGAAATTTTAGAAGGGTCATCTTGTTGTTAATTAAAGGAAACTTCTTTAATTTGCTAGTTTACCTCAAATAGTTCCTATTGTTCAGGTTTTGGATTTGATAAAATAGAGTGTTCATCTAGATTAATCTTTTCAATTAATTTTGAGACAAGAGTTTCTTAATTTGATGGCTATTCTACACTTTATGAGCTTTATTCAAATGAAGATACAATTTATTCTCTCAATTCTTTTTAATTTAATGGTACTTAAACTTATTATTAAAACTCAAATTCTTATTCTAGTTTTTTCATTTAACTCTTATCATCTTTCATAAATTCCTAATATTACACTTCACCTCCATACTAGTTATTTACTTAATCACTTTTTTCATTTTTAATTATTTAATATTGCTTTCCTTCTGGTGACTATTCCAATTCAAAGTTATTGCTATTCTCATTTTCATATGATTCAACCACTTATTCGTGATCAATTCTTGATAATTATAATTGTTTTTATAATAATTCTGTTTCAAAGTGTTATAATTTATTTTATAAGTCGATATTTTCCTAAATGGCTTCAATAGTCTTTTATTTAAGTTAATCCTTTTCTTCTTATAATATGTTTATTGTATATTCAAAAGTGTTTTTATTTTTTTCTAATTCCATCTCTAAATTACTATTATATGTCTATTGTAAAGTTTCATTTAATCGTTTTTATTCTGCTAATTCGTAAATTAATTATTTAATTTATTCTTCTTACTTCTCGATTGATATCAAAGAATTAAGCTTTTCCTCTTACAATGCTAAAAATTCATCTTGCAAATTTTTAAGTTGAAGATTTAAATTTTCATTTAACTCTTTTTCTGATCTTAATTGCAAATCAAACTCCTTTATCATTTATAGAAGCTCTTCATTTTAACTATTTTCTTATTTACTCTCATAAGTTGTGATATCTTACTGCACTTCTACATTGTTAAATTCAAAGACTTTTTATTTATCGAAAGTCTTAGACTTTATTTATTAGTCCTAAATTTTATATTTAGAATCAATCTCATCGAGAGTATCCTCAGTTTGATATTTGAAATTAGACAATTGTTAATGACATAGCCTTTGATCTTCCTGCAAAGTTTAATTGTTTTCAAAGAGTTATTACGAATGTTCCTTTTATAAAACCAAGTTTTCTTCAAGTTGTTTCAGTTGAATTTCTTTTTCATTTAATTAAAGGGAAATTAACTTATATACTTCCTATGTTTCAGCAATTTCTGATTAATAAAATTTAGTTTTTTATTCAAATTCCTCCATAACTTCATCTGCCTTTTATTAAAGCATAAAATTTTATTCTTAAAGAATTGAATTCTTGTTTTCCAAATTCTCTATCTTCATAATTAATGAATGGTCATTTTCCTTTCTCATATAAATATTGAGGGTTTCTTGGAGATTTTGAAGTTCTTTAGTTTATAATTTGTTTTCATTTGCTAAACTTTCTAACTACTTTTATAAATGCTATTTTTCCCTCAATATTTCTTCTATTTACAGAGTTGATATTTCATTTTAATTTGACAAGAGCTCATTTTTTGTTTTATATTCTTTATTTTCTGCTCTATATTGAGCCAATACCTTCTCAAATTCTTTTTAATTTATTCGTTATGATTAAATCACTTCATCTTTCTCTTTAATATCTCTGACATATGATTCGATCTAATCTAACAATTCATCTTTTTGATATCCAAAGATCTACTAATTAGATATACTATTTTAGAGGTTATGATTCTATTGTCTCAATTTTTCACATTCCTATTCTGCCTAACTTAATTATTGAAGTATTGCATTAATTTCAATTTATTATTCTTATGACTTTGAGTTTACCTCTGAGATTGATTGTTATTCAAATTAGTTTTTTTCTTAGATATATTAAGTCAATTCTTATTATTATTTTTCAATTTATTATTTCTATTTTTGAATGATGAGTTTTAGATCTTCATTATCTTACTCTAATTAATCTGAGAGCTATGTTTTCAATTTTTGATTTTCATCCTCTAATTGTGAATTTTACTCAATTAATTAATTGTTCAGATTTTCTAATTGTACTAACTTTTCCTAATCGAGATATTACTCATCATTCTTAGATTCTTCAATTTATATTAACAGATTATTGATTTGTTTATCCTTTGCCAATAATAAATTCTAACAATTTTAGATATCCTATTATTTCTATTATTCAAGCTAATATTTATTATATATAATACTTAGACAGTCTTGTTAACTTATTCTAATAGTCTGCCTGAGATTTACTAGATGTGAAATTTGAGTTCATCTTAATTAGCTTCAAACACTATTATTTTTTCTCTTAATCCCATATTCTCAGTTTCTAGTTCATCGTATTTGGATATCAATTCCTATTATAATTTTATAGGATTTCTTACATTTATCTCTTCATTTATATGTTATGATTTATTTTATAATTCCATAGATTTATAGATATTATCCCTTTCATTTTCAAATCTTAACTCGATCTGCTCTATCTCCTTTTGTTGCTGTTCTATGATTTCTTCATATTTTTTCTTCAAAGAATTCTAATCCTGTGATGCTTGTCTTGTTATTGTAGCTAATTTATATTGGTATTCTTTGAGATTGGCAAAATATTTATCTTTCCATTAAGAGAGCTCACTGTTTAGAGCAAGGATCTACTCTTTATAATCTTTCTCCATAATTTGGACCTGGTGCAATTCAAGAATATATTGTTTAATCTAAGATTGTTGATGTTGTATTTCCTTATCTTTTGCCTTTAATTTTAAGTCCTAAGAGTCAACTCTGAATTATAGATCTTCTATCCTCTTTCTGAAATAGGATGTATCATTATCCTGATAGATTGTAAAACTAGAGTTAGTTTTATTGTTCAATTCATTTGATTTATTATTTGCTTCATATGGTTATCTAACATTTCAAATTGAAATACTTGGTGGATACTCTCTTATTGGATTAGTCTCTATTTTTGATATCATTGGCTTTGAGTTTATTGTCCTTGAAGTCATTATTGAAATCCTAGAAATTGGTTTTCAAATTGTCCTCAAATAACAACTTTCTTTTATCCATAATATAAATTAAAAAAACAAATAAAAATGTATATCAGCGGATATAACAATGGAGCAACGATCCCCTCTGGGTATGTAACACTAAAGAATTGCAGCACAGCGATTGTGGTATGATGAGGTGAAACTATTCAAGTACTTGAGCATTATTAATTGCTTAAGCAAATTTGATTTCAATTGCCCTGTATTTCTAACTGTGCTCTTCATCTTGCTCTATCTTAGCAACTCAATAAATTAACATGAGAACAAAATATTACGATATGTATAATTTGAAAATAAGGGGAGGTTTTTTATCTGACGGTGGTCACAATTGTTCTGGATGCCATTTGGTTCATGGCCAATCTGAAAATCAAGATGAAGAAATATTCAAGTTAAGAAGTCAACGGATCTCTGGAGTTGGAAATGTGGAATTCACAATTCGGACTTCACATTATGGAATTGATTCTTTCCTCCTTGATATGTTTATTCAAAGTAAAAAATCTATTTATGTTAAGATCCCTTTCATTTATCAATGTTGGTAAATGAGCAATTGAATAAAAAGGAATATTAAATATATATATATTAAATATTATTTTTACAATGTTTAGCAAATTCTTCAAATAATAAACAGATTTTGAGAAGGCTCTATTTAATAGTTCCATTTTGAATAACAAACCCTTTCTGAACATTGGCGATCTAAAATAGCTCATGCAAGGATTTCCTTAGGAAAAACAATTGATTTGTCGTACTCCACAACCAATCAAGAAAACCTTTTAGAAATTCTTTTAGTCTCTCCCTGATAAAGTATTATATAGAGTAAAACTTAAAATCTTGGCCACTTGCCATGTTCTTTTGGATGATTTCCTGCATGGCGAATAGTTTTCAGAATCTCTACTCGACTGGGATGGATTTCGTTATAAGTAAACCTAAGCAAAATAGGTTGTAGGGAGAAGAACCAAGACAAAGAGAAGTTTATAATGATGTATTTCGAAATGCTGCAAAGATTGGCCAATGGTCTGCACTTACTAAAAATGGCCAAATCACAAAAGACTTATACTTTGGACAGTAATGTTAAATATTATTTAAGGTTTTATCGAAAATTAATCTAATTATTATAAAGCAATCAATCTATTAACAGTTATTTTTAACTACATGCCAGTATGAGTATATAATTCATCATTAGATAATTAAATCAGAATTGGACAAACATCAAGAAGAAATAATTGGAGAAATTGTATTACTTGTGTGGAATGACGTGATAGCAATCTATCTGTTTTTTGAGAAGTTCTAATTATTTTTATTAATAGGATAATAATGGAGTTCATCCTTGATTTTCAATCAATACAATACCCCATATTCTTTTAGGTTTACAATTTGGTCCCTGATTACATAAGATTAACATAATAAATATAATAATTTTATAAGTTGAACGATCATTTTCAAGAGGAAAAACAGTTTACAGAACCCTAATGGAAGATAGTAGAATAAAAAATGTTAGATGAATTGGAATTATTTAATTAAAAACTAAAAATACAATCTGCTAGAGGTCGATTAGTTAAGAACAAAAGCAAAGCATCATTTAGTACTCAATTATTATCACCATAACATCAATCATCTGGGTCATTTCTATTTGGAAACACAACCTTAGGTTATGTTAAAAGATTGTCAACAGTCGATGATCCCTTTGACAATAGCGAAGAAGTGTCCAAAAAATATAAAATTATGATTAAATGACATAGATTTAAATATATAATAATCTTTATTTTAATCAATATTCTAAGTTATTATCCACATTCTTATATCCTACCTTACATATCAAACAACATTTTATAAATTTAAGGATATGTCTCTCTTTGAAAATGATTGAAAAACAAGTATTAAAAGATTATAATAATTAATAAATGATTTCCTATATTCTAAATTAAAGTACGTCTTTCCAGACTAGTGAAAATAAGTTTGATGAATTCCATAGAGGAACATAAACATATCGTTATAGAAACAGTTAATTAGAAGCCTAAAAAGAAAAGTTATCCACTGAATATGACCCATTGTAAGAAAGAACCATAGGTGGAAATGTAAATATCATGTTTTCTAAGTTCTAGATGAAAACATAATTTAAAAGAAAGAATAATGAATTTGATCCAATCAACTGTGTAAAAAATCTGATAAACTTATCTCTAAATGTACTTGAAGAGGAATTTTAAGTGATTCATTAATAACAGAATCAAAACAATTAATATTCTCATATAAGTTTAGAAATGTAAATGATCGACTAAAGTGATATTGAAGCATTTTAGTTGCCACCAACGGCTCAATAATTTTAATAACCTAACAAGAAAACACATAAAAAGCCAAAGAACAAGAAAAATAAAGTGGATTCACAAAAAAAGCCCCAAAAAAACCAGACCTTCACCTAAAAACAACATCATCAACAACCATAGATTGAATAATAGATTAAGGAGAAATAATGTAATTAAACTTCTCCCTCAAATTCTCATAAGATGAAGTATTAAACAACTTCATAAAAATAATAAATATTTAGTAGTTTGAATCAAATATAGTTAATAGAGCAGAAATCTAAAAAGGATTCGAGTGATTTGGATGCCTAATTTAATCATGTAAAATTAACAAGATTATATAGATTGGAGCCGTAAGTACTACAACAGGTAATTCCTAATCAGAATCAGATGACTGTCAATTGCAATAGGATGAGAACAATCAGAAGGACTCTTGTATCTAAAAACAAAGCAACAAGGAGAAATATAAAAAGAAAAATTAAAATAACGTAGAAATAGTTGGAAACAAACAATATCCATATTCTTCATAGACTACTCCTATTAAACGTAAATAATTAAACCTAAACAAATCTAAAACACAAGAAATCGATGAGTTTGTGAATAACATACAAGTTAAGAGTTTTTAAAATAAAATACGAAAACGAATATGCTTCAATAGATTACATTATATTATTTCCATGAATTCAGACCTTAACATTTATGCTTATGGATCTTTCGAAACGGGACTCGATTTAGAAGTGAGTGATGTCGATATAGGAATCTGGGGGACTTAAACGTTGAGTTATAATCAGATAGTTAACTTTTTATAGTCAATAAATTTACTATTAAAATAGACACCCTTTTTGGTCAATTCAAAGTATGATTATATTCCAATTGTAGACTAATTCAAAGTCACATGCCCATCCTGAAATTAGAACTTAATCCCAAGACTGAGTTTTATAATGAGGATGCTTATATTTAACAGAATTGGCAAAGTTTCCATTTGGATCAATAAGATTCAGGTAGTTTAAGCATTTTAAGTTAGGCAAAATCATTCAAGTGGATTTAACTTGGATTTATTAGTGGAGCAATATATACAACAATCCACATTTGGGATTTGCTTCAACAACAATCATCAAGGATTGGGTGAATAGATTTTATTGGTATAGGGATATAATGCTCATTTTAAAGTATTTGCTCAAATCCAAAAATCTGAATGATGCTCATACAGGTATCACTTATCAAGATGAATTTTGTAGGAGGAATATCTTCATTTTGTTTGTCAATAATGTTAGCTGCCATCTATATGTGCAAGCATTACACTCAAAATGATAAAAAATCTATTCTTCTTGACTTTTTAAAAAAGTATGCAACTTAATTTGATCCCTTAAAAGAGGGCATTTACATAGATGGTTATGGGTACAAAAATTATCTAGTCTAGGTAATAAAACCCATTTATCGCCTTGGATGAATGTCCCCCATATAATCCTCTCACAATATACTCACCAATTAATTACTAAATAATATCTCAAAAAGCTATTAGATTTCCTGAGATTTAGGAAGAGTTTAAAAAGCTATATGAACATCTGATGAAGTCTAATAAAATTCAAGATTACTTTGATATTCCCTAAAAAGTGAATTAATAATTATTTATATGATTATATTTATGACTTATAAAATATATTATAATTTTAATCAGTACTCATCCAAAGCCTTATGGGTTTTCGAAAAGGCAACACTCGTGTTAAGCCCGTCAAATTTGTAAGTATGGCCTTGGAATCCCTACGTGAATTTAGCGTCTCTTGGATAAAACTTTTCAATTAATTCAAACTTCGTTGGGTTTAGTTGTCCATATTACATATTGGATGTTTCGTAAATTGGGGATCCTATAAATTATAATAAAAAATGGAATACCAACATTAATCCCTTGGGCTGGTTTTGTATATTCGCTTTCCTTCACTGGAAATGGTTTGGGAGGCACCTTATTATCGATTTTTCTTCTTTATTTTTCCTCCTCTGTCTCTTTCTTTTATTGTTCTAACCCAAACTGCTGAGCCACTAGTTTATTCTTAATCAGCTTCTCTGCTCTTCTAAAGTCCTTTGCAAAATAGTAATAGTTAATACCTGCATGCTTCTAACAATTTCAGCATAGGTAGGAACAGGAGTTTCACTTAACTTTACTTGTTGTTTCCCATCATGCAATAGCCAACCATTCCCATATTTAGAATTGCAAGTATTGTAATGAGCCGAAGTTGATCTAGGATGTTACATAAAATATAATTAAATATGTAAAAAAAATTTAACTAATTTGGTAATGAGAGTAAGGATAGTACGATGAATCTTTTTAGAGTTCGACCATAATTCTTAACTCATGTGTCTCCTGTGGCTGTTGAAGAGGCTCATAAAAATTTCTTTAGTGGATCAAAGGAACTATTAGATAAAATACCAGATCATGAAAAAGGACCTAGACAGGATTCTAAAGGGAATATTGTCAAGTATACAGTTGTGGGAAGTGTGCAATAGTTTTTGGCTGAAAAATCAAGAAGTTAATAATAATATAGAAAACCTGCGTAGATAAGGGTTACTGCAAATTCTCAAGCAACTCCTTCTACTCTGCAATAAAATGACTAATCAGAAAGAATGGTTTTCAGTTCAAAAGGTATTTGTTCTCATTTATAGTGGCATAGAATAATCTAGTAAGGATATCTAATAAAAAAAAAATAAAGTTAAAACTAAAGAATTTTAGGAAGTAATTTTAAATGATGATCAAGTTTAAGAACATATTCTATAGATCTAATAGAGGATTGAAAGGAATAAAATAGAAGTATTTATGATTAATTATAAAAATTAAGAATGAAAAAAAAACGAGATAATTGTAAAGTAGAATGTCAAAAGGGGAATCCTTGAAAATGAGTCAGTGTGAAAGAGTGATTGAAACATTCGATTAGGTTCAATAAGATTGGGACTTGACAAAAATTAAATTAGAATCAAAAATGCAAAGATTACCAGGTCAATCACTTCTGGATAGAATAGAATAACATAGGATAAAGGAAGAAATGAAACGGTTACTTGATGCTTTGACACCAATAGAAGTGAAACAAGGAAATTAATTTTGGGTATTTTCACTCAATAAAGTAAATAGCGACTAGGATTAAGAAAAAAGGACTCAAATATTAAACCCAAGACTTTTGTAGATTTATTTGAAAAAAATTACTAGGTCTATGGCAATCCTAAATCTCCATAAGTCGAAATTGTTAGGAGGTCTTCCTTAAGTTAACTTGATTTTAAACCTTTTAGCACATTCACTTCTCAATCTGCTCTTAACAAAAAGCTGTCTGAAAATTCTGATCTTATTTTGAAATTAATACCAACCGTCCCTGACGATGTTGGGAATCTCGAAATTGTTGGCAAAAATGTACTTGAATAAGAGATTATTTAATTACGATCTCGATCTCATAAAAATTCGTTTCCTTATGTAAGATTCAGCAATAACTCAAATTATGAAAAATATATAATGAAAGTTCCAGCTAAACCAGAAACATAATAGGATGAAGAAATAATAGAGGAAAATTATGATAGAAGGCGTCTATTGTCTTAGGGGAAACTTTCTGAAATCCAAGGGTATTTCTGAGGTTGTAATAAATAAGTTTATAAATTAAATTTCTCATAAATCAATTAATAATTTTCAAACATTGGTATCTGAGGAATGTTGAAGATACTCAAGTTTTAAGTATTATATCACAATCATCAAATCTTTTGATGTTTTGCAATAGCAATATAATGTAATCAAGAGGACTATTGTTGTGATCCAGAGACTCATAAAGAAAAACTCATAAAAAACCCGTTCGCCTTCCAATGCCGAAAAGATGAAGGATTATACATAACAGTCAATGATGCCTACTACAAATAAATTTGCTTGATATATAATTAGTTATGAAGGTCTTTAATCTCTGAATGTCTTGATGGCTATGCAAAATGCAATTCCCCACAAAGTATAACTAATTATTAGACTACAAAATTACCTGGCAAGCAATAACATCATACCTACGACATCATCACTTTCAAGTAATAATATCCCTCGTAAAATTAGAGTTAATAGGTAATAAATCCCAAAAATTGCATTCGTCACAGCAAATCTAAGAATGCGTCAAAAATGAATACTTTGAAAATATCTTTCTAAATTCAATTTCTTTTTCGATTAATGGGGCTTATTTTTATTTATTAGGATCATTTTCATTTCCTTAATTCAACTACTATTCTTTTGATGCAGCCACTTGTGATCCAGAATAAATTACTTGAGAATATTTTGGTTTAAATTACCTAAGATAATGCAAATAATAATTACCCCAAGGAGACAGTAGATGAATTTTATAAAATAATTGGATCTGTATTTAATTCCATTTCTATTTGAAGTTAGTAATTTAGAATTAATATTATAAAATATAATGATTATATAAACAATGAATAAAAGTTGTCTTTAATAGTAACTCACTTGTTTAGAATCTTACCTTTCATTATATATTACTAATTCAAGTAATATCTGAGGAATCAACAAATTTTTGAGTAAATTTATATATAAAATTATGGGCTAAGTAGATAATGTAGAAATATAATTCAGTAATCTAAAAGCGATCTTTTGTCGAACATATTATAAGAAGGCTTTAAATTCAGTGTAACAAATTTCTTTATAAAATATTTTTACTGTATTATGCTCGATTAATTGTCTTAAATCACACTCAATGAATCTTCTGCGTTTGAAACGTAAAGGTTGCCTCCGAGACTCTAAACTACTGAGAAGAAGGGAAGTGGAAGATTCACTTTTCTCAAATCTGAGTCGGACGATAAATAAACTTAAGCATAAAATAACAGAGACAGGATCAAGTAGCAATTGAGAGGTACACAAATGTTGAAGCATAATAGGAAGGATTCAATTGATAATAAAGAAACCCTTAAATGATGAAAAGGATTTATATGAAGAACTAAAGGAGTTAGGGCGTAAATTGGATGTTGAAATAAATGAATTCGATTCAGAGTACATATGTCCCAATCTAAAAAAATTTGATGAAGATTATGAGATGATGGAAATTTTGGGAGAAGGCTGTCTAGGATTGGTTAAAAGGATTGTACACAAATAATCATAAATTGAGTATGCAGTGAAGATTGTTTAAACATAAGATGATGAAATAATAAGAAATGTAAGTGATTATAATGAATGTAGATGATTCTTGAGTTTAAATCAATGTTTAAGTTGTAACATGAAAATATAGTGAAAGTTCATAAATTATATATAGATTTTAATGATGGCTTTTAATCTGAAAGTAAGGCGCATGTCGTTATGGAATTGATTAAGGGTAAAGAAATGTTTGAGGTGATAAATGAATTAGGACATTATAGTGAGAGTGATGCTAAGGAGTTGTTTAAGCAGTTATTGAGTGCAATAGAATACATGCATCGAAATGGAATTTGTCATAGAGATTTGAAACCCAATAATATTTTGTGCGTTGAAAGTATTTATATTAATTCAATAGATAAAAATTAGATCAAAGTTACTGACTTTAATGTAAGTAAATTTAGTGATGCTTATAAAGAATTTGGAGATCTCAAAGATAGAGAGAAAATAGAAATGTGGACATACACTGGAACTGTAGCATTTTCAGCTCCAGAAATATTCTCAGGAGAAGGTTACAAGTAATTTTCAATTCTATACTTAAGCTAAATGGTTGACATGTGGAGTGCAGGTTGTATTTTATATTCCATGCTTTCAGGATAATTGCCTTTCCTTTCTGATTAGTAAATTCTTGTGTTTCTATTATAGTTTGAATGATTTGATCGAGAAAATTAAAGAAGCTGCAATAGAATTTCCGAATGATTTATTTGAACAAGTCTCAGAAGAAGCCAAAGATCTAATAAGCTAGTTGTTGCAAAAAGATTGGACATTCAGACCTCATCCTGATGCTGCTTTAAAGCACTTATGGTTTTAAATTGTTGATGATGATTAAGTTCGTAAAAAATCACTAAGAAAATTGGCCATCAGAAAAAATATGCCTCGATTGTCATCGAAATATTCTAAAAACAGTCATAAACAACGGAATATACTCTTGGGATCTTCATAAACTATCACAATCAAGAATAATCGTTCTGTTGATTCAAAGTGTGATCTTTAACAAGCAGATTCATCAAATAGTTTTCTGAAAATTCCAACTAAAAAAAGCATTTTCTTTTCCACTAATCCAGGTGAAAATAAAGGAGTTAATTAAAATTCATCTCATAATTAAGAGGAATCTCCTGATCAACCAAACTCATCGAATTTAAGTGATGACATAGGCGAATCTGATTAATGCCCACTTCATCGATTTGTAAATTTTCAAAAGTAATATAATGTTGATGATGAAGTCTAAGAATAAATAAAATGATTACAATTATAATAGATAAATTTGTTTCAATTTAAATTTTGGTCTTTTACACTAACATGATTTCTAGAAAATCTTGGATTCCATGAATTTTATATTGTAAAGTTTACCAATTTCAGATTTTAATTTTTAAATAATACATAATATAGAAATTTGGTTGAAAATAGAAAAAGAATTTAAAAGTATTTTTGGAACCTGCTACTTTGATGTTCCTTGAGTAATTGTTAAATTATATAAAAATGACTGAGTAATATGAAACACAATATCAAAGCAAACCTTTTAAAAATATATTTTAATTCTTTTCTTTTCTCATTTTTTCATTCAAGTTGATATTTTTCTTTGGATGCCTGTTGCCAAATTTAGGAGAATGGGATAACTTCTAGTATTTAAAAACATTCAGTTCTAAAAGATTTCGATTTTCATATTTGCCTTCAGATTTTGTTATAAATTATACAGTGTAAAATCTTTCCCTTTCATTCAATTCTGCATCCACTTTCCTTTATTTAATTCTTTAGGGTCTCCTAATTTAATTCACTTCAATCGATTTATTCCTTAGAATATTATGATCTATTGAAAATTCCACATTTAAAACAGAAGGTCTTTGTTGAGTAAAATTTCTTCGCGTATTTTGAGCAGTACTCAATATATTTTCATGTTTTTCTTTTTTCAATGATAATCTGTGATATCTAAACAAATTTTAGTATTTATTTTTTGTTGGCATTTTAGCCTCACTTTCTTTTTAATATTCAAACTAATTTGTTTGATTTATTACTTTTGTACCTTCAATTAAAAAGGATCCATATATAATTGAGTGTTGGCAGTTATGAGACATTCTCTCCTTCTTTTAAGCTATTATTGTTCTAAAACCTTTTAAATGTGTTTTAGTTTCTTGCATTAATTAATTACATTTTATCTTTATAAAGCTGATGAAGATTTTTATGAGATTAATTCAATTACATTACAATAGAATCTTTAAAAAATTTGTTTTAATTCTGATATAAATAAATTTGATTAGTTTTTTAATAATATGTTATCTTATCATTATTGACTTTTTAAATAAAAATAGATCCCAGTTCCAATTAAGCCAGATAATGCTATTAGTGCAATTCCATACTTTGGATGATAGAAAAGCCATGCAAATGCAATTGTTAGAATAGAAAATGGAATAGAAATTAAGAAACTTACCAAAAAAAAAGCAAATCCTGTAATTGCAGCTAAAAAGTCACCAATCAAAGGAACCAAAGATACAACCCATGTTACAGGATAGAATATTAAGTAGAAACCAAATCCCTAAAAATAATATTGCTATTTACCATTAAGATGTATCCAGTGACTCTTTAACAGAGAGTTAGACAAGCATATTCTTCAGCCAATTTCTTAAAGACTTATTATTATGTTAGGACAACTTAATAGAGTAAATTCAATTCTGATAAAGGTTATTCTATGGCTTTGCAAAGTTGACAACAACATAAGCAACAGCAACAACAGCACGATAATATTCCCAAAGGATTAGAATTTTCAAGATTTTCGCCATCCTAATTTAATGTTTAATCATATTTATCATGAATAATATAAGGAGTGAAAGTGTTGTTTTATTATTATGACACTACAGTTGTTGGACCTATTCTTGCAGTTCTAAAAGATACTCTAAGATCATTGTTGAGAAGTCTACCTTTTTCTTATTAAAAATACATTTCCTTTCCTTAAGCATCACTAATATTATTGTATTAACAATTACAAATGTTAAAATATTCTTTAATTAGCAAAATATTTAGCAACGTTTTAGGCATGCTCAGAAGTTAAATTAATAATTTCATTTGCATCTGTTTGTTCAGCCAAAGATTTTGTTATTAAGTAGGCTCCAACATAGACATTTTCATTAATTTTATCTTCAGCTTATACAATCCATTTCGATTAATCATTGAAGTACCCATCTCCCACATCTGCATGGAAAGTTGAACTCCAAATTTATTCGTAATAATAAATGGTTCGATTATTTTCTTATCTTGATCTCCTAACCCATTGAAACATTTCAACACTTCTGATTAATTTCACGCAATCTTTTAATTAGAGCCCAAAGATCTCATCAACTATTAGTTAATTGGTATGACTATTGCCTAAGGATAATTAACATATTTCACTACCATTTGTGTGAATTAATTTATTATTGGTGTTTGGATTGATTTCAGCTGAATCAACTGATGTGCATTCCTTATAAGCCTGGTTTATTCTATACTCCGTTATCGCCTATCTTGAGGTTGTTATGTTATAAAATGTTACCTTCTTTCATTGTACCAAAGCATACAAAAGGCACCAATAATAAACAATCCCCCAAAAGTAATTGCCGTAAAGGGACTGCCACTACTATGACTGATCGAAGTCAAATGCTTGTTATTGATTGCTTTAATAAATTAATTTCATTACTATCGATATGACCCCTCAAATGTTGGATTCCATTTGAAGAGCAAATTTACAATGTAAATATGAGTAGCATAAATACAAATTTGTTCTAAGAAGCAAACTTTATCATCTTTTATGATTGAATTTATGATCAATAATAAAATTATTTAACAACAACAAACCAATAAATAAGTCAAATATATATCCTAATAATAAAGCATAAATTTATATTCAATAATTTGAATTATATATTTGAACTTACCAAGCTCATAGAAAGATCTACATATTATTATATGATATAGATTAGCAATTAAATATTAATAGTTCACTGATTTATAATTTTGAATTATAAAGGAAGTAAAGACAAAGATTACTCTAATTCAATGTTCTATATAATGAATAGCTAGAAATGATTGAGCATTTAGGAATGGAAAACTAAATTAATGATTCGAAATAGTGCAGAATTTTACACTTAATTTGATAAAACATAAAATATAAAAATTTGAATATTAGAAATTAATTTAACAGACAAGAATGTACCCTGAATATTTTATTGGGTAGCAAAAGCAGACCTAAACAATAAATAAAATAACATCATCTTACAATCCAGTTGTCCAGGATGTTCCCAGACAAAGATTACCCAATGAAAATCCAAAAGATTATATGTTATCGGCATACACATCACTAATTCATGTCATTGACATAACTTCAACATCATCCATTTACAGAGTTGATCCATTCGCAAAATATCTATGTTGTTGGACCAACATTATAAATTAAGCAGAAATAAGTGCTATTTAAGAGAGAACAAAATGGAAACATCCTAATTTAGTTTGTTTTTTGTTCTATTAGGATGCAAGTGATAAGTATGCTCAAACAAAAGAATTCAGAATATATTATGAATATCTCCCCTTGGATGTGAAATAATTAATAGAAAAGAGATCTCAATCTAATGAGTATGTTCCAGAGGAGGAGATTTGGAAGATGATCTCAGGTTTATCAGATGCGTTGTTATTCTTATAAAAAAAAGGAATATCCCATTCTGCTTTGACCCTCGAGGCAATATATTTTGATGAGGAATACTTATTATATAGAGTTTAAGATGTCAGTCCATTTCGAGCAAAAGCTCCACATCTCTTCAGCAATGAATTCCAACCTCCAGAGAATGGATAAAAATCAAATAAGTTTAAACATGATGTCTTTGGTGTTGGGTATTAATATTGTTATTAATTATATAGTATGATAATCTTGTCGTTGGCATTATTAACAGATTGCAAAGACATTTATAGCTAAGGAGTCTTACAGTTTGATCGATTAGAGGACAATCTATAGAAGTTAGGAAAATTGTATCCAGGAAGGGTGGAGAATGTGTTGAGAGCGATGGTGGATTTGGATAATGAAAGAAGGCCTGATTGGATTGAGTTTTAATAGATCCTTCAATAACACAAGGAGAAATACGTTGGATTGTCAGAATAATAGTCCAACATCGTTTAATAAATAGATAAGTAGAAGTGTAAGGGAAATACAGATTTAAACGTAAACAATCAGGAGAATGTGGAAATGAAGATGAATAGTTAAAAAGGAGATGGTTTAGATTAAAAATTAATAAATTTGAACAAAAGAATATAAGAAACTCTATCAAAAAGTCTTAGTAAAAATTTACGATGAATTATTTTTTTATTAAAATACTAGTTATCAAACCTAACCCATTGCTATCCCATATCCAAATTTATAGCTATCCTTATGATAATCTGCAATTGCGCACAATTTCAATTAATAAGCAAATCCCTGAAGTGTTAGAGCAGAACTGAATTTCAGATTTGAATTCACTGTCACTATAACTTCTGAAAGCGCAAATCTCTGTCTATAACCCTAACATCATGACTATATTCTATTACAAGTATAGCTCTTGATTCTCCAGTTTAATTCGAGTATTCTAATTCTGACATAAAATAAGCTTTATCCAATAACTATTTTTCGATATGAATTTGTTACTCTGTGATTGTAAGCCAAAATCAATTAATCCGAGGCTCCAACATATTGAGTATAAAAATTCTATTTCTTGTTGATACCAATCTTCATGGCATAACTCATTAATGAGAGATTTCTTTCAGTCTTGAAATTATTTTGCAATTGAATACCAGAGTCATCATTTCATATCCTAATACGAGTCTGTTTCCTATGGTTTGCATCATATTGAAACTATAGAGTCCTGTGCCAATCTTAATTGAATGAACGTAATCTTCGCCAGTTATATCGCAATCTAAATGCATTTAAGCATTCAAAGGATCAGAATTTAAATAAAATGCACAAAATCTTTAGGTTTTGATAGACATAAATATATACCTGAAGTTGAACATTTCGTTTAGCCTCTTGATAATGGCAGCCTCCAATTTGCCAGTTGAATCCCATCTTCCTGTCATGACATATGTCGGGTGATCGAAAGGTGTTTTAGGAGAGCCTCCCAAATATTAAGCAGCCAAAGTATAACTGGGAACAGGGGGTTGTTTCATAGGATTAGGGTTTGGAGCTTTGCCTTTGTTCTAATGATTTAGTTTGTTATGATACTGATGGTGGTATCAACCAAGAATGGGCCAAATGAAAATTATTTGACAATCCTCCTGCAACTTCAAATTTAAAGCCTTTGATGTGTTCTACTTTCTTAGTAACAGCTCTAACGTTGTTCAATAAGCCATCAAACAGAGGTGGTCTTCTTGGGTAACGATTTCTAAATTAAAGTGGCAATCCTGTATCGTCATCTTCATTTATTTTGAGATGGGGATCTTATTATGCGAATGCTGGATTATCCATGTCGACTTATTCCTTATTGATGGTTGCCATTATTAATTTTTAATAAATTTATTATGAATTAAGATGATCACAATTCCAATGAACACAAGGTTGAAAAGTAACTCCACTATTATGATTAAGAATGGCCTCAACAACCACCATCCTTATCTCCCAGATTCACTCCTCAACAGTGTTATCTGTTCCCTCCTCAAAATGTGTCGAACTTCAATCTTCATGCTGAGCCTGAATTTCAAGATAAGAACAAACCCAAATACCCATTTCGAAAATTGTCTGCAGGAGATGCTCCAGATGAGGAGGATCAATTTCGACAGCCCTACAATCACTACTATTAATAGGCACCCCCTCAAATGAAATATCCTCAAAATAACCCTTATATGCAGATGAAATATCCCGTGCCATATCCACCTCCATGGTATAGACACCCCTATCCGCCATTCTATTATCCCCCCTTTGATTCGTCGTAATACTAAAACACTCTATCCAAAGAACTTCAGTCCAAAGTTAACCAGCTTGTGCAATTTCAAAAGGTCTCTCCCTTTCAATGCAATTGCAAGAAAAGCAAATGCCTCAAATTATACTGCGAATGCTTCGCCAACAATTGGGTTGTCACTCTTTTTCATATTCATAGGTCTGTTCACAGAGCTGCAATTGCACCGAATGCAAAAATAGAATCGACAATCCCAATGAAAGATCCAAAGCCATCGAAGAAGCCTTGCTCAGAAATCCAGAAGCCTTCTCTACGATCCTCACCAACAATGGCTAACAAGCACAAATCATCCCAGGTATCTAATCACATTACTACAAGAACCCAAATCCCAGAAAGAATAAAGCAAGGAAACCAAGAAAGGCTGCAATTGCAAGAAATCAGAATGCAAAAAGAAATATTGTGAATGCTATAGTATTAATTAAAAATGTACTGATTTATGCAAATGCGAAAACTGTTTAAACAAAGAGGAACCACTAGACAAACTACCTAATCCAAAACCAGATACTCATCCTCCAGCTCAGTAATAGTTACAAAAACAGGAAGTTGTCTAAAAAAAAGATTAGAAGTCTAAAAAAATCAAAAAGGAAGAAGTTTAAATTAACAGCAATACTAAAAATCAAAAAAAGAAAAAAAAGAATTGATATTCATTTTTATGTGTATATTATATATCATTGTAAATAATCAAATAGATTCCTCCATATCAAATTGGCTATATTTCTTGGAAACATCTACTTACGATTCATTTATTCTGTTGAATTTGCTTTTTAAATATTTCACCACTCTCCTCACCTGCTTAACAATCGAACCTAACAACAATCCCATTACCAACAATACCTTTTTTATAGTATTCATCGTTTTCTGGAATTGGCTATTGTGCTTAGCTCTAATGAAGTATTTTAAGACTAATAATCAATTCCCCGATCCTTTATATAACCTTCCTTGTATACAAATAACGACAGATCAATGCCAAAAATATTAACAGAATTATAAACTTCGCATTCTCAATCCTATAAACTTCCAAGAAAAGCATATATACATACATCATTATTTTTTCCTGTCGAATTTGATTCCTTTTCATTGTTTTATCCCAATGTTTGACTACATAGAATATTTAACTTACATAAGAAGTAAGGAGATCAATATAACCTAATTCATCTGTTTCATATTTATTAATAAATATATTAACAATAAAGCTTAGCATTTATATCTATTACCTCATTAATATAAAAATAATCAATTTTAATTTTTAACGACTTCAACTAAAAAAATATATATCAATTTGAGACTCTTCATATCTTTATATTGAACTTTGAACAATCCTCAAATTTAAAAATGTCACATCATCATTTTAATTTGTTTATATTTAGATTATTAAATAACATTAAATTTAATGAATAATTTATAATTGACTCCTGAAGAAGATCAATACTTTAGATAACTTTGGAGCACCTTTGATCCTCAAGTAAATGAAAGAATTAATTCATTAGTGTATCGGAAGTACTAATGCCAAAGAGACTGTGTTATTTTTCAAAAAAAGTCAATTGCCTGCTGATAAATTAAAAGCAATTTGGCTCATGGCTGTAAGAAACGAAGAAAATAAACTCTACACTTAAGAATTTTTTACGATCTTGAAATTGATAGCGTATTGTTAAAATGGATTTGAATTACATCCTTAATTACTTATTGAAAATAAACAAGTTCGCTTGCCTGTGTTTGATGGATATCCACTACCTTAATAGGTAAATTCCACTCCTATGCTTGGTGCTTATCAATAATCTATTCCCCAGCCCTCTCAAATACCCATATCTCAAATGTATTAGACTGCTCCCGTTCTAAATTAGTCGTAATACAAACCACCCTTAGTACAAATGGCTCAATTAGAAATTTCTAATCAATTTGAAATTAGTAATGAACTTTATGAGAAATACAGTTTGCATTACTAACAATAGGATAAAAAGCAATAAGGATATATTGAAGGCGAAAGTGCTAAAGCTATGTTCAGTAAATCTGAATTATCAAAAGATATATTGACAGAACTATGGGCACTTGTTGATACCAATCATAAAGGCTTCTTATTTAAAAATGAATATATCGTTGCCATTCACCTAATTTCTTGTTGTAGGAAAAATATCCCGCTGCCATTATAATTGCCAGACTCTCTTCAAAGATTAATTTCTTAAAGCCAACCTCAATAACCTATCATTGCTAAAGAATATTAAGGATAATATGATGTTCCTTAAATCTCTCAATCAAAGGATAATAGAGTTTAATCAGGCTAATAGGGGTAGTATTAATAGAACAATGAACTTCAGGCATTAACTATGCAATAATAATAACTTCAAAATCAATTAAGCCAATTAGTTATGCAATTTTCATAGAATTCTAACAATTAAGCATAAAAATAGTTGATCTAATAGAAAGAAAATGATATCGAATTTCTAATTTAATAAATGAATAAATTATAGTTAATTTTCAACAACTTGAAAACATAAGAATAGGAACTTTAAACAGAAATTTAGAAATGTCTAGCAAAGCCATAAACTTAAAAACCTGCAGCTTAATAGCCACAATAACAGATTAATTATTCATAATCAACTTATTTGCCTCCTTAATAAAATTATCCTTAACAATAATAATAATAATAGTAATATCATGAGATTTCGAATATGAATTACTCTCCAAATTTAAATATTAGTAACAATAACAACTATCCCTCTTTATCTATAGATAACACAATTTACTAGTTAAAAGATGGATATGAAAACTATCAAAATTAGAATTAGAATAATGCAAGCTAAGATATACCATGGTGAAATAATATATTATCAAAAATATTCAAAATGTTATCATAACCAGTATCTTTGTTTTTTTTTATTCTGAAATAAATTCTTTTGACATTAATTATTCAATCAACTTTTTGCAGTTACTTACTTTTTCTTGTATGTCTCTAAATTTAGGCTCATTTATAATATTCAAGATTTATTTTTATTATATTCTGTGATAATATAGACTTAATCTTCAATCGTAGAGTGGCTATTGGAAAAGGCTTATAGAAATGTTGGATGTTATTTAATTTTTTAAGTTTATTTATTTTAAATTTAAATTCAAATGGAACACTAAAATTATTGCACTACAGAAAATGGAGTTAGAGTCTGTAATGTTAGTTCTACTTTACCTAATTGTGCAGCTGAAAACATTCTTATCTAAGAAAGAAAAGTAAGATATCAAATTGAAATTTTAGGCATTGTGGATGTCATTAGCAGGATTGCCTTAATACATTACCTTGGATTTATCTCAAGTGTAAGAAAGACCAAAATTTATCAAATGTTTCGGGTTTGATTGTTGGCATGATTATTAAAGCAATCCATCAGTCATTGAATTGATGGTATCATTAAATGGAGAAAATTTTATCACTTGGACTACTTTATATCCTGAATTGAAACAAGGAATATAGTTGTTTTAAATAGATCCCTTAGGAACTAGATACCAATTTATTAAGATCATTATAAAGGAGACTTTTGGTGCTTCTAAAACTTATTTAAATTAAGTTTATTTGCTTGAAGAGTATGCGATGATTAGTACAGAGAGTGTTACTGAATCTTAGCAATAGACTGAAAATAATAATAGTTAATATAAGCAACAATTTGAAAAAGAAGAACTTGAACATCATGAACGATCAGATAGAATGGATAGATTCGAAAGAATGGAAAGATTGGACAGAAATGATAGGAACGATAGGAATGAAAGAAATGATAGGAATGAAAGAAATGAGAGATAGGATATGAAGATAAATGAATATCATGATTTAGCATAAAAAATTCATAGTATGGGAAGAGAAGTTGCCAGTTTGAAATAGAGTCACCAATAAGGAAAATCAAGTCAATCATAAACCAAATAAGGATTCCATAAAAGTAATATTACAGAAGAAGTGCCAGATTCCTTTTAAAGATTGACTTCAACTGAGAGAATGGTTCTAGACATTCAGAGTAAGAATTTGAGTGAGATTAATGTATTAAAAAAGGAGGTTTAGGATTGGAAGGATAAATGTGAATAATTGGAGAGTTAAGTGTAAAGGTTATTTAAAATGGTTACTCATATTAAGGAGAAACAATAAGAGCAAGAAGATTCTATGCATAAATATATTTAACAGAACTAAAGTGAAGTTAGTTTTGATGCCAATAAGAAATAAGTTTATAATAATGGTTAAGTTACCTCACAATAAACCTAATAATCTTAATAAATGACGACTACTCAATAGCCTCAACAATAATAACATTAAATGATTAAGTTTGAAGAGGTAATTGATAAGAAAATAACTGAATTATCTGGGAACTTCTAAACTTTATTTTAATAATAAGAATCAAAGTTCAAGAATCAGTAAAAGGAGTTAGTCAAAAGCTTTAAGGATTTTATTCAATAGGAATAACAACAAGACAAGTATAGAGATTATGAAAAAAAGAAACCAGTTTCAAGGGGAAGATAAAAAGAGAAATCAGCTTCAAAATCATCATCTGTCAAATCATCGCATAATTCTTCAAGTAGTTCAATAATAAACTTCATAAAATCAAAGAAGGGTTAATCAAAGTCAAGACAACATTCCAAATCACATTTAAAATCATAACCTAGATCTAGATCTCCTGCAGATTCTAAAGAAAACGATAGATATGAGAATAATAGACTGTCTCCGAAACAAAGAAAAGTGGCTACTTTATTGGGTAAATTGCAAGAGAAATTATAAAAAAGAGTAACAATATGTTATTGATTAATTAGGCTAAGAAAATAGAATAGTTAAACTTATCGTAGAGGAAAACAAAGAAGAGAAACAGCATACAGAATTCAATGGATTAGTCTAATTCATCTGATTATTGATATAATTAATTTATGCTTAATAAATAATTCAAAGTCCTAATTCCTTAAAGTTTGGATTTGGTCTAGAATATTCATTGGTTAAGAAGTATCTATGTTTAAATTGAAAGCTATTTACTCTGGGAAATACTTTTTAGCCAATCCATAAGATGCATTCATTCTTACACACAACTAAAAGTAATTTCTGGCATCTAGACATTCTGGTACATAGGAATCCTCAAACAGACCAAATTGATTCTTGCAATGCTGTGCCATTCTATCATAAAGATGACAAGCCAACAATTGATTTGCCTTTAATATTCAATTAGTATTGAGATTACTTTGTATTCAACAAACTCAAATTTCAGATTGTCCAATAACTTAACGTGATTCTTGGTCAAAGTTTAAAGATTGATCATGTTTCTAAACATGAAATCTACAGGATATCAGTGAGTATACCTTCCTCCTCCCAAACTTCATTATAAATTGGCATTAATATTATATAGTTAAATACTTAATAATAGTAGATAAAAATGAATGAGTGATATAGCCTTTTAAATTAATACTTTAGATAATTTATTCAAACTTATGGAGCTCCTCCATAGACAACTCCTTAATTCTGTAGCGGTCCTTATTAAGCATTTTAATTCTATAAATTTGCCCTTGTGACATTCAAATCGATCATCATGTATCTGATTTGTCTAGCATATCTAATAAACATTCCGTAACAAACGACGACAATGATTAGGGATATTATAAAAAATATTAGCCTTAATGATTAGTATTATTTGGTACCCAACACTCCTCCTATTGTCCTTTTCACCATCATCGTCATTATCATCGTTATCTTCATTATCACTGTAGGTGGCAAATATGATGATGGACCCTATTATCTCAAAGATTAATGCTATGACCAAGAGGACTTAATAATGCAATAAGAGTCTTTCCACATATCTACTAATTGAATATATTCCACAGATGGCTCCTGTGACAAAAAAGAAATCGCTTCAATATATGAATATGATTACGAAATAATGTACATGACTCCAGCTGCTGCTTCTGCTCCTCCTTATTGAAATGTTGCCACACATCTGATAATTAAAAAGATCATGGCCAAAACACCAATACAGCAATTGCATCCATAAAAACTAGTGTTATGATATTGCTTACTATCTTGTGTATTATCTTAAGGCCATTTCCTTGACCACAATAGGATTAATTGGTTAAACTGCGACAACAAGGGCAGTCTAAGGAAGTACAACCATTTGTTATTAATATCCATTTCCATACTACACTCTCTAGGGGTATTGGGCATATTAAGCGTAGGGTTATTGAGGATATTGTATTTGAGATTAGGGGTTATATTGGTACCTATTGTAATTTAAAGAATATACTATTGTTGAACTGGTTGTCCAATTACAGGTTGCCCCTGTACAGGTTGATATTGATATCCACCTTACGGAGGTTATTGATATTGTGCTTTGTCATTTAGATATTCTGCATTGATATTTCCTTGTTAGTATTACATTTGTAGTTATTTAAATTATATACATTTATCTAATGTAAAATAAAGTTGTCTAATGAAAATTATTATTTCTATTATTTCCCGAAGCATCTAACATTAAATAGAATTTCGAACAGAATGATTAAATAATCTATTATTATTTATTACTGATTCCTAATTATCTCTATATTAATTGATATTGGTTTGCAATTATTTAAAAATATTTTTGAAAATAATTATTTATATGTGTGATAAAAGGAAAAGGTTTAACTCAGCTTTGACATTCGAAGAATTTGTCGATTATCATAACCAATTACCAAACACTCCTCAGCTTAAGTAAGATTCATCTTTGAAATTTAGACCAATTAAGCAGTCCGCTTTCTTTATACCTGAATTGGATTTAGCCAATGATGTCTCATAAACTTAGTTGAATATTCCTTTAGAAATAATTTTGGAAGAAGAACTGACAAGTCCTAAAGAAATAGTAAAAGCAAAAAAGTCGATAAGAAAAAGATAAAGGTTTTTCAGTGAAAATTCTCAATATACAGTAATTAATATTTTGGAGAGAAGACTACAGAAAAAGAAATCTTTCATCCCCACTCTCTTTGAATTATGATTCCCCTCTCTCAACAAATCATGATTTGATATTTGCGTTTACATTAATAATAATATAGAGTTAAATTTCATTTCTATCTCTTCTAAAAAATGTCGTGATTCATTTTGGATGGATTAAAGGCATTTTTTAATAAACCCATTCTGTCTGAGAGACTTTCCAATAAGAACTCATCCTCAAAAACCCCTATGCTTTCTCGTTTCGGTTGTTGACCAGGAGATTAAGTAAAAATGTCTGATTTCTCCAAAATAGTTGGAAGAGTGAAGTCCTTGAAACTTTTCTACTTGAATAGTTTCTCCTGCACTTTCATCTTTATGAACCATTCGTGATTCATGGCCAGATTTGGTTTGATTCTCTGTTTAGGTTCAACTTAAAGCATTTACTTTAATAAATCAATAGCGTAGGAGGTGTTTCTGACTTGGGGAAATTCAATTTAGCCTGATTTATTGTCGTTCTAAGCCTTATAATAATCAATACATGTTCTTACGATTCACTAAACGGCATCACTTGATATATGAAGTAATAAAAAATAATTCCAACTGCATATATATCAATACTCTGATCGTAAGGCTTCCCATTCAATAACTCAGGCGATTAGTAACTAAGAATCTAAATTTCAATTAAATTTACCCCTCGCTTCCTTTGATTTGCTTCTCTTAACTATCAATGAATTCGGCTTAATTAAAATTGGCCAAACAAATATCCATTAAGTTATCAGATTTCACATAGATGTTCTCCAATCTTATGTCTCCATGAATAATACCCAAAGAGTGAATGCATGATATTATTTCTAATAATTTATATATGATCCTTGCATATTATGGTTCTTAACTATTTAATAAGTCTTCAAACCTATAAATCATTTCAGTTCCGAAGTAGTTCTCGAAAACCAAAAATATTGTATATTGATCTTCGTAAACCTCCACCAAATTGATGATGTTTTTGTGTTTGATTCTTCTTAAGATGTTAATTTCCTTCTGTATCAATTTCGGATCGAATTTATTATTTTTTTGTATTACCTTCACTGTGTAATTAGTATTATTTGCAAAACACCTTGCCTAATATATTTGAGTCTGCGGATCTTGATACCCCAATCTCTTACTCAATTTATAGTCTTTACTAAAGTTTAACTGAATGGTATATCTTCTCAACATATTGAACCAATTGTCCAAATCAGCGCTCCTGTTAAAAAAGATTTCTGTGTTATTTTTCCCTTGTATTAACTTTATTGTTTGAATATTTCTTCTGATTATTGTTTAACTCAAATTACAAAACAATTAGTAAATTTGCAATCTTAATAAATTCTAACAATCTACCTATCAGCATATAATGAAACCTATTCCTCATGTAGTTGTTGATCTTCACTTCTAATCCAAATAATTCCAGAATAAATGAGATGCTGACTCAAATGCGTCAATTGTAATTTTTCCAAAGGTTACCATAGAATTGGATTGAGATGAGCTGTTTATTATTTTTTTTATTGTAACATTGCCTATCTAACTAGTTTTTTTAATTTTTGTGAGAGTATTAATAATTAAAAATAAGTTTTCAATAAATCAATACATCATAAAGTACTACTCAATGTACAGACGAGTCAAATATGGCACACACTTCATCGCTCTTGCCTCTGAAATAACAAGGACAATATTCAATATAAATTGTGCTCTTCTATATTTAAATTAATTAATTCTGAATTGATCTAACCAACTTCAATGCTGTCAAACTATCCCATTTTACTTAATAAATCTTAGAACTGAGTTGTACTTTCCCTTTGCCTGATGGGTAGCAAAGACCTACCTATATAAGCTCTAAAATATGGTCTTTTGTCTCCGGATAAATGCTGGCTTTTTTCGAAAATGTCTGTTTTATTTTATACTTCATAATTAAGAAATATTAATAGTTTCTTTTTTAATAATGTAGATGACAGAAATATCTATATTTGGATATTTATAGGTGGATAACCATATTAGAAAGGGATTGAGTTCTTACTCCTTTTAACTGATATTGTTATTAAAAATAATATAATTTTTGATAAATTTTTAGAAATTGTTTTTTTCCAAGAGAATGCAATCTATGTTGTTTAACTGTAAGATTAATAATGTTGGCATTCGGAATGAATTACAATGTATTTGCAAAATATTTTGATTTATTTTAGATTACTGTTATTTCATCAACTGAAAGAATTCGTTAATACAATATTTTTATTCATTTGATCTTAAAAAATTATTTATATACTATTAATAATCAGTGTCCTCACAAATAGGTTTGTGTCATTCGGTATGTCATCGGTTTCTAATGTTACTACTGCTAATAATTTTGATGTCATTATTACACAGTTATTCTGATGTTATTTAAAATTTCTATAATGGAAGGATGCCTTAATTTTTTTTTCTTCTGAAAAATAAGATATTTATAATAAAAGCCTCACAGACAGATGATCGAATTCATTATTTAGATACGAATAAACATAATTTTATAATTTAATACAACTTTCTTTGTACAACTTAATTTAATAGTATTAAAACGAGTCTTGTAAAGATTTTTTAAGTTGGAATCCATTATAATTTTCATTAGATGTAGCTAAATAAAGCGGCTCATTTCCTAAATGTAGTAGTTTTATTTAGATCCATATATATAAACACCTTTAAAGGTCTTCTTTAACAAAAATAGAAATGCATGACTTTGCAATTTCTATTATAGAGATCAACGATTGTTGAATTGTAATCATAAGGTGGAAGAGATAAGAGAATATGATTAGATAATTTGTTATATTTTATTTATCTGATAATAATCACATCATCAGATCAAAATTGCAAAATTGGGAACTAGGTGAAGAAAACTAGAAAAATAGGATTTTTGGACTTACTTCACTATTTTATGATTTAATGAGCTAATAGTGTCTTAAATCTTAATAATGGCCTTGGATCGCTGAAATCGATTTTCTCTGTAACCATAGTAAAATGATTGCTATTAGAACTACTAGAACTATTAGTTTTCGAAACTTTGATTGTTTCTGGGGTAATAATATTCATAACTGATAATTAAAAAATTATTTAATAATTCTCAATTTCTTTGAGATATTTCGCTCGTTTATTTTGTCAATCAGAGGATACTTAATATGGATGTTTCTATAAGATATCACCATTAATCTCGATATATCAAAACTCTCAACTTTAAACATTTAAAATTTAAATATTACATCGAAAATCAACTTAACAATGGAATAATTAAATTAATCTTTGTCAACCTTAATTACCCTCCCCTATAAATATTTTCTCCAATTTCATTNTTTGGATATTTATAGGTGGATAACCATATTAGAAAGGGATTGAGTTCTTACTCCTTTTAACTGATATTGTTATTAAAAATAATATAATTTTTGATAAATTTTTAGAAATTGTTTTTTTCCAAGAGAATGCAATCTATGTTGTTTAACTGTAAGATTAATAATGTTGGCATTCGGAATGAATTACAATGTATTTGCAAAATATTTTGATTTATTTTAGATTACTGTTATTTCATCAACTGAAAGAATTCGTTAATACAATATTTTTATTCATTTGATCTTAAAAAATTATTTATATACTATTAATAATCAGTGTCCTCACAAATAGGTTTGTGTCATTCGGTATGTCATCGGTTTCTAATGTTACTACTGCTAATAATTTTGATGTCATTATTACACAGTTATTCTGATGTTATTTAAAATTTCTATAATGGAAGGATGCCTTAATTTTTTTTTCTTCTGAAAAATAAGATATTTATAATAAAAGCCTCACAGACAGATGATCGAATTCATTATTTAGATACGAATAAACATAATTTTATAATTTAATACAACTTTCTTTGTACAACTTAATTTAATAGTATTAAAACGAGTCTTGTAAAGATTTTTTAAGTTGGAATCCATTATAATTTTCATTAGATGTAGCTAAATAAAGCGGCTCATTTCCTAAATGTAGTAGTTTTATTTAGATCCATATATATAAACACCTTTAAAGGTCTTCTTTAACAAAAATAGAAATGCATGACTTTGCAATTTCTATTATAGAGATCAACGATTGTTGAATTGTAATCATAAGGTGGAAGAGATAAGAGAATATGATTAGATAATTTGTTATATTTTATTTATCTGATAATAATCACATCATCAGATCAAAATTGCAAAATTGGGAACTAGGTGAAGAAAACTAGAAAAATAGGATTTTTGGACTTACTTCACTATTTTATGATTTAATGAGCTAATAGTGTCTTAAATCTTAATAATGGCCTTGGATCGCTGAAATCGATTTTCTCTGTAACCATAGTAAAATGATTGCTATTAGAACTACTAGAACTATTAGTTTTCGAAACTTTGATTGTTTCTGGGGTAATAATATTCATAACTGATAATTAAAAAATTATTTAATAATTCTCAATTTCTTTGAGATATTTCGCTCGTTTATTTTGTCAATCAGAGGATACTTAATATGGATGTTTCTATAAGATATCACCATTAATCTCGATATATCAAAACTCTCAACTTTAAACATTTAAAATTTAAATATTACATCGAAAATCAACTTAACAATGGAATAATTAAATTAATCTTTGTCAACCTTAATTACCCTCCCCTATAAATATTTTCTCCAATTTCATTCCAATAAATAAAATTTGTAGATTAAATTATGCAAGAAATTTTATTCCTTAAATTTGAATGTCAGAAATATGAATCTATTTAATATTGGCTTTATATATTAAGTAAACATAGGTTTAAAGAGAAATATTTAGTTTTTTTATTTATATATGCACAAATATCACATTATAGTAGATTTCTAAGAATTGCTATAACAGTTTCAAAATCTGTTAACTTCATCAAGTATTTTAACAATAAGAATTCAGTAAGATTGTTTAACCTGATTAATGATAGTCTAAAATATGGCTGAAGGTAAGAAGGAAGTTTTTGAGCAGGATAACATTAATAATAATCTTACCAAAGTATATAGGTCATTTAATTAAAATCTTCTTGATTTTTTGAGTAGCAGCCCCATGATTATTAGTAAAACATACTGAATCCATAATAGGATTCATATAATTACTTACTTTATAGTGATGTAAAATTCCTTAATGACTAGGAAGATATTATAGAATTACTCAGTCTTTTTATTAAAAAAAGAATTCTCTGCTTATAAATTAGGCCTTATCATGCTGTAAAATTGAGAAAGCATATATTTATTGTAATTGGTCTAACTATTAGTTCCCCATCAATACATTTTAATTGCACAAGAAAAAGATGATAAATAATTTAGATCGCTCCCTTACAGAGTCTATTCTTTCTCAAACTAAAGCAAGTTCTAGATTAATTAAAATCCTATTATTTTTTTATCATTATTCTTATATAATTTAATTTATATTGAAACTATAAACACGCGTGAATTTAATAAATAAAATCTAAATAATTTAGGAACACAAATGGTACTTATATATTCTAGACTTTAGCCATCAGCTTAAACCATGAAATTGAGAAGTTAAAATTATCAAGGAAACATTAACAAATAAGGAAAAGTTCCTAAATCATTGATTGTACTGAAATTTAATAATCTAATAGAAAAAAGAAGAAAATCTTCCTGTCGGCCCAATTCTTTTAGGAGTTTTCTTGTTTGTTGTTGTCGGCTCTGGTAAAAATGTAAAATAACAATTTTAGCTTTATTCTAAATACTTAATGTTGCTTCAAGTGGATAAGAAATTTGATATATATATATAAGTGCTTAATCAATTTTTAAAATACAAGATGCATAATACAATCATATCAAAAATTTATTTGCTCCTTGAAGATGCTAAGTCTACACTATCATTAAGTTAACATTTCTGTCATTTTTCTGAATGTTCAAATATCCAATTGCTCATCATTCTCTTTATATTATCGAAAATAATCCTTTCATCAATGATGCATAATTCTAAGAGTTTCTTTATTATAGATATTTAATTTTTCATAAAAATATTTACAATTCTGAAAAAGAGATTGAGATTCTTGATGGTGCATTCTATTGAAAGGTTGAATTTCATTATTTCTCATATAAAATATAATTCTTATCTATGATAGTATTCTACTTTGGATATCTATTTGGTAGGTAGACCGTGGACAAATTTACATCCATTAAAATAATAATAAATGATATTAAATTAACTAAATTTACCTTGCAGCTATATATTTCTTGATGAAATACAATATAATTAGGTACTTTATGATTTATGGAGCTGAAATAAATCAGGTATTATTAATTTTTTAAGATAAAAGATATATTTTGTATTCAATATAAAGGGCAAGACTATTAAATGACGATTAGAACAACCTTAGAGTTATAGATATTTTGAGGTTAGAATAAGTTTATTTCTGTGTTATAAGAATAAACTCTCCTCTTAGAATATATATTAATATAATATAATCTACCAAATTAAAAATCTCTACAAAACGTTGCTTTTGTTCAGTATTAAAGAATTTTTTTTGTATTATGAATTTGATGGAATGATGCATAGGAATTCAATTCATTTAAAAACAATATATTTTATTATAAAATGATTATGTATTATAAATTTTATTGGTTTGAGACAAGATGCAATATTAAATTTATTTTAATTAAAGAGAAATGTTTTATCCATATGACTTTGAAGAATCAGAAGAGAACTTGTCAGTGCCAGTTTCAGTTTCAGATGATGAAGTAGATGTCTACCAAAACCAAATGTTTGCTAATCATTTTAATCAAACTCCAAGTCACTCATTCTCATCAAAGAATGATGACGAGGAAGAAGATGATGATGTGATTGATCAAAGCAGAATATTTAACCTTGCAGAAGTCAAAGTATTTTTGGATGAAGTTATTTGTCCAATATGCTGTCAAATAATAGTTAATCCAAAGGTATGCAAAGAATGCGATTAAAGCTTTTGTGGGAGATGTATTGAAAAATGGTATTTTGGTATTGCTCAAAATTTAGGTTTTAAAATTCAAATCAACAATGTCCATGTTGTAGAAAAAGTAAAATCTCTCACAGCAATGCTTATTAAAATTTAGGGATTATGGAAGGAAAAGTACCAAAAGTACTACTCAAATTATTAAGTAAATTGCTTTTAACTTGCAGATATAGTGTATATATTTTTTAAATAATTAGTAAGATGGCTGTGAAGAAATTATCACTTATGACTTCCGTGAGAAACATGAGAATAATTATTGTTAATATTAGCAATTAGATTGTCCCAATAGAGGTTGTGAGGAGGTGATGTTTCGTAAGGATATTGAAGATCATTATTTGGAATGTTAATTTGGGAGTGTTCGATGTAAATATTGTTCAGAGGATAAACTTAGAATGGAAATAGAATCACATGTAATAACTAATATCTAAATTAGTTATATGAATGTCCATGCAGACCTATTTTATGTGAATGGTGTCAAGAAAAGCAGTAAGCTATTGACTTCAATGATCATCTTGAGTTATGTGAATTTAAGGACATCTTTTGTTAGTATTGCAAGAAGAAATACAAAAGATATGATATGAAAATACATACTCCCATATTTTGTCTGAATAATCTTTATGAAAATTCTCTTGACTTACTTTAACAAAAGGATGAATAGATTTTTGAATTGCAAAAATAAATCGAATATTTGAAGTCCAATAAACTAATGGAATAGTCTGATTTAAATTAATCAACCTATGAGGTCTTGAGTGAAAAATACAAATAAGATTTTGAGGAGGAAGTCGAAGAAGTCATAGAGGAGGATATTCAAATCGAAGAGAGTGATTAAGAATAAGAGTAACAACTCGAAAAAGCCAACTTGAAGCAACTATCTCAAGAAAACTATGAAAATTTAGATAAACAACCTTAGAAAGATGATAAATAGACTGTTGTTGAAATTCAACATTTTAAGAATGAAAGCATACCTACTTATGATGATTAACTGAAAGACCATTGGTATTGCCAAGATGTTGAAATTAATTAAATGATTGATTTTTTGAATTTATGAAATGCATATATTATTTATATTTATATGTATATTTATATATATATATTTAATATAAGATGATGATTTCAACATATGATGCCAGTAAATGCTTATAAGCACCCCACTCCTTTTTGACAATGATCATCGCTTCTGCAACACACATAAGTATTTGTTCTGATTTCACAATATGAACCTCCTTTTACTTCGCAATCACTGCAGTTCTCCTTCCCTAAAAAAGTATGAATTTTAGCTTATGATTCTTGTCCAACAAGATTTGGCTCGGCTAACACCAATGATATTAAGAACAAGGCAATTATGACTTTCATTGTGTAAGTCGTTTTTCTAATTATTAAAATAATAATAAGTTTGTATAGAAATGTAATAATTATTCTACACTCATTCTTTAGAATACTTAAATTCTCAAAATAATCTGACCCTCTGACATATATTTGGTGTTGTTACTTCGAACAATCCATTCAAGATCCTTCAATTTTAATCTCTTACCATCTCAAAGTCACTATCAACATAAATCAGAAGAATTTGCAATGGTGTTTATTGAATCATCTTGATTTTATCGCTACACAATGATTATCACGATATTATCTTATTAAATCTAATCAAAAGTTGAACATTAAATATCAAATAAATATGATATCAGATTAATTAAGATTAGTTCTATCCAATAATACTCCGAACATAATAGGACCTCAACTCTCTCGAAAAACTGTTCTTTTGAAAAGAAAGAATAAGCAAATTAGCAACAGCACATTAAATCAATTTCCTCAAAAGGGGAATTAAGATATCGCATCAAAAGGAGACAAGTCACAGAAAACAGATAAGTCTGATGCAATAACCATTAAATCGAATAGCGTCGTAGCCTCTCAAATTTCGAACCCAATCCCTTGCATATCTTAGGATTTCTTTGATGGTGTTGAAATACCCTCCACTGACCCAATTTGGCTAGAAATCATACCTCCAGAATTATTGCAAGAAACAACAATTGAGAAATTATTGGAAGACAACAAAGATTATTTATATAACTTATTGGGATTATATTTACAGGAAAGAGGCATTGCAGACTTGAACATGTCGCGTTTAGTTTTGCCTTAAAAGCTGTAAACTTAATATTCCAAAGATTTTACTTTAAAATCAGCAGATCGAAAAATAGGAATTGATTCAAGGATATATGAAGATTATAAAATATACAGTTCGCAGAATTAAAATACGACTACTTACAAATAGTATTATTAGAAACCAACTCAAAATGACATTATCCAATCATTCAAACCTACCTCAGAAAGGAGTGTTCTAGCGATGGCTGCTCTAACTACATATAAAGTGTTCATTAATTTTGTAATCTTTAGGCTAATCACATTAATTTTAAATAACCTGAAAAACCTGAAATCATGAAAGCACCATAAAGTTCAACTACTGGTAAATTGCAACTAAATGGAAATTCCAATTACAATCAAGATTATAAATGGCATCAAAAATATGAACGATTACCCAATTTTAAAAATAGTTATTCTAAATTGTATTTTAATATCCTTATTTAGAAATCCCATTTCCAATTCAGATATCTTCTTCGCTAAGCAAAGAGTCTCAATTGATTTCTACCCATTGAATTCTGAATAAAGAATCAGCCAAGTTCTTCCGACACCTTCCTATTAGGGTTAATTTATGACTACATTCAAACAGTATATCATATTTAATAACGATCTAGTGATTATTAATAAATTGATCAGGAATTGCTCACTCCAAAGATGAGGAATTGGAGATAAAATATGGTGAATAAAATTAATTCAGTTAGAGAGAGGTCAATTTAGCAATGAGATTTGTTTTTTAAGTTAAACTCATATTTATTTTAAATAATCGATATGGTTTTGTTGTTCTGTGGTCTATTTGATGGTTTATATTGCTTCTTGGTTTTTCTTTTATTTTGTTAGTAATTGTTTATATAAATAATACAATATAAATATGAGTTATTTGGCCCAATCAAGTCGATTAACTGCTCTACTCATCAGTCTGAAAAATAAGAAATTAATAAAACCTGATCAGTATACTCGTTTGTGTGATTATGCCATCAATGATAATGTTGAATTGAAATAATTATTTGTGGATTATGAAAAGGGTTTGTCTTAAAATGATTTCTTATCTGGACTTTCAATCATTCTCAACAACAAAACAGGAAGTGACCATATCATCAAATCTTACTTGTACTCTTATAATCAATTAAATTAGTGAATCAGTTGTCAGCATCAATCAACAATTGAAAGGGAAAATTAAAGAATTTTATAGAGACATCAAGGTATACTTATTTGATATCAATTAATGTAGAATAACATGAACGAAATTTATGAAGAATGTTTTAAAGCATAGCATCATTTATAAGAAATCAAAGATTTGATAAAATTAGTCTTAAAACAATTTTATATTGAAGAATTTTATTTGATTCAATTTGAAGAAGGACATCAATGTGTTATTCTGACCAATAATTTTGATTTCAAATTCTTTAAAGAAGAATATAAAATCAGCTCCTGGGCACATAAAAACACTGCTCATCAACTCAATAATACTCAAACTGAACATTACACCTTACTTAAAACCCACAATCTCCCTAAGTAGTACATTATATCACAACACGCTGTCCTCTTTTTGACCTTTAGTGATAGTGTTAATAAAACCTATGCCCAATACTTCATGGCCACCTTTCTTTATGATAAATTTATCACTTTAATCTATTAAGGCTATTAAATTATCGGGTTAAAGAAGATGCAATCTGTTAGAAATGAAATTCTATAATTAGTCTCCAAGACCATTCAATTGTATAATTATAAATTGATGTATGAAATATTAGTTTAGATCATGCAGTCATTTAACTTATAAAATTTATTGTGTCAATTTGAGAAGGAATTAACTAAATAACAAACTGTTTCCAATTATTTATTGATACTGCTTTCAAGTAATTTAGATATAATTGGCATCGAATTAGAAGGCAGTCTATCACTTCAATTAGCAGATAAAGTCAAAAGCACTTTTAAAAAGTCAATCAAAAAATATAAGAAGAAACTCAAATCTAAAAAGGATCTATTAGAATCATTCTAATAAGTTACCCAACATAATGAAATGATTATGTGCTTATTCTTTAATAACTTCCTTAACCTATACTATATGACAGTTCAATGGAATCACGATCAATTTGTGTATATAATAGTAATCTAATTAATATAGATCAAAATATAGTTTACCTAAAGAAATTAATTATGGGGACCCCATTTATAGAATATTTGATCAAAATCCTACCATTATTTAAAAAGTAAAAGAAATCATCGATTCTCCCAATGATCATTTGGAATATAATGACGGGTTTTTTAAGTTCTCCCTGAAGATAGAAAGAGGATTTAAGTTATAAATCAAATAGATATCCATATTTCTATTTAACATCTAAGTGAAAAGGTAGCTAAATGATTTCATTTTTATAGACCACTGGAAGAATTATTTAGAATATTTAGAAGTAAAGTGAAGATCTTACTAACAATTAGAAAGGCTACATTGGCCTTTAAATCGAAGCAACTCATGATGGAAAATCAATTTCTTAGACAATCAGCCTTGGTAATGTATCTACCAGATCAAGACAGAAGAAGAATTACCTAGACTAATAATCAAGATCATGATTAAGACTTAGAGAAATATAGAAATTATACTATGAAATAGGCAACGAAAAAATTATAGCAATTTTTGACGAAATATGATGAGGAAGATAAAACAAATCCTGAACTCAGGAGAATTGCAATAGATCCAAATTTATAATAAAAATTACTAGATTATGAATTTAATCTACTCAATAAGAAAATGTATAAAAATAAATACATAATTGCTTATAATTTATTTCAAATGTGCGAGTACATTAAATAGTACCCATTACTCACAAAAGAATTTATTAATTTTTTGACAGTACTGAAATATAAGTACAATAAGAAATCGAATCCATTTCACAATTTTACACATGGAGTTAATGTTATGCATGGTTGTTATTTGTTTGGTCATCATTAAAAGTTTGGCACCTATTTTTCAGATCTATAAAGATTTGCTATGACTTTCGCTGGATTGTGTCATGATGTTGATCATTCAGGAACAACCAATTTGTTTTAAGTGAATGCCTAAACTAAGTTAGCATTATTATATAATGATAAATCAGTTCTTGAAAATCATCATGTTGCAGTCACTTATAAAATATTGGCACATAAATAATGTGATTTTTTTGGTTCTATACCTAAACAAGATAGAACAACAATAAGAAAATATGTTGTAAATAATATCCTGGCTACTGACAATCAATACCATTTTAATCTTTTAAATGATATTGAAATCAGATTTGGATAATCTAAAGGAGATCCTAAAATCTTTGGTATGATTATGTTGTGATTTTTAGAAACTGAGGAGAATAAACTCTTACTGAGTGGGTTCTTAACACATGCAGCTGATTTCTTTGGTGCAGCAAAATAATAATAGGTAGCCAGAGCTTGGAGTGAAAGATTAAGAAAGGAATTTTAAGCCCAAGTAATAATTAAAAATATCATTTAATTTAGTCCTAATTAGAAGATATTATTGGAATTGCGTAAACTCCATATCTACGAAATTTGGATAATGAAGTGTAATATGCCAAAAATGAAGCAGGATTCTTAAAAGTTATTGTTAAACCAATTTATGAGTCCTTAAACAATTATTCTGAAGGAGCTTTGGCACTTTAATTAGCAAATATCAACTTAAGCATTAAAAAATATGAAGAGATTATTGAATCAACAAATTAATGATCATAATTGTATTCAACATTTAATAAATGCATCACTATTTTAATATATTTCGTTATCTGATACTTGACTTTCTTATTATTTTGGCTTAATTAATGACACTTTCTGAAAAAGAACAACTAACTAATACAAAGTAATTAAATATCTTCATTTTAATACTGTTAGCATTTTCATTCTTTGGGTGCTTCTTCTCAAATCCTTTATCTCCTAACTCAAAGCATCCCATCGTAAATTAATTATAGCAAATATTAAAATAAAATATATAAAAATCTATCTTGGTTTTGATTCCTAAAACTCAATAAACATTACAAATCTCATGATTACAAATTATCAAATGGATTTATAATTAGTCTATGATAACTTAGTATTTAATCAGAATTTAATATTATTTTTATAAATGTATACACTCAAATCTAATATACTAGGTATAATTATACTTGTAATAATTTCTTTTATAAAGCAATAATAAAAATATCATTTTAAAAGGAATAATGAATAAAAAGAATAAAAAACTAAGCAGATATCGATATTGTGCAATGGTAGGGTCAATGAATTCATATTTATAAGTCTTGCTATAAAATAAAATTATCCAAAAGGATCAATTTAATGCATATCAAAGTAAGAAAGACAAACTATTTGCAAGAATCATAATACCAGAAGTTTAAGAAGCTGGATTTAAGCTATAAATTCATATTTCAATATACTATTAGATGTTGTACCCCTTTAAGAATGCTGTGTTTTTTCTTTCAAAAAGTGATTTAGACACTTATCAAATGGATTTAAGATAAAAACCATTGAATCCCATAAAATTACTCAAATTATGTATGTTAATATAGTTTGAATAAATGTTAATTGTGTTAGAAACAGATGATTAAATTGAACAATTCAAAATTATCCTAAAAGAAATTGAGTAATAAATCATAAATGCATCTGATTAAAATAAACTTGTTACAAATTTTTCATATGCAACTAATGAACAGTTCAAGTTTGATTTAATCTAAAAAATGCCTATAAATCCAGATTTAGAAACTAAGTATTTAGAAACAAACTTTGTTGTGACAAATCTGATAAATGATGTAAGTGCAGAGGTTGTTGTATTCAATGGTACCATATTCAAAGGGCAAAAATTATATATCGACAAAGAAGCGATAATAATTTAGAAGATAGTATCTTTCAATCAAGAGGTAGCATTGGCCTTGGAGGGTATGATAGTTTAGATAACAATTGATAAAAAGACATAATTTTAAGAAGGGACAGTAGGATGTTATACTTAAATTCTTCTGGCTGAAATCAAAATTGAAGTCTTTTCCTAACTCCCTAAACAGGAAAAACCCCTTTTGTGTAGTGATTTTTTCTATTAAATTAATAATTGGAAGAAGCCTGTCACAATTGAGAAAAAGTAGAAAAAAATATCAACTACTCTGCAATTATCTGTTAAAAGGCAATTAATGAGCTTCAGTAGATGGCCGAATGTAATAAGTTTCTCAAATTTGAATTCTTCAATCTTAGCCTTAGGTATTGTTCATAAAATTCCACAGGCGGCACTTTCGCCTGCATTGTTAATTCCTACCTATGGATTTGAATAGTAATTTACCTAAGAAAATGATACAATGAGAAAGTTCATCTGCAGATGTAGATCTTGCAAGATGTGGATGATTGACACTGTAATGATACCGTGTGGACATGTTAGATATTGCAGTGGTTGTGCTGATTTAATGAGAGAATGCTATTATTGTGATCAGAAATCTCATTGTTATGGAGTGATTAAAATAAAGGAGTGTAATCCAAATATGCATCGTATATTGATAAAGGGCACTTTGGAAGAGGAGTTTGTTGACCATACGAATTTTTAAGTGCTGCCGAAATTAGTGTAATTTGAAATGGAGTAATAGGCTTTGAGTCCAAATTTGTATTTTAAATGTGTGATGTGCTTTAAAGAATTGATATCTCATATTTTGGTTGACAAAAACTTGAAATATTAATTTGTGTGCAACTATTGTGCTAATTAGGCAAATAGGCAAGATTGGAACATTGTGCAAATACAATATCAATGTCTTTGATTCTTTAGTTTTATGTATTTAATTTATATGTACTTATTGATGTGGTGGTCTCTTTGATAATATTAAATTGTGAAACACATAATTTTAAATCTAATTTAAAAAATCCAAAGATTTTTATGAAGGTAACATATACAAAATATACTTTGTTTAGTTCAATATTTCCTATCCCTTAACTGGTGCTTAAAAGACAGTCGAAATTGACGATGACAAGAAATGGTAATAATTTCTATGGAATTCCTTAGCTCAATCTTCTTTGACAAGAGAATGGGACAAGTTGTGGAAGCAGACAACTTGGGTGATGAGTACAAAGGATATGTGTTCAAGATTACAGGTGGTAACGACAAACAAGGTTTCCCCATGAGACAAGGAGTCCTCTTCAAGGGCAGAGTCAGAATTCTCATGAGAAAGGGACACAAAGGTTACAGACCCAGAAAGGATGGAGAGATGAAAAGAAAATCAATTAGAGGATGCATTGTCGGTCAAGACATTAGAGTCCTTGCCTTACAAGTCGTTAAAAAGGGTGCCAATGAAATTGCTGGACTTACAGATCAAAACGTCCCAAGAAGATTGGGTCCAAAGAGATTGACCAAATTAAGAAGATTGTTTGGATTCAAAAAAGCAGACGGTGTTGCTATAGTCTAAAAGAATCTCATCAGAAGAACATGGACCACAAAGGACGGAAAGAAGAGATAAAAGGCTCCAAAGATCCAAAGACTTGTTACTGAATCAAGATTGAGAAGAAAGACCATTCAAAAGAAGACTGAATAAGCCAGAAGAACCAAAGCCAAATAAGCATTGGAAGCATATAAAAAATTAGCTCATGATGTTCACGAGGCTCACAAGAAACACAGAAAAGCATCATCTGAAATCAAGGAAAAGGTTAAAGAATAACCAAAGGTAAATCATCCATATTAATTCAAGGCTAAGGACACCAAGGCTACAACCAAACCAGCTTAAGTTGGTAAATAAGCCACTCAAACTAAGGCTTAAGTTCCAGCCAAAGCTGCAGCTCCAGCTAAAACAACTGCTCCAGCTAAGACTGCTCCATAACCAACTCAAAAAGCTCCAACCACCACCACCAAAGCCAAGAAATGAAAATGATATTATAAATAAAGTACATTACATAAAAGCATTTATAACTCATTACAAAAATCAATTTGAGAATGAAAATTAAATTGAATCTGACTGTTTTCTTTTCATTTCTTTAAACTCAAATTTTATGGAATTCTTCGATTTTGAAGTTTGTGGCTACTACTTTTCAAGATGATGACTCTCTTGCAAATTCATTATTTATTGCAAAGAATTCATCTTGGGCTGACTATTTAATAGTTTGCCTATTGATTCCTGATTAATGGCCAGAGAATAGGGAGGCATTATCTGTTGAAAATGTTCGAAATGTCTATTGAAGCGATAGAAGTCCAGCATTCTTTTTTACAGAACCTAACACTAGAGTTTATTAATATAATTTACATTACTTCTTTGTAGAGTTCTAACATCTATTCTCTTGAATACTTGATTTCTTCCTTGTTTTCTATTAGACATTTAATGTCTTTCAAGATGAAGATAAAGATATCCTGTAAATCATAATAGATGAACTTGATAATATTAGCCAATAACGGATTAGTTTGGAATGAATCAACATTTTCAATTAACTTTTACATGCCCATCCCAATATAGCATTAATTTGATAGAGTAAAATAAATGAGCAAATCTCCATCAACAACTTCTTCATTAATAAATGTAGTTTGAGATGCCAATTTATATAGATAATGATAATAATGTTGACAGACTACACCCAATTTTGATGAGATCGGATCTTGGGTTTTTATGTTCAATTATTTGGAAATTAGGATTTTTGATAATTCTGAACGCCCAACTTATGAACTTAGGATGATGTGAAGCAATAATAAAATTTTAAATTTTCTTTACAAATTCCCTTCCTAAACACTCTCTTTTTAAACTACTTCAAACAAAGACTACAAAAACAGTTTCTAAATTAATGTTTACAAACCATACCTTACTTTATTAGGTTTCAAAGAATGATCTTAATCTGTTTGATATAAGTTATTGAGATTGAAACTGATTATCGTTTGAATATATATGCAGATCCTTCAAGGCATCAACCACTGGCTGTGTGTTTGACATGTACTCTTTGATTTTATTTATCATATTATATATTTATATATTAAATTAGGTCATTATTGTTGCATTTCTTAAATAAATGAGTTAAATACTATTTGTTGGTTCCGTAATTTTGGATTTCCACTCCAACAGTACCATTCTGAGACATAGAGTATTTTAGTCGTAATAGATTTATGAATTGAATTAGAAAATAAAATTCAAATTTGTTTTATTAATAACTTATACAGTATTTATATTTTCAAAATTTGGAATAAAATAGATATGCAATCTCTCTTTGTTAAATGTTAGAAATGTCAATAAAGACCTGCTACGATCAAGTGCAATCAATGTAGATATGGGTAAACTTTTCGATTATGCTACTCATGTGATTCCCAAATTCACAATCGATCGGGTCCAATAGATTAGTAACACAAAACAGAAATTATACCTTATTAGGGTATAATACCTTAATTCACAATTTAGAAATGTACTAGAAAAACTAAAGCATTGTTCCTGTTCCTCAGAAAAATGATTAGAAAAATTCTTTCAAAAAAAATGAAATCAAACCAACTGGTCAGGTCCCAACCAAAGATTATTTGAGCAATGATTCTAAAAAACAAGATTACTCTAAAACACTAGATGTCAATAGAGTCAACAACAAACATGACTATTTGGAGAAAAAGATCGATAGTAATGATAAAAGAGTTGATTAGTAATATTTATCAGGTGATTAAAGGCCCTATTCATCCAACCAGAAGTTCAATCTGGATCAAGACAGAGGATCTCAGTCAATTATTAATTAACTAAAGGAAGAGCAACAATAAGCAGAAAGATTGAGAGTTGAACTCTCTCAAGCAAGAGATAAGGAGAAAGAATTCTAAAGAAAATTGTATAACATTGATAGTAATACTTAGGTAAAAGGTTGAAAAGGATTATGAATAAAGATCACAAGATGATAGAGAGAAAATTTAATAATTAACAGATGAAAATAGAAATTTGAACAATAAACTTAGTTAAGCAAACAAGCATTTATAAGATGAAGTTAATAAAGTTAAAAAATAATAATAAGATTAAATCAAAAAGCTCGAACAAGCATTGAAGGAGAAAACAGAGGAGTTGGAAAATATTGCTTAAGAATATAATTTAGTATTAAATACTTTCACCTCATTAGGAAGACATTCAATCCATGATGGAGTAACTTTAATAGGAATCATCAATGAAAGATCAGATTATCGAACAATTGCAACAATAATTACAGGACAACTAAGAGGCTGTTAATGAATTATAAGATAAATTGGCAAGCAATATAAAGCAAAAACAACAGTCATCAAATAAGAAGTCAGCAAAGAGTCAAGACAACGAGAAGGATGAAGTTATATAAGAGTTGGGACAATAATTAGAGGCTAAGGACGAGGAAATTCATAAATTGGAAGGTAAGCATTTGATTTTTAAATTTAGATTTAATTGAGAATTTCAAATAGCTCTATCAACATATGAGTGATGAAAAACAATAATTATAAGAGGAAGTTGAAAAGTTAGCAAATGAAAATAATTAATTTAGAGAAATATTTAGTGTATCCTATATTCATTAATAATAGCAAAACTTACATCTATTTGGAATTGATCCTGAACAATTAAACGAAGAAGGAGAGGAGGGAGAAAATGAATATCCTGAAGAAATTGCTGAAGAGAACGACGAGCAAAATGATTGATTTTTATTAAACAAATAAATATTAATTGATAAATTCAATCTTTAAAGTTAATTTCTTATTTTAAATATAAATACTTCTTCTTATCTCTGTAAATTAATTTAGAAATCTAATTTGCAAATATTATTTATAAAGATTGAAGTGAAGTTTATCTATTTAAATAATAACTATTATCTATATTTTGATAGATCACACTTATGTATAGTTATTAAATGTAACTAATTCCTTAGTTTTGATATTAATAACCAAACATATATTTGAAAGGATGCTAAGACCAATAGAAATATTTTTTAACATAATGGATAACAAATTTTAAACATCGATTCGATCAATTTTTTATTAATGTCAAAGTTTTATGTGTATTCTAAGAACAAAAATTAATTTAATCAGATGTTTCCTCCCATCAGTTGGAACAGATTTTTTTGACTAAAAATTTTTTTGTATGCAATATTATAATTGATTTCTTAGGGTATAACCTTTTCCTTTTTAATATGTGCAAGAGTCTTTGATCTACTCTACACGGATATCGGATTTGTATTTGTTGTACCAAGCCGTAATTTTAAATAATTTTGTTAGTTTTATTCTGAAACCAGTGCTCTTTAGGATGGATAACTTTTGACCTCGTGAATTTTGATTTCATAATATGAAAAGGGTTAGGGATGGGAGTTTTTCCGAGTTTTAATAATAAACATTAAATAATTGAATGATAAAGAAATAAAATTGATTATTTTCAATATGTTATAAAATAATTATAAATAAAAATCCATTTTTAATACTCATTTATTCAATAAAATTTGCTAACTTCTTTTTATTTAAATGTTTTAAAAGAAATAGGAAATTAGTTTATGGAAATTGTTCACAAATTGTCTTCCCTTTTATATCATTATTTGTTATGATGATGTCGAAATGATTGAATTATAGGGCAGAATTTGACTGATAATTTGATTAATTTTATAATATAGTATTATTATTTTATGTTTCATAGTGAAACTCTGCAAGAACATATTCTTTATGATAAAATTTATCAGTACCTCTGGGTAAAATCTGAAACTTCGAATCCTCCTTCTATATTGATACCTGAAACAGTTATTTTAATACGATCAATGCCTATATATTGGTATTTTACAGACAGAGGATCAGGAGAGGTGAAGAGAAAAATGCATAAAAATGTAAACAAGGAGAACATCAAAGAGAGCTGGTTGAATTCTGTTGGCAAATCAGGAGTTGTTGGCTATTTATTACATTTTATGTAAATAAATTAAGTATTTGAAGAGAAAATTTAGATCTAAACTACCCAAATGAAAAGTTAAAAGTATGCGGATAAATCTAGATTATTTACTTTGACAAAGAAGGATTCATAAAATTCATGGATTCAAATGCGGAGCTTCCATTTGGAATCTTGCAAAAGTACGTTGAAGCTGCGGATGATAAAAATTGTAATTCAAAACATTAATAAAAAGCATAAATACAGGCTCTATGGAGTAAATAGATCACGTTGTTTACAAAGAGAACGACCAAAAAGAGTTATCTCAATAAGTCAATGAATATCTATGAAAGACTTTGCACTTTTGAAGGGCCAGATTATTTAAGTGAGGCAAGTAATTTAATAAATTTGAAATTATAGCTTAAGTCAAAGACTTTTAATCACAGAGGATATCAGAGCAAATATAAAAAATGATCAATCATTTGGATTCCATATCTTTTGGTAAGTTGAATATCAGCCAAGGGATATTCTATTTCAAAGTTGATAAACAAGCAAAATGTTGGTTTTTGTTTTGTGGCAATCTCAAATTTGATGGTGAAAAACACCTAAAAGATTGTCCAAAAGACTTGTATCAATAAGCATAGATAAAAATACCTAAATCCATAGATGGAATTATGTCAGTCTATAGTTAGAAACCCTAACAATTAAATAAGGAATCTAAATGTATCAAATGTGGAGGAGTGGAAAAAGAAAATAATTTTATCCTTGTACCATATCATTACATCCTAGAAAATGACTAGAATACAATATCACCTTAAAATTGGCCAAATGAAATTAAAAAGGGAGCAACAAAAATAAAATTGGTAAGTACAAGTTCTGGCTCATCTGACTTATTGAATACAATATCCCAAGTTCCATTAGTATTATAAAAAGTACATGAGAAGTTAAATTACTAAAGCTTTGATTAATATAAAAATCATGATGGCTTTTTACATAAGACCTTATAGGTTTGCTTGAATTGTTACATTAGTTTAGGTATTCTTTAAAATAACATTTTTAAGTTGCCTTTCAAGAGAAAAAGTAGAAAGATACTGTAATAAATAGCATTAGTCCACACACAAAAATTAAGAAATCATTGGGTGGATTTACAAGCGCAAAATCACTCTAATAATATCTAAGACCTGATATAAAAGAGAAAATCTACACTTAAACGTCAGACACTTGCAGGAAGTATAAGAATATCAAAATACGTCCTGTCTAATAGTATGTTTAACAAAGATTGCAAAGTTTGAGTCCAACACAGAAAAGTTCTATTGATTTTCCTTCATCTCCTGATCTTCTATCTTACCATACTAAATCCTCCACATATGAATTAGGAAGTAACAATAGAAAACTTCGAAATTGTTACAATCAATCTCTATAAGTGAAATTGAATAACTTGAATATATGAAGGTTGTGATTTCTGTTGATATTTATTAATATGCGTTTTTATTATTAAAATTTTATATCAACATGAGCATTATGTTTGACAAACTGTTTAGGCAATTCTCTTAATTCTATGAGAGTTTCAACCCTTCATATTTTATTATTGCAGTAGTTGCTTTTTCTTAGGGTGTACAACACTTGGCTGATTTATCGATTAACTATATGCTCAAAGATGATTTTGGATTATCACCAGCTATGATGGGACTCTATTTAAGTTACACAACAACCCCTTGGATAGTAAAACCATTCTGGGGTTTAATAACAGATTCGAAACCTTTATTTGGGTATAGGAGAAAATCATATATAATATTATTTGGAATATTTGATGCATTAGGGTGGATTGCTTTATCTAAATATGGAACTGATAGTTTATATTCTGCCCTATTATTATTGTTCTTGATATAGCTGTCAACATGTTTTGTGAATGTAGTTGGAGAAGCTATTCTAGTAGAAGTTGCTGCCTAAGCCTCAAGACAGCAAACCAATTTCTAACACGGAGCATCAAAGAATGTCTCAATATTCTTTGGAGTCCGTGCCTTCGGAACACTAATAAGTGCATTCTTTTCAGGAGCATTATTACACTATTTTACAAAATAAGAAATATTTATGATGACAGCTGCATTCCCTTCACTATTGGTTTTAGTTTCATTTTTCTATGTTGAAGAGAAGGTTGACCCTAGAGCTTTGGATTAGAATGACAGAAGAAACAACACTATGCAATGCATCAAAGATTTCTGGACATTCTTCTAGAACCCCTTAATTTACAAGTATTATAATAATAGATTCAAGGCCAGTTGCATTGATATTTTGTTTTATGATGGCCCCTTCAAGTTCAACTATCATGTTCTTTTTCTACACTCAAGTTTTAGGCTTTGAACCTTCCTTCCTTGGACAATTGAAGTTTGTTTATGCATTGTCTACTATTTTAGGAGTGCTTCTTTATAACAACTACCTGAAAGATGTCCCATTCAAAAAGATATTCATTACTACTACCATCCTCTATTATTTCTGTTATCAATCAATGATAATCCTTGTAACCAGAAAAAATGTCGAATGGGGTATCAATGACAAATTCTTCTGTCTTGGAGATTCAGTCATGTTATAATTGGTGGGCGAACTGAATTTGATGCCTATATTAGTCTTGGCATGCAGGATGTGTCCAAAGAACATTGAAGCCACCATGTATGCTATGTTGATGAGTACAATCAATTTTGGTAATCTATTATATTTAAAAACTAAGGATCTACATTGGGATCATAATGGGGAGCCTTATTCTTAATCTTGTTTGGAGTTAATTAAAATGATTATTCTAAATTATGGCTATTCATTATTGTGACAGGAGTATTCATTTTGATGCCACTTCCTTGGGTTGGAGTTGTATAGGAAGACAAAATCCTATAATCAAGGGATTAGCAATTGGCTCAATTAAAGTAGAAGGATTGTGAATCCGATACAGTTTCCACAAGCAACTTAAGATAGGAGGATGACTAACAATAATTACTTTCAGAAAATGAACAATAAAAGTCATGAAATTTATAGAATACAAATATTTAGAATTATTTTCCTCACTTTCATTTATTAACGAATAAATACTTTTCTTGCATTGATTTAAAAAATCAAATATATTTTGGTAGTAATTCTAATTGAATTTTATGATTACACTTATATTTATTATTGTTAATATTAATTATTTGATGAAATTTAAAATAATGATGACCCAAACAATCAAAAAGTTATTTTATTTATCTGCTATTGCTGATCATGATAGGAGTGATAATTTAAGAAGTAGTTGGAATAAAATCAAAATAATCATTTATTTTATCTAAGTAATTTCATTATTGTTTATTGATAACATCAACATTTATTTTGACAATTACATTCTGATATTGGCTCGATTCATTACATTCCAGCAAATTTAAAATTCATATTATCAGACTCTTGTTCTAATAGCAATTTTGTCAATCCATATAATCATGTTATTGATGATCTCATTATTACTAAGAATTGTAAAATATTAATATTTATAGCAAGAAATCTAAAATCCTTGTAAAAACTATACAATTTTACTTATCCAATTATGATTGGCTATTCCTAATACCTTCATAAATATTCTGCTTTATAAATTAGTAGTTTGTAATTACAGTCTTAAGCATATTAGTATTGTTTTTAAGTGCTTTTCAATATATCATAAGCATCTATATTTTTCGCAATTCTGGCTTTAAAACCAAGAATGGCAGAGCTAAAAATATAACCTTTGACTTAATTTACTTATTCATCTTTGAGTCAATCATATTTTTAAGGATTGCAAACTTAGAAATTATAGCAGTAATCAAATATTTTTTTGTAATTGCCATTGTTGTAGTGAAGATATTGGAATTTATAACTACAGAAAAATTTAGCGATAAGACAGTGCAGAGCTTTTATTAGATATGCATTATTATTACATTTGTATTTGTTGTTCAAGAAATATTGATCCAACTATAAGATTACAAATCAGATCCATATTTATATACAATTCTACTATTATTTCCGGTAATCTATCATTTTATCCTAGTTATTAAACTTTTTTTATGTAGTAGAATAATCGCACAGACTAGAAGCTGAGTATTTTTATTATAATGCTATTCAACAATTCAATCCGCAGTGTCAAATTAAGGCATATTAATAAATATCAAACCATAAGAAAAAATGCTAGAATATTACTTGCCCTTGTTAAGCTCGCATACGACTTGAAAATAAATAAGAAATTATAAAATTTACTGCCCAAATTTTGAAATTAGAGCAATAATTTTGCTACTTAAAATATATATCATTCTAGATTCAAAATAATAATAAAGGATTTAAAAACTACTTGTAGATTATGAAAGTGGTAAAATAATAGTAAGATGTTGGGTTCTCTTTTTATGATAAAAAAATGATTCAATCTCTATTGGAAATAGTTTGTGAAAAGACTAAACAATTGTACAAGGAAGTAATCCCAAATAAGTTTACGGAGGTTGTTTATTCACTTTAGTGGTTTGAATCTAATTGTGACAGGATAAAAGATTAATTATTGATTTTATTAAATACAAAATTACGACTATGGTCATAATATGTTACAGATAAAATTGAATCATACTAGGAGATGTTTGAAATGCAAATAAAAATAACATATGAAATAAACAAAATTAGATAGGCTTTGAGAGAGTTCTAATACGATATTTAGATGTTTTTAAATTAAGAAATAAATTTAACGCACAACTTATTCTATTAAAGGGTGTCTTAAATTTTAGAACTATCCTTCTATTCTGTTAATAAATATGTATTAATTGAAAAGAAAATTAAAAAGATAGTTGAATTTGAGTAAGGTCAGGGAGACCTGTTGAATTATTAAATGTTTGAAAATCAAAAAGCTATGCAACTATTAGTAGTTATTTCTAAACAATAAAGAGGGAGGATTGAGAAAGTTTCAAACAAATGGTTAAACATAGATAAATTTGAGCACCTATCAAATATTATGCCTATGCAATTTATTGAGTTACACAATCAACTTCTAGACAACTATTGTAGATTTGGTCCTTCAAAGTCATAGATCTTCTAAACATTTATAAAATATGGAGATACACCATTAGTTTCGAAGGTAAAAATATGTCTCAATAATTATCCAAAATATGATCATGAGAAACTCTATTTGATGGGCACCTTAGTGAAAGATAATATCGAAGAAGATTAAGATTATATCTTAGTTGGATAGGATTTCTAAATCTTAGGATACTCAGAATAATTGTGGTTTAAAATATTCTAGCATTTAAAGTTTCAAGACGACTTATACGAATTAAGTATATTTTAAATTCTTCCAGAGGTTAAATCAATACTCAAAGAGCATTATGAAAACATGCAAAAATACAATCATTAATTTTAAAATCATGAAAAAATTATCAGTCATTAACAAAAGGCTGTCCTATATCTTAATAAGACTATGTGCAAATAAATTTTCAATTCAAAGAATCTTTAATAACTTTCACCTTAAGAAAGAATAGATAAAATAGAATAATTAACAAATCATTATAATAATTATGAGAATTGTGAAATATAGCTGAATCTGATGTTCAGTGTGACTGAAAATTTGATAAGTTACAATACAAAAGAGAATAAAATCAATTATATATACTATTGGATTACTTTCAATTTCTAGGAGATAAATACCTTACTGGATAAATAATTTAATTAACAACTATCTTATGAAGTATAAGTATTGGAAGAGAATAAAATCAAAAAGATTTAGTAAAATAATAATTTATATTAGATTTAATTAAGTTAAGATCAATGAAAGTGTTGCGAAAACTTCATCTTCTATGCAAAAAAGCAATTTAGAGATTTTATCATTTCAATAAGTTATTGGTATTGTTAGATAATTGACTGCTTACAGATTATTAATGTTACTGTCTGCATCATATATTTTATGGACAATTATTGCCTTCATTCTCCTTTTTTAATAAATTCAAAAGAAAGAACTTTAATAAACATAATGTTTTGAATAACTAGATTATAGCACATCCTTCCTCGATGGGTATGGAAGAGCCATGATCGCTTCAAGACATGTTATCTATCTTAGAGATTTCAATAAGTTTCTGACTTCTTATAACTTATACCCTATTGATTCATAAACTATTATTAATGTAACATCTGTAGATAAAATATCGTTTTCACTGTACATCTATAAATAATCAATTGAAGAATTGGTATAATTTTATTAAAAGGAAACTGCTAAACTCAAACTTTACGATCGGCAAAACCAATCAGTTGATTTAATCAGAATTAATTTTTACAAGAATTAGACAGAAATCTAAACTATTCTATCGTTGTCTTAATATTATAAAATTATGCTTCAAACATTATACATGGCAATTAAAAGTTTTGCTAAAGATCCGACTCTGTATCTGATAGGGACCACTGACACATGGGCATAGTAAAAATATATATATT